AAAATATTACAAAAAGCTTTAAACGACTTTTATGCAAATTTCACACATCTCTAAACTCTTGCAATGTGTTGTTTTGTTCTCATTAAAATATTTTTTCCCAATAATTTAATCATAAAGGCAAATTTTGACTCAAATTGAAAAATTAAAAGAAAAATAAGTTCAGAATAAATTATTTAAATAATTATACCACAAATTGAATATATTTTCCAAGTAATGAAATATTTTTCACCCTTCAGATGGTCTATTCAACATTTTTAGTGTGACTAAATTAAGGGGAACAGACGTCCTTAAAATTTTGAATCCATCAATTTTATTGATTGTCCTTCAAAACGTTCAAACTCTTTGAGGATGGAAAATGTTCTCAAATCTGAAGATATGGGCTCAAATGCCCTTGGATATATACCGAGTGAAATATTTAAAAAAAATCAGAAAAGTGCATTTTTGTCTTACAGAATAACAAGATAATTTTGTCTTACAGAAAATATCAACGAAAACCAGAAAAAGGCCCATGCAAAAATTGACAATCCCACTCTGGACTGATCGTAAAGACACGGTTCCCACTAGAGCACCGAAGTCAAGCATCACTGGCTGCGGTCAATAAGTGGGTGACCACTTTGATCAGCCAGCTTAGGGACCGAGGTTGTGCGGTGGCGGCCCTCCTTAAACTATTCTACGGTAAAGTGTTCGTCTTCACGCGCAGGTCGTTGGGCTACCAAAGAGCAGAGATCAAAATTGTGATGGCATGTCTTCAGATCATCCTCAGGGATGTTTCCCAGGCTGGTGCGGGTCCAGTTCGACTAAAAAATTAGCTGCAATTATCATACGATAACTCTATTTTCCTCTGAAAATAATTTCAGCGAAAAAAATATATTTATATATTCGTTTATTTTTCAAGTACAAAACCTCCTCTATGTAGCGAATACCTCTATTTACGAACATAGCAGGCACGGAATTTTCTCCATAGACTTTGTGCAGAAGAAAACCTTTAGGAGAGACCATTAAAACACGTCCCAGTAATCGGGCAAATATTTGCACCAAATGCAGAAATGGTTAAATAAGAAAACACAAAAAATATCGAAATATAAAATTGATAAATAGATTAAAATGCATTACAAATAAGTAGATTAAAATGTATTCAAAATATTTGTATGAAGCTCTTATTTAAAGAGCTCTTTTTGACGAAACAATCAGTCAGATTACATTAAAGACGATGCTATCAATGATTTATCTTTAGAGTTGAAATTTCAATTATAATGAAAAATATTTTTAAAAAAACAAGCATCTCAAACAAAGTTCTTCTCCTCTTTTCAAGCTAACTAATTTTTATGATATAAAGTTTAATGCAAACTTAAACAAAAATGCTTATTTATTTAAAATAGCTTTATCATTCATAATTGGTAAAATTGCTTTTACCCATAATTATATCAGTTTGGTTCATTCTTATAGACTCTTAATTTTATTCAGAGATTCGTCTTTTCATGACGCCAACAGAAGTGGCATTTCCACACCGAGAAAATCACACTGACTAAAATTAAAATCGTTTGCGAAAAATCACGTACCTTCAATAACAATTTAGAAGTCAATGGAGGTAACCTCAAAGATTGACCAACCTCCATCAATGGCCATTTTACTGTGAAATGGTGATTGAAAGAACGCTCCGGAAAGGTTTTACTGTGTTGAGCAAATGGAGAATATTACATAATATATCAAAACTGCATAGTAATGAATCGCCTCCAAATACTAAATAATAAATGCTGAGGTAACAGAAACACTGAGCAGCACATTGATCAGTTCAAAAATACGCATTAGCCGGGTGCTGCAAGCTGCTAGTATATAATATTCATAGTCTATAACCATTTGTGCTTGTATGGCAACATATTTTTGTTACATATATGAATTAATATTTTTCATGAAGTACCACTCTCTTTGCGTGCATTTTTTTCGGATGAGAATGAAAGTCAGATAGGTGACCCTTAAATATGTGGGTGTCCTCAAACCACAAAAATTTTTGAGGAGGCTCCAATGGTATGTCCTCAATTCATACTTTAAAAATCTGGTCACCTTAGACTAAATAATAAAGTTATTGTCATGGAACCATGTGTCGCGTGTAGAGTTATTCATGGGAAAATATTTCTCACTAATTAGGTTTTTATAGGCGATCAAAATGGGTTATAGCCCTTACGAAAATTTAAGGTATATTTAAGGTTGATTTGAGGTATTTTTGAGGTATTGATTTGAGGTATATTTGAGGTATATTTAAGGTTGCTGAGAAAACAGCAATAAAAATTATACCTCGTAAAGGTTTTAATTAAAGTGTACGAGGTTGTTTTGTATATACTTCAGCTTATTTTGAGGTTGTTTAAAATCAACTTCAAATCAACCAGGTTGATGAGGTGATTTTCAAGGTATACCAGGTTGATTTTCTGACACTTGTGACAAAAGAGGTATTTTGGAGGTATAAAATTTTTTACCTTATTTTAACTAAAGAGAGTGAGGTATTTATTGAGGTATATGAAGTCATTTTATTTATACTTAAGCTTATTTTGAGGTTGTTTCAAATTCACTTCAAATCAACCAGACTGATAAGGTAATTTTTAAGGTATACGAGGTTGTTTTTCTTACACTTGTAACAAAAGAGGTATTTTATGAAGTATAAAAAAATCAACCATATCTCAACTAACGAGAGTGAGGTATTTACGAGGTATAAAAAAATATCCCATTTTTCTAGTGAAGAGAGTGAAGTAATTTCGAGGTATAAAAAAATATACCTTATTTCAACTTAAGAGAGTGATGTATTTATTGAGGTATATGAAGTCATTTTATTTATACCTAAGCTTATTTTGAGGTTGTTTTAAATTCACTTCAAATCAACCAGACTGATAAGGTGATTTTTAAGGTATACGAGGTTGTTTTTCTTACACTTGTAACAAAAGAAATATTTATGAGGTATTAAAAAATCAACCTTGTTTCAACTAACGAGAATGAGGTATTTGCGAGGTATAAAAAAATATACCTTATTTCAACTAAGGAGAGTGAAGTATTTATTGAGGTGTATGAAGTCATTTTATTTATACCTAAGCTTGTTTTAAGGTTGTTTAAAGTACACTTCATATTAACTAGCTCACTTCCCAGAGTTCCATGCGAGCCGGCAAATGGCGTGTGTGTTGACAATCGAAAGTCTATTCGAAATTCGGTAAGTGTGCTTGACATTTATTAATTTAGTTTTATCACTTTTAATCAAATATGCTTCAATTTTGAAACTTAAATTTTATTATTTTTGTTTTAAAGACACGTCCTGATCTTAAATAATTTAAGTTGGAGGATACTTTTAGAGGCTATCGTTGTAGGCTTAGCAATAAGAGAGAACAATCGAAATATTTCTCGTCGCTGTTTAGGGTAACGTTACTGGTGAATCATTACAGCAGGTTATGCACAGTATAATTTATTCAAATGGAACTACTCTTTTTATTTTGCTTAAATGTATATGTTTTAACGTAGCAGTATGCAAGTTGATTAATTGAGTAAAATGTTCATTATTTCTCTTATAAATAAATCATTGAAAATTGAAAGATTTTTTAAATAGCAATTTTGCTTTGAAATTCTACTATAGCTATAAGCATTCTGCAAGCAATTCTATAAGCACATTTGATTAAAAGTGATAAAAGTAAATTAATAAATGTCAAGCACACTTACCGAATTTCGAATAGACTTCTAAAAACAGCTGAAAGAAAAACAGCTTCGTATACCTTGGAAACTACCTCATCAGTCTGGTTGATATGAAGTGATTTTAAAACAACCTCAAAATAAGCTTAGGTATAAATAAAATCACTTCATATACCTCAATAAATACCTCACTCTCTTTAGTTTAAATAAGGTATATTTTTTATGCCTCGTAAATACCTCATTCTCGCTAGTTGAAATAAGGTTAATTTTTTTATACCTCATGAATACCTCTTTTGTTACAAGTGCAAGGAAAACAACCTCGTATACCTTAAAAATCACCTCATCAGTCTGGTTGATTTGAAGTGGATTTAAAACTGCCTCAAAATAAGCTTAGGTGTAAATAAAATGACTCCATATACCTCAATAAATACCTCTCTCTCTTTTGTTGAAACAAGGTAAAAAATTTTATACCTCAAAAATACCTCTTTTGTTACAAGTGTAAGAAAATAAACTTGGTATACCTCAAAAATCACTTTATCAGTCTGTTTGATTTGAAGAGAATTTTAAACAACCTCAAAACAAGCTGAAGTGTATATAAAACAACCTCGTACACCTTAATTACAACCTTTACGAGGTATAAATTTTATTGCTGTTTTCTCTGCAGCCTTAAATATACCTCAAATATACTTCAAATCAACCTTAATACCTCAAAAATACCTCAAATCAACCTTAAATATACCTTAAATTTTCGTAAAGGAAGGGAGGTAGCGCAGAGCAGAACTAAATATGGCAACATTTCGCCTACTTTTATCTGTAGAGCGTGGAGAGTCATCGGAGAAGGAAGTACGTTAGTTTCTGTCTTAAATTTAAAATAGATTAAATACTTTTAGATTAGGAAACTATATGGAACTGAAAACTACATTGAACATAGTTCCAAAAGAAAGCGTCATGGAAATCTTAAAAAATATTTGTAAGAATTAAACACGAAAAATATCAAGAAAGGGAAAAATATCGTAGTATTCCTATACAACTGAGAAGAGAAGGGAGAAGGATCAAGCCATGGAACCAGTCTTCTTCCTAGATGGCGTATTCGAGCGCTGCAATCGCGAATTCTCCTTCGGCGGTGATCTGAAGTAAGAGAAACGCATGCACTGAGAATAGAACTTTATTTGAATGCAATTTTTATATGCGAGCGTATTAATGCAACTAATTATTGCTACTAATTATTGCTAAGCATTCTTACTCGCGTCTGAGACAATCGGATACTGAGTGATTGACCCCTAATCAGAGTTTTTATTTATTAGCGCATGTGTGTTAAGAATGAATCTGGCTGCGTTGCAGTAGTAGAGTTCATACTTAAAGTATATTTTCTCTCATTAATCTCCGTTTCTTTCTCTGGCAACATCTTTTTCAATAGTCTGTTACTGTTCTGGTTCTGTTATAAAGTGAATTCAAGTAACAGAAACTGTCTTATCCTGTTGGTAAATAACTGAAATTCTTATTGTTTTCTCTTTAAAATTTTAATTTAACTGAATATTATTTATAACAATTTTATCTTTTGAATTTTTCATTTATTCCCAATCTTATTAATGTTTCTATCCTTTGATCTAAAATAAGTGATTTTCGAACATTTCTGCAATTCATCCTTTTTCATTCAAAAGTCAATACTTTCTTTAACATAGTTTTCCTTATTCAAATCAAGCAACAGTTAAAAATATCTGTAAAAACTGATTTTTATTTATTTTATAAACCTTAACAGTTGTTTGAAATAAGAATGAATAAACGAACGTTAGTTTAACATTACTATCATTCTTCAAGAATATTATTGTGCCAAGGACTATAATGAATTTAAATGACACTCTAAATTTAAAATTTGTTATCTTGGTTTTTGTCATGATGAAACAATAAACTACACTTGTTGCTCTTTCTGAATAATAAAATATTTCTTTGATCTCATTAGCTAGTATAATATATAATAAAAATGAAATTGTCTAATTATTTTCATTGATAAATAGATGGTAATGATATCAAAAAATATTTCAGAATTGAACATCATTACTCAAAATCAAACTTAACATAACTGTTCATTGTTGGGAAATTATGCTTTTCTGTTTATATTATCTTTTTATTATTAATTATAATCTATTCTAGTAAGCTGCCAACTAATATCAAAAGCATATTAGTTGGCAGCTTACTAATTCGATTTTTATATTTATATTAATTAAAGTATTTTAAAATCGTTTACTAATTTTAACATGTGTGATACAGTTTGAATAAGTTTTTGTTTCTCCACTGATAGAACGCAGTGTAATCGTTTATTAGATATTAAGTTTCATTAGTTTAAGAGAAATTTTAGTTTTTATATAAATTTACTTGGGAAATGTTTTACTACTTAAAAATTCAATTTAATGGAATTGTTTTTATCCTTTAAGAAATATTTTATTATTGTATTACATTTATTTAATTTTTGTTCAAAATGTCAACAAATGCCAATCATCAACCAGGATTACTTTGCTAATTTTGCATTTTTATAAAAAAAATCTGTTCACTTTTTGTTATTTACTGTGAGGAAAACAAATTCTTGGCCTGGTAGAGGAATTTAGTATTGATTTATGGTGTTAAAATATCTTTGCATGTCTTACCATCGAAGTAAAATGTTAAAAACCTGGTGACAGAGTGAGATTCTGAGAGCAACCATATCCTGTCTATCTTTAGACTAAGTTCATTGTCAATATTATCGCTGTTAAGTCTAGCCTAATCATTCTTTGAATAAATCAAAACAATGTGAATAAAGCACAAATGTACAGGATTTGATAAAAATATGTACGTTTCTGTAGGTTTATTTGTGATTTATTCACATTGTTCTGCTTTATTCACACTTAGCACAAAGTATGCCTATCTTCATTTGACTTATTGCTCTTTTGGTTCTTCAGAATACCACCAAGTGCTCCTATCTGACTAATATGTACAATGTTGTATTTTAAAGTGTATGTATTGTCTAATGTTTTTGTCCGATTGTTAGTTGTTCAGCTTGGTACGTATATGTTGAAAGAATTTTATGAATTTATGTTATAATATTTGATTTTAAAATTGCGTGAATACAAATCGTACCGATTAATTTTTAAATTGTCTGAATTCGAATAGTGATATGTAATTTTTAAACTGTGTGAATACGAACTGCAATATATAATATTTATATCACTTAGATCAATGCATGATATTAAAATCATGTGAATATGAATTGCGATATTCGATTTTAAAAACACATACATACAAATCACATCACAATACATGATTATTAAACCATGTGAATAAAAATCATGTGTTTGTTTTTTAAATCACTCAAATTTAAACAACGATTTGTAATTTTCAAATAGTGGCATATCCTGATACTTGATTTTTTTTAGACCGTGTGGACACTCCTGTTAATTTTTAAAAACTATCCGCAAAGTTTAAGAATTTTTATGCATGTCTAGGCGCCCAGCATCTATATTATCTAATTCTGGATGTGGGGCTGATTTGATTTTTATTGCTTGTCAATATTCATAGGAAACTATGGTCAGGGGCCTTATCAAATCTGGTGACTTGTTCTGTATTTTATGGTACGGTACCATCATTTTTTTTTCTTATAGACCATAAAAAGAGGAAGTTCAGCCTATCATTGTCTTGCAGTAAGCCTTTCTGTTTAAATTATAAAGTTAATTTAGTTAAAATCATGTACATAAATATATTTATCTTTGTTTTGGTATTATTTTCCATAGATCAATATCATTGAAAAATTTTGTTGATTTCTAATTTTAAAAAAAAAAAATAAATAAATCTTTCTGAAATAACTTACGTATTTCTCTTGTAGTTTTTATCTGCTAGTGGTCATTTTCTTGTTGACTAAATGCATATTAAAGCAGATTTCAATAGTGGGGAAAACTTCCGCTGCTGCATATGTTTTCATGTACGTACTGGCACTATAATTCTTGGAATTTGGCATTTGGTGAGTAGAAATCTGAAAAAAAATTTATTATGGTCTTATGCTTTATTATACAAATTAAGTTGTTTACTTATCTATATTTTTATATTTGTTTTATATTTCTATTAAAAAAGTATCGAATATATAGTAAGCTTTGAGCTACAATTATTACTATGATTTATCCTCTTTTTTTCCAAGTAATTGTTTGTTTTTTTATCTTAGTGTATCTTTTACTATAGTTTTATTTTTATATTATTATGCTAATCTATTTAATGCTACACTAATCTATTCTGATATTTTTTTGAAAAAGAATTAAATTATAACAGAAGGAAAACTTAGTGACATAGGTCAGAGAGCTATCCTAAAAAATTACAAGTGTTCTTAAAATTAAATGTGCTAATGAATTTGCTTCATTATTTCGTTACTGCTTAGAGAGTTAATACATTTTTGATTATCAAAACTGATAAAGACTAAAGAAACGTATGTATGCTTATGAAAAAATCTATTCAATATAGAGTCTACATTCTTTAGTGTGACTCCCTGTTACTATGACCCTTCCATTATAATGACCAATGCCTGAAGTCCTGTTTGATCCTGCTGGTGAAGAGCTCTGAGTTAAAATTTAAATCCCGATGGCCGACTAAACTGCTGTGTCACAATTGCAAGATCTGAGGTGTCAGGACCCCCTCAATGTCTTTGGGAATGAAAAATCAACATTTTGAGAAGAAAAAAAAATTTCTGTTTTATTTTTCCTGAAAAATGACATATGTTTCATTTACATAAAACAATTTATAAAAAATAAAAAAATATTTATAAAAAAGAAATACACCTCAAAATTGAACTACATTAAAAATAACAAAATAAGCATTTACATAAATAATATAATTGTCATGACCAATCTAACTTTTCTCTCAAATGAGCAATAAAACGCTCTCTTCACTGAAGAAAATTGAATGTGAAAAATCCTTTTACTCTACCTACTTTACACCCCTCATTGAGTTCTCTAATCTTCTTAAAAATTGCTACCTACCCAAGTATCACATAATATTAGCTATCGGAAAATCTGGCATTGTTTTGCACAACTTTTAGAAAATAGTAAGATACAAAATAATATCGGAAAATCTAACATTATTTTGCACAACTTTTGAATAGTAAGATACAAAAAGTCACTGTTTTCTCTGCATTCTATAATGTTAGATTATATACAATATAATATTATCTAGTGTTTCTCATAATATTATTTTGCATTAATTATTTAATGCTTTAGAATATTAGATTTTATGTTTTCTGTTATTATTTTGTGTCGTTTTTTCTTTATGTTTGAAATAAGCAAGACGGAAATTTGAATGGTTAGTAGAATAATTTGGCAATATTATTTTACTTAATTTTCTGTATTTTTGTGAAGCAATAAAACATAAAATAGTATTTATGTCATTCACGCATTATTTATTTAACAATACCGAAATACTAAATGAAATTTTACTGCCGAATTCTGCCACCATTCATTTTCCTCCTTTTTACTCCAAATTATATTTTGTGTCGAACTGATTATTATGCATGAATATTTCAAATTTAAGTACCGTAATTTCGCGGAGAAACGCCGCCCTGGTATATACGCCGCTCCCTCAAAAATCGACTGACAGAAAAAAACTTTTCACCAGACACGCCGCACCATGGTACACGCCGCGCCGAATTTTTAACAATGAAAGAATTTTGAACTTAACGCAGGTATTGATTGAAGACTTAACACATGCTCTAAATATGCATATGTATATAATTTAAATAGTTAAATAAAAATGAATAAAAGAATATTAAATATTTAAAAAAAAATAGAAACAATCCCAGTATATATAAAAGATTTTAATAATTTTCTAAGTAAAATTAAGTATTTTCTAATTTTAAAGTGAAGTAATCATTAAAACATAAATAAAATAATTAATATATCATAAACCATTAAACTAAGTATGAAATTTTTTAAAAATAAAACGATTTTACTTTTAAATTAACAACCCAAAATCGTGTTTTAGAAATAAACGATAAATCCAAACAAATTTTGCTCAAAGAAAAACTTAAGAATAATTTATTTAGATATCACGTATCACTATATATTCATATCACTGCACTTAAATATTCCTCAAAATCACAACTCTCTGTATCAGAGCAAATTAGGTTTACTATTTAATTGTATATTTCGGGTTAATCTCCGTCACTTTCGGTTTCGTTTGTCCCGGGATGATTTCCGCTTTTTTGAAGCCATTTATCACAGTTTCTTTTTCTCTTTTAATTGCTGACAGCGAAAACGCGGCGGTATAATTTTCCCTCTTAATGGGAGGCATTTAAAATGGATAACTTAAATACAAGTTATGTTAAAACAAATCGAAAAAAAAATATTAACGAAAGAAAAATATTAATAAAACAAAAACGCATGGGAACTGAAGATAAAACGATAAAAAATAAAAAAACTTAATAATAATAAGCTGAGGAACATGATCGAAATCAAAATCAGACAGAAATATGAGCAATGAAAAAAAAATAAACAATAAAAAGCTCCCTCCCAAGCATTTAAAACAAATTTCTATTTTTAGCAATTCCCCCCCCCCTATTTTCGTTTCTCAAATCAGGTTTCTTTTTTCAACTGACTCCGCCTAGGACGGTCTTTCTTTTATCCCTGTCTAAAATTCTCACACACTTTGCTTTTTCTATCTGCACTGACCCTCAGTGGAAAGTTTGAAATTCTTTTTGAACATTCTAATTGTAAGATTATTGAAGGTCATTCCAAGCTCATCAGCATGCTTTATTTACCAAACATTCACATGTTTTTAACAACAAGCTGAAGAAAAAAGGGGAGTGGAGAGAGGCATCCATGACAAGTGGAAGAGTCATATTTCCTGGAAGGAACGGGGGGGGGGAAGCGTTTGTTTTACAGTTACTTTATCACTGGCCCCACCCTGATTTTCTTCATTCATTCCTTTCTGATTTATGCTTCTCCACTCCACGCCCATTTCCTACACTCAACAGCTGTCCATATGGCAGAAGGGAAAGAGAGACTTTGTTCTCTTGTGGATAGTGGTCTCCAGAAAATGATTCCAAGAAAGGATTAGGGAGGGGAAAANACTTAATTTTCTGTATTTTTGTGAAGCAATAAAACATAAAATAGTATTTATGTCATTCACACATTATTTATTTAACAATACCGAAATACTAAATAAAATTTTACTACCGAATTCTGCCACCATTCATTTTCCTCCTTTTTACTCCAAATTATACTTTGTGTCCGACTGATTATTATGCATGAATATTTCAAATTTAAGTATTAATACTTGAATAGATAAACTTTTCTTCATAATTTTCTTTACTTTACCCAAAGAATTTTCTGATAAATTTTATATTATTAATCTTTTTCAAGTGTTTGTTTTTAATTTTGAATGTATTCCTAAACTTTTTTTTAGAAATGAACCAATTTCATCAAAATCTCAATTGATCTTGTTAGTTTATAAAACGTGTTTTATAAAAGTCTCTCATTATTTATATAAGTCTCTCTATCTCTCATTTTATTCTAGCCATTAGTAATTTTACAGTGATCATTCATTATTCACATAATGAAATTCTATAATGAAAACCACATGTATAGTTGTAAAGTTATATTTTCATTTGAAGTGAGTTGAAATTTTAACATTTAAAAAAATATTTTTTCCCCTCACACTTTTGAAATATAGCTATATGTCATTATTTCCATGAAATGAAACTGTAGCTTTATTTAAAGCTTTATTCATGGCTGAAATGAAATTGTTTTAATTTTTAAGTTATCATATTTTGTAATAATTTCAATAATAAAGAAAATAATTTAAATATAAACAAATTACTTACATCCATAAATTTTCTTCCACTTCTTTTTTTCACTGTAATTAAATGGAAAAATGCTTACATAATTTTATTTTTTCAGTGTCTGAAATTTTACCTAACAAAAAACCTGAAACAAACCCCAAAGGCACCCTTCGAAATGTTTTCAGGGGGTGAAAGCTGGAAAGCATTGAATATTTTTAAAAATTGTCACTTTTTTAGATTGTAAAAATTTTATGTGGACACATATGACATTTTTAATAATTCCATAATTATTTAAAGCTAATATGTACTGAACCAACAATGTTTGCCCAAATATTTACATAACGTTTGAATTTCAAAACAAAAAAAACAGAAAGAAATATTGTTTTATCTAATTTATTAAATTTGCACAAACATGCAATTGCACACGAGAAGAAACAGCAAAAAAAAAAAATGAAACAAATCATTACCATTGCTTGTATTTCACTGATAAGAGATTAACGAAGTAGCCACTGATAAAATTTTGTTATGCATTTACAAAACATGGTTTCACAAAGAATGTAAGGGCTGGGTCATTTGTCAGTTCATCCAGCCATGGCACCCACCACCTCAGATTTTGATGAAAATTTGTACACTTATTAATTTTTTGATGCTGATTTCAAAAATAACAACTATATTTGAATCGGTTAAGGGGTTTAAAAGTTATAAGCATTTATTTTTTTGCCAAGATGGCACATTTTGATTCACACATCAAAGCCTATTACTGTCTATAACTCACCTTATATTTGTCATAGAATAATAATTTTTTTTATTTTGTTCAGAATAAAGTAATTTGTCATTTAAGCATATTTTTTTGCAAATAATTATCTTACGTGTAAAGTAAATGTGTCTGTTTTGCAGTTTTTTTATCAGCGGAGTTTAGTAACTTCAGGAGATAATTTCTGGCAACTCGCCCCCTTCAATTTCAAAAATATTATAGACAAAGATAGTTGAAAGTGCATGCTAACGTCTGATGTAAAAATTTTGATGGACGGTTCTCACACTTTTTTTTAAAAGAATTATTTTTTAATGGCAGATTTCATTCTGAATAGCAACAGCATAATGCTTATAATTTTTCAAAATAAACATATATTTTGAATGAGCTAGCTTTTAATTTAAAGTAAATACATTCAAAGTAAAGAAACTCAAAATTTCTGTTGAAAAATCAAAAAAAAAATCAATATTAATTCAAAAACTTTCAATAAAAATCAAGCACCTTTAGTTCTTTAAATCTATTTTCCTGTTGCAGAAGAATATTTTTTCCATTGTTTACACACTGAAGTGTTTGACTCATCATTGAGCATGTATGTCCTTCCTGTTTTGCTGTTAATATCACCTGTACGAAGAATATTTGTAAAAGGAACTATGCAACTATCACTTTTTGGCCAATAATATGACAGGGATGGGCCATGTGGATGCATGAATTTAATTGTGGTGTCTCCTTCTTCCATGTGAACTTTCAAAACCATTTCAATGTACCAATTTGCATCATAAACACATGCCACATAGCTATGTACAGATGGAACATCAAAATTATTGGTAGTACTGGAATCTAAACAGGCAGTGATGGAAAATTCTACATCAAAACTTACCCTTTTCCCTTTGATTTGCATATTACCTTCTGGTTGAAAAAAATGCATACTTCTTGTACCTGAAACTGTTTTTGCATGCTGCAGTCGCCTAAATAATTCTTTACGCAGTTTAATCGTTTCAATGTTGCTGATGAAAAAAAGGTGTATACCTTTTATATTACTCTTACAATATTCATGCATCTTATGTACATTAATTATTTGATCATGCAATGGTCTTTACAAGCTTGCTTTTGACACAAGCCTTTTAACTGTTCCACCTATTCCATCGCAAGCAGACTATCCTTGGCTGGTAGCAAAAAAATTCCACTTTGCACTTATTCCATAAAACTCAAATTCATGGTTACACAAATTCAAAAGAGTTTAGCAGTTTTTGTATTGACCAGCGCAGCCATCAGTAAAATATTCAACATTGGTCACATTAGGAAAATTTTCTCTCAAATATTGCATCATTAGCTTTTGTGTCTGGTATACTATTGATACGTCATGATCCATATCATCTGAGAGGAAATAAAAGCTTTCACTAATTAAATTTTCATTTTGCTTTACATATAATACAACTGTGTGTAAAGTGCAACAATTGTGAGTCCAGTGATAACCTTGTGCTTCATCTTGAAGAACAAAAGAAAAATTTTCACTGAAATCCATAATAATAATTGCCTCATTGCTGTTGATGCAATTTACCTTCCAACCTTCAGAATAAGTTATAGCAAATTTAAATTCTTCATTCAACGTAAATACAACTTCGAATATTCCATTTTATTTTTAAATCATTTCCTATCATTTACAAATTAATATAAATAATGATGTATCAAAAACATGTAGATCATTCTATATTAAATAAATATCAATATAGATGTTTAACTCAATATAGATGTTTAAATATCAATATAGATGTTAAACATGAAATATTAATGAAGTAACAATATTGTTCGTCTTATGTATTAAACTTTAAATATTCTAAAATGTAATGGTTTTAGACGCTAAAAGTGGCCTATTATTATTTTTAAAATTATTTTAACATGGCAAACTTGCTTACAAACACTTATTTTTTATCTTTGTCATTATTGAATTCTGTCACTTGAGAATAACCAAGTAAATGTTATTTTATAAGCATATTTTGAATTAACTCAAATACTTATTATTTTCTTTATATTTTCAAAGTCTTATAACAAAGTATATCTACCTGAAATATTTATTTAAAGCCCTTTGACAGTGACATTTGAATTATGAGGCAAAAATAAAAATAAATAAAACTGTCTGATCTGAGTTGCTGAATACAAAAATATTTTATTGAAAATTAATTTAAATGCTATGGGAAAATAATATGTATGTTAAGAAGCTTAATAGAGTTTCTAAAATTATATTTAGAACATACCTCAAAACTATAAGTGTATTGAGTATAATGGTTTCTTATTAAAACTAAAAATCCCTATGTAACTATATGGAGTGCAATACTTGTGATATTGGTAGTAAGTGCCTTCTCTTTAATGACAAAAAGAGTTTTGATCTTAAATTAGTATCAAAGTGTAATACCTTACATTATTAAATGAATGTAGAAAATTTCCTCAGTCTTATAAAGCAAATTATTATATTTATAAGAGTAGAAAAAGAAAAATCAGGTCATTGTAAAAAAATTTCCACAACAAGAAAATATGTTTCACAAATTTTCTTTTTAATGATTAATCTGTAACTATACTTTAAGGTATTACATCTGTTAGCTCTGACACTGCTCTTTAGTGTCTTGATACATCCTGAAGCCAGAAATCGGTTCACGGCTTGGGCCACATCGGGCACAGCAACACCACATGATGTTAATGGTTTGTTAACTCCTGAGTATTACAGTCCACAACTGCCAGATTTGAGTGCAGGTCCTGCTGCAAATTATGCATTTGGGCATGATAAACACCAACTCAGTAAGTTCCATTTCAATGAAGCTGCCGCTTATTTATTTCTCGATTTATAATAAAATTGAATAACAATTAAATATTCATTGCATAATAAAAATAACTAAATTTATATCAATCCTATTATTGCTTTATTTTAAAAAAGGCAATTAAAACAATTGTAACAACGGAGTACATCGATTAAGTTAACATACTACTAAATATTATTATTATTCTGTATTTAGAATGCAAAGGTCGAGTTATCCTGGAAATTAGGACAATACTTTTATAAATTAAAACAGGTGCCAAATTTACTTCATGATTTGTTTATTGATGAGGGAATTTATATATCTGTGACAACTACAACTAATAAAAATTTTAAAAAGATACATATTAGTAAAAAAATAACTCATCCTTATGCCTGTTAACGAGAAAATGGTAACTATATGATAGTAACATGCTTAAAATAATACCCTTCAAATATTTAGTTAGCACTTTTAATTTCAAAAATACTGTTCTAATTTGGGAGGGCAAAATTTCATCTCCTGTAGGCTGTTAATCCTGAAATAGTTCAATTGTTAGGTTAAGTTTTCATAAATAAATAAAATGAATTTGTTCCAAAATAAAACATATAAAAAGCGAATGAAATTTTCTACTTTCAATTTATTGTCAAATGTTTCAATCAGTTAATATAATACTCAAAAATTTTCATTAATGATTAACAATTGGCATTGGATTTAATGCCTTTTTTTATAACATTGAATGTTATTTCTTCTTTTTACAAACATTAAGCCTTGTAGTTCATGCATAATTTCCCCCTAAATGCGTGATATTTATTTTTCATGGCATGAATACTTTTTGACTAAATACAAAAGCAATCGCATAAAAGTATGATAATTCCATGTTGATTATTTCGAAGTTTAATAAATAAATGAAAAATTAATGGTCTTATATGCTTTAACACTGTATAGATATTATTCTATTTGTAAATATTTTAAAGTAAAGAAATAATTTGACTTGTCAAAAATTCATTTTTATTATATTGACTTTTTTTTTTTAATTTTTCAGAAGATGTTCATGTGGCTTTGGCAATAACTGTGTGCACTGGTGTACTAACATTATTTCTACTTTATGGTACACTTAGAGTATGTCATTTAACTTATAAATAATTTTTTAAATATAAATTTTAATACCTATTGTTATATTTCCTCTTTCTTCATTGTGAATTGAAGTTTGAAAAAATCTGATGGGAGGCTTGTTACGAATAACCTAACCTAGCATATTTTAAAAATCCCCAAAAGACCAAGGCTTCCTTTGGTTTTGTTTTAGATAGTTTACGCTTTTACTTTAAAAATATAAATTTCTTATAAATTGAATGTGATGTTTAAACAAAGCATTGTTCAAACTTATTTCATCATATGCCTTACTATAATTATACCTTTGTAATATTCACACAAAAAAATTCTAATATCTAATTTGCTGTTTTTATTTTTGATGATTTAGAAAAAATTAGTGGCAGCACATTAGATTAATCATAGTCCTTGCATTAATTTTAAAGAAAGAATGGTCAAAATAATATGTAAGTAATGAAATGAATTATAAATTATAGAAATGTGAGAATAGTTCCGAATTTAAGTTCCATAAAGAAAATTCACCGGTTAATAAATGTAATGTTTATATCACTCTAAATTATATATAATTTTTTTTATCTAGTATTGTTAATTTGTTATTATAAAATGCGTCAGATCTATTTATTACTATATATATTATGCATATATCCTAGTTTCATTGTGAATCACATTTAATATTTAATGAAAAAAATCCAGTTCGAATATGTTGAAAATTAGCGATTTAATGAGTAATTTTTTGTAAAGAAAACTCTAAATAATGATCACAAATATTGTTTTGTACTATTAAACAAGACATATTAAAATTGGCACTGGCGTTATGAGAGGATTATTCCCCCATCCTTTCTTTCACATATTTTTCTTTTCTTATACCATCACATTCTGTACTGATGATCATTGTGAGATATTATCATTTGTTATTAAATTTTGTCCCGTGACATAAAATAAAATGTGTACCCTCAAACCTCTGAAATTTCTAAACTTAAATGGTAAGTATGAGAAATTGCATGACCTAAACACCTTTTAAGTTATAAAATAATCATTTAAGTATTTCTTGAGAAATTTTAAAAAATGTCAAAAACTAAATGTGGCTTCAATTTTTGTACAGTAGTGTATACTTTTTGACAGATTTTTATTCTTGACCCTCAAAGTATGGTGGCGCTGAATAGTCAAAATAGATGCCAAATGTATGAGCCCTTTAATTTTAACTTAACTGTTTGTATATTTTGCCATAACTCTGAAACTATTTATATGGATCTATAAGAAATTTTTTGCACAGTTATGAAGCTAATTTTTCAAAGGTGCCATGTAAAAGAAATTTTTTTGTGATTAATAATTATTTAATTTAATGGCCGAAAATGTTTTGAAAGAAAGATCTATTTTATCTCATTTTAAACTTAATAATTTCAAATGACCAAATACAATGATTCCAAAAATAAAAATTACCTGCATAGTTTCTGAGAAAAATTTCAAAAAAAGTTGTATTTTTAATATATATAGAAATTGATATTGTATTAACGAAAAACTATTGAGGTACAAATGATCCCAAATAAGCTTAAATTCCATGTAAGAAATGTGATATAATGCTGTGTATAACCATCTAACCCATTTTCAAGCAAAATAACCCATTAATTCATAAAGTTGAATATCAACATATAAAAAATAACCCTAAATGAATAACGAGAAACAAAATCATTTTTTAATTTCAGTGTTTCAAAACTGTTCTCGTTGCTGTCATATGTAAAGAACTGAGGATTGGTTAAAAAACAAGAACAATTGGTTAAAAAACAAGAGAGAGAAAATATCTCCTTTTTTTCAAGGAAACAAATGATTTAGTTTTAAATAAAGTATTTTAATACCAAACTTTTATTTGTAGTAGGAAATATTGTGATTTTTATTATTATCATTTTCATTGAAACAATAATTCAATAGAAAAATGTATTCAAAAATTGAACATCTGATGGGTACTGTTTAGGCAGAATTATCAAACCAGATGCAGTAGGAATGAGTTAAATATTAAGGTATAGATCATTTCAATGTATATATACACTGTGTACCGTTATAGTATGTTTCTCATGCAGAATTATTTTAAATAAGAAGATAAATTACCTAATTAGAAATCGTGCCATCATATGAAAACTATGAACTAAATTGTTAGCGAAATCTATAGTCAAGCAGCTTTAAAGTTAAAATAACTTGGAACACACTCTACTGGCCCCGTGTCACAATACTCACCCTTTATTAGAAAGGATACTTGTATAGCTTTACTTCATCTCATTCCCAATAATTATAACTTTAAAATTTTTAAGTATTTTTGATGATTTTTTTTTAAAAATTAAAAAATAACTACTTTATTAAAATTAAGTTGCAATATATTGGTATATTGTTATTTTCAATGAGTTAAAAATTATTTGTGTATGGCAAAAAATACATTCTGTTTTAAGTGTTGTCAATGGGAAAAAATCTTTAATGTTCTGAACTGTACATAATTTTATGTAACAAGCATTTGATAATCAAAGTACTTAATCTTATTCTAAACAGGTGTTGTTGTTTTTTAGTTATGGGATACATTCAATAGCATTCTACTTAATAAGTTCAGTTCTGTTCCAGTTGATTAATGTGCTAGTTTATTTCAAAGTTTGATTCAAAAGTTGCTCTTGCCTATACTAGAATGATTTGAAAACCTAACCAAACATACTAGCTATTAGATATTTCAGCCAATTTTACTTTTCTTGTTCATTTTTCTTTGTTTTGAGAAGCATTCCATTACTCAGCATTTAAGCTCATTTACACTAGTGTTTCTTTATATGACTTGCACTAATTACATAATTCTCACGAGCTATACTTATACTAAATTTTATTTTAATATTATGCTGTATTGATTTAAAGCTTGTACTTAAGTTATTTAAAAAATAACCTAAAATATTTTAAGGCTTTTGAAACAAAAAGACCTATTTTAAAACTAGTTATAAAATTTTATTATATCAGTATTCATTTAAGCAATTTATTCATTAACCATGACATTAAAAGCACTAAACTTTTATCTCTAATCATCAAAATCATTATATCAATAGAAAATTTATGTTTTCAATAAATAAGAAATTTTACATTGATTTCAAAATTTTTATCATATTTTTAATCATTATTAGTTTCAAAAAAATAGTAAAATAGATTTTATACATTTATAAGTTTGAAACTGTGTAAATAATTTTTGAGCAATCTTAAATTTTATGTCATTTTAATTTATCAATATTTATTTTTCATGTCTTTATAGGCATTCCTTTAACTAATTAATGGGTAGAAACTATTTATTGTATATTATATTATATTAAAAATATTTTTTTAGGGTAAACCAAATTATTTGATGCCCTTCTTCAGTCTACAAGTATTCGATTTCATTATATCTGCATTAACAGCTGTGGGTTACTTCTCATCTGTGCCAGATGTTCGGAGAATGCTAGAGGAAGCTTCAGATTTACCTCTGCAAAAACAGTTGCTACATTTAAATCCAGAATGGCTCTGTGCAATATTGATGATTGCTGTTGTTATATGCATGATGCTTAAGGTTAGGTTGCTTTACAATATTAATTATTTTTACTTAAAGATATTTTTTTGTTGTTGTTTACTAATGGTAAAACTGTTTATACATGCATATATATCATAAGAAATCCAAGGATGAAATTCTGTTACCATTAAATTATATTCATCCTATAACAGTACATTTAATTAATTAGCCTATAATAATGAATAATAAATTTTACTTAATAATTTATTGAAATACATAGTTATCTGTAAAATCCAATTTAACTATTCTAAAATACTTTTCTTGACTTAAACTTTAATTCGTCATACTCTCTGAAAATATTTGTGTAAAATATACAATTAAGACAGTAAAAAGCTATAAAATTGGATTTTACAGGCTTTTTTTCTTAAAAAATCATTTTTTATATTTCATTATAAATTACTTCAAATCAGTATCATTTCTCGTAAGTAGCTGACTCCAGTTTTATTTCACTTTCATTTAAACTAATTCTAAAATCTGTGCTCACTCTTTGCCAATAGCCTATTAGTATAGCTCTAGTGTAACATTATGAAACAAATAAAATTTTCTCTGATATTGTTATTATCTTTATTCTATTTCCCAAACACTAAGCTTAAAAATTTGCAGAAGTATTATTCTTATCAATGTTTCTTTGGGTAGTGACAGTTAAAGAAAGACACAATGACTTTTGTTTGCTACTTATTATATCTTGACATCTCAGGTGTTCATGATTTTGCATTACTGATAGTTCTTTTAGATTATGTATTCCTTATTGGTATTTATCTATATTATAATTGTATTTATAAACAACTTCTAGAAATATGTTTATTTATTTTTTGCATTCGAATAACTATAACCACCTGGAAAAAAACTTTAATTAAATCTTCTCTGAAATTCAATACTAGAATGCTTGTGATAAAAAATAAAAACAATTTTCATGAATGTTAAAGCTAGAGTTATATGATAAATTTGTTAAAATTACTGACACCTATCACAGGCAACTCCATTTAAGCATTACTATATTAGTTTTTAAATAATGTAATTAGCCTTTCCATGAGAATTAAAATCTGACAGGACTGATGAAAAACTTCATCTTATTGAAAATTTGACTTATTATTTTTGGGTTTCAGCTTTAAAGTAATACCAATAGTCTTTTTGAGAGTTATACATATCATTTAATGATGTTTTTTCTTATAGTATGATAATTCAGATTAATTTCATTTTTCATGTCAAAAGTTTTTACCTTTGCACAGACATCTTTAGCAATAAAAGTTTTTCCCATCCTAACTCCCAACAGCAAATAATAAAGGCAAACCTCTTTAATAACTTAGATAAATAAAATAAATAAGTAAATGAAAATTTTCAACGCATACATCTACTTTCATTATTTTCAAATTCCAGTACAATATAGTGCAGCGCTTATGTTAATAATGAATAATAAATAAATTTTTTTTAAAAATTTACTCATAGTGAATATAGTAACTGATTATCTATATATACATTGCTATTTTTTTAGCTGTGAAGGATTGGAATAAAAGAGATTGATTTTAAAAAATTGATTAATAGCATTAAATTACAGATAAAGGGTATGAGACCTCATAAAAAAAGAGTTACGGTAATGTATAAATAAGGTATATACTCCTAAATTAATGTAATGTATATACTCCTAAATTAATTACATCATAAATTAAAGGTTTTTCTTATTACAGAACCTGTAATAAGATTTTAAAAAATTACTTTCAGATGATTAATATTATATTACCACATCAATTTAAGTGAAAAGGAATGAGTCTCCTTATTTTCAATTAATATTTCATTTTTATTTATTTTTAACTTTGAATTGATTATAGATTAGTGAAATTGTAATTTTCATAAGACGAAAATAACAATATAATCAATTAAAGTATGATTTCTAGGCATACTTCATGGGAGTAGTTTGGTCTTGCTATAAATACTTGAAACTGTTGCAAATGGCTGAAATTGTTGGAAGTTACATTGAAGCAGATAATGAAGTAAGCATTATTTAAATCATTTTATAATGTGTTCTGATTGCTAATTTATTTTTCAAAGTTTGGTTACTAGGCAATGAAAAAATTATTCAATATAAACGTTAAATAATAAATTTCTTAACTAGAAGTACTTCAAAATTTTCTTGATGTTAAGATGTTGATATCATTAGGAAAACTTCATCTCTACATATACACTGATCTTTCATTTAGTAATGTGAGTAAAAATTAATTTTTCAGGTAAGCAGGGAAGTTTGGCCAAATGTTTAAAAGATCAATTAGTTGAGCTTCCATTATTCTTATCAATTCTTTATACAATGAAACTTATCAATCTAATATTCAAATATAAAATAAAATTTTAAAATCAAATGCACTCTAAACAAAACATAATTTTAATTGTAACATGAATTAGGCTCTGTTCTGCCATTTCGACAAGTTTTGTTCAAATTAATTTATATATGTTGTAAAATTTGTATGTAAAAAAATATATGTATTTAGAAAAGTAGACACAATTTTTTCCAACAAATTATCTTAATACTTAATTATGTTTATAAAATATGTAAAACTTTATACAAAATCAGATCTTTAAAAAAACTGAATCTAGTATAAATCAAAATCAATATTAATGAAAACATAGCTAGCTTGTCCACAAAGCAGGAAAGACAGCCACTTTGGTTTGATTATTTATGCTTCATAATGATGCAACATTCCATCTTTATCTCAGAATGCCAAGAAAATCAGAAACAAAGAATTGGTCACACATTAAAAAAAATTTCTTTGAAGTGGATTATAATTAATTAAAAAATTAAACTTTTTTAGATTATTATAACTTAATTAAAAAATTTAAGTATGTTGCAATGATCTAAATTCTTATAATGATACCTTAAAAGAGATTCAAAACTGAAAACAGAGTCTAAGATTTTAAAAATTATCCAAAATTAATATTTTTTTATTTAAATAAGGTAATTTAAATAAATTTGGTTTATAATTTGTATCATAAATATAAAAAAACTAATTATTCTCCTAGTGTTATTGTAGTTTTTACATAAACTAATTGCTTGCATTTTTTATATACTTAGGCTCTATTGCCACCAGATTATGATACAGCAACTAAAGCACCACCTCATGCTGCAATGTATGCACCCCCACCATATGTTGCTGATTTTCATGGAGTATAAACAAATTTCAAAATGTGTTGCTCCTTCATTATACATATATGTATCTAAAGTGAATTTTTTGTGTTGCTAGTCTGTGGAGCTTTTTTCTTTTTTTGTTTGTTTCCTAGATTGTAGAACATATTTCAAATCTTTCTAGTCTCATTTCTGTGTATAAAAAAATTTGTTTTAAATACTGATTGATTTTTTTATTTATTTAATAAATCATCAGAACTAATATTCAACTAATTTTTGTTAATATATTAAAAATATATCACAATTTTGTTTATATATTTTGTTAATATACCACGCCAAAATTTAAATAAATCAATAAAATTCAGTACTATATAGTTTTGAATGTTAGCTCCATAAGATTTCACTTGATAATTTTGTATTAAGTTAATTTGCAATGAAGAAACAATTATGTGAAATGTTAAAAATTATATACCACTTTACTTTTAATATACAGGAGTTGGTCAAAATATTGGAAACACTCCTATACCAACACATTTTTTGGTCTTTCCCAAAAAAATACTTAAAGAATCATTTTATAAGTGTGTAGGTTATGCGATTTTGCATTCTTATTAAGGAAGTTCTACTATTAAATAAGATTAATTAAAAATGACACGAGCATTGTTAAGGATTATCCTCATAAAAGCATCTTTTTTTTCCTCATGCAATCATATTTCAGTGTATGAACATTTATTGTAAGTTATTTAGTTTTATCTTATACAAAATAATATTTATAGAAAACCTGTTATCATTTTGAGTTTCTTTTAAAAAGTACAAAAACTACAGTTGCTTGAAACTTCTTAAATTTTTAAGATATTCAAATCGGACTTTTTTCATTAGTTGCCAAATACGATTCCCTACAAAATTAAGAAAAAATACTAAATTTTTTCTGTGCATGCGCATTATATAAGAACTACTTTAATTACTTATATAGTGCACAGTTTTCAACAATTTTTTTCAAATTTTAAAGCAAAAACTTTTTAATTAATCTTAAATTATTCTGAAAGTTTTCTTTAATTCTATTGAATATTTTTTAAATTGTAGCAAAAAAACGCAAGACAAAAAAAACTCTAAAAATGTCTAATTATTTCATATAACCAAAATAATTATTACAAGTTTAAAAAAAATTTCCAAGTTTTTTGACATAGGGTGTTCAAAAACACTATTTTCCGTTTGTAACTTATTGTCGGTCCCTCAAACCTCTAAAAGCTTTCAACTTCATTGATAAGTATGAGAAATCGCATGTTGTAAACATTTCTGAAGTTATGAAATTGATATTTTAGTATTTTTTGAGAAATATGAAAAAATTTAATAGTATAGAAGTGCTTCAACTATTTTGTCCACTCCCTGTATATATTTGAATCAAAATTAGCCTGAGATGTACAATCATGCATTATCTCTGGCTAGTTTTTTTGTGACAGTGTTCGCAAAGCATATACATCAATTTCTTAATATTTGTTTTATGTTATATCCCTGAATGTATTCTGTTTGAATGCATGTTTAGTTGTAACAACAGTTTTAAATCTTAGACATTTAGTTAAGTGTGGGATTCAAGTTTTTCCTAAGTAAAAATAAGTGATATATTTGGTAGTGGTAGAACATATACTTAGTGGTTAGGCTGGATTATTTTTCTCATAAATTGAAAGCTGCAAGATAATAGTATTAACATTTATTTAGTTTGAATCTAACAACTTGTAAATTCTCTTACAAAACTTCTGAAGAAATTATTTTGAAAAATGCTATTATTAAAACTGAAATTAGTTAAAATTTACAAAAGTATGTTAGTTTGCATCTTCTAACATCAGATTTAAATTCTGTCTTTATGTATTGGTTTAAAAATATTGTAGGTTCATTAATATTGATTAGAGAATTAATCATTAAACTTTCTTATAATACTCTTTTACATTTTTTGTAGTAACTAACAATTTAGTTAAATTCGTTTAAAGAAAGCTCAAATATTTCCTTATTGTTTCTTTCAAGCAATCATAATTTTGTATTACTTTTGTAATATATTTAAATCTACAGTTTTTGAACAATCATGTTTTTAGGTGCTACTAAAAAGGACTTCAGAATTTCTAAAAGCGTTTCATTAAATTATTACTTTCCCTTTTAGATAACTAAAATTTTTAAAAATTTAATATATTTACTTAACAGGCATTTATTCTCTCATTAAAATATTATGTTGATACAACAGTGTTCATTACTTAAACACTGTGATTTTGTGTGTATTATAGCATTTCATTATATCTATATATATATATATATCTTTATTTTATTTTTATTTTACTGCATTGCTGAAGCAATTGGTTTTCTTTTGAAAACAATATTTTTTCATGTGTGCAACCTGATAAATAAAACATTATTTCTGCAGTATTAAACGACCCTGTTTTACCTCCATAAACAAGTTAATTTTTTTTTAATACACTGCAAAAATATACTTATTTAATCTTTATAAATACTACAATTTTCTGAAAGTGCATTTTAAAAATTTACTATTATTCAGAAAAAAAATTTATGTAAAAGTTGCAAAAGTTTTACAATAGAATTTCTACTACAAACTTAAAAATTATATACTTGTCACATACCTATATATATATATATATATCTATACATTGATGAACAATTTTGCACCATATTTTATGACTAATTAAAACATATTTTGGTTCAGTTTGTTTATATTGTGTAAAGTTATATCAGTATCTTTTCACATAGCAAATAATTATATATTATATGTTAAATCTATTTTCAATCATATATTTCCAAGTTATTGCAATAAAATTAATAATGTAAATTGATTATAAAGGTAATAAATATTGTTTAAGTTTCTTAACAATTAGTACTGCTTCTTTAACAATATTACCATTGTCAACACATAAATTACATTGTAGTTTGAAAATATAAGTTTTCTTTTCTATCTAACAATTATTTTTAAGAAAATTATGAAAGAAGGGAGGCAAGCTGTGCCCAAAAATGTATTGTGATACTAAAACAACTTAATTTCATTTCTTTTTAAATTAAATAATTTATTCTTAACTACTGGGACATATTTAGAATTTCTCAGCATGTATATATAGCTCTAAGTACAATGGTCTGTAAATTTTAAAAAATTAATTGCTTACTAAAATTCGATTTTTCAGAATATTTCATCCCTATTTTTTATATTTTTTGGCACTACTCGAAACCTCAGTTGAAGTTTAAATATTAGGACTATTGCATTTATATTTTACAGAAATATAAGATAAAATATTTTTTTTTTTAAAGTTTTGGTTCTATTCGCTAAAAATTTAGTGCAAGGGAAACTATCAAAAATTTAAAAGTCAACTATGGAAGTTAGAAGAAACTTAAAATTAAACTTAGTCTCCAGGAATAAAGTTCACTTATCACTCTCTCACAGCTTCAATAGAAACACATATGCAGTGTCTATTGAAGCTGCGCATACATTAATCTTTATATTTTGAAAAGCATATAATTATAAATATTTTGACTGATAATACTTTTGATTGTATAGCTGCAATCTTAAATCTTAAAGATTTCTAGAGAAAACATTTCATAACGATTTTTTTAAAATCAAAATTTTAAAAGTTTAAATCAACACTGACACTCAACCATGAAAATCAATAATTGGAATTTTCTGAACATGTGTGCTTATTCTCGCTCAGTGTCACTGTCTGAGCTTGAATCAATGAATTTCATTCTTTTTCTTATATGTCATATTTATTGATTTGACCATAAGATCATCACAATAAGTGATTGTTAATGTGATTTGTGTCTGATACCCACTGCACTGCTTCTTTTTTTCCTTTGATTTCTTGACTTTTTTTTTCTTTTCTGCTCTGAACCATAAATCGTTAAACAAGAAAACAGACACATATAAATAAATTATAGTAAATGCCAGACTATATAGAATTTAACCAACTTGAAAGCTCAACATAACTGGAATTGTTTTGGTATTATAAAAAATTTCTTTAACAAGTTCAAAACAGAAGTACATGTGTATATGCATTATTTCACAAAAAAATAATTGGAAAGATTTATATTTATTAAAAAAGCTATTTTCTGCACAAAAAAGCATCGCTCAATGGAGAGTTCAGTTAATGCAGATCAGAGATATTGTCCCCTGAGCATCAGCGATAGTAACCACTACATTATGCTCACATAAATTTTTTTTAAAAAAACTTTTCAAGAACTATAGGAAAAGTAAGGAGCTTGGGGTTTAAAAAATTCATAAGGGGTCAATTAGGGTAACTATGACCCTTTTCACTTTTTTTAATTCAAACTTTTTTATGACACGCAATTAAAGTTTAATATTTTAATGGTGATCCTTTGACTTGAACATAAAAAAAAGAATAGCTAATATTCTAAGTCACTTATTTAGGATCTTAAAGGCGGTGGTCATAATTACCCCACCAAAAATTTCGAAAAGTAAAAATTTGGTGTACTTTTGATCTCTTGTGGGGTACTAATCACTAGCTGACGCACATTCAAGAACTGTTGGTTACTCTTTCTAGAAACAGTAACAAAATCTTTTCACGTATTCCATAAACATAGGTGGAGTTGTGATTGAATCCTAGCTCCTCTGTATTGGATACTAAGCAGGCTTTAATTGACGATATCAGTTTTTTCTCCTTATACACTGCTTCTAATTTTTTTAAAAATCATAGACAATATTTGGAATTGTAATAGACTAGTGCAAAGATCAGAAGGTGCTCAGCTTTTTTCAAGGGTAAGTAAGGATGTCGCTGAAATTAAGCCAGTCATCTATTGGTTTGCCTTCCTTAAAAGAAACATAATTTTCTCTAATATAAAATGCAAAAGTGTTTACTTATCATAAGGGTAATCAAATCTCGCTCAAACCTACAAACATCAGGTTTCCCACTCTTTATCAAAGTTAAAATTAAAGATTTTTAAAGAGTTTATTTGAAAAAACTAAGGATCTTAAATATAGTATAATATAATTGTTTATCATGAAATATACATATACTACAGTAACAGTGCCAATTATTATTTACCTAAGAAAATAAAACTATTTCAGTATGTTGCAAGTACTGATAAAGTTGTATTTATTACATAACTGTTTACTTTTTAGTAAAATTTAGAATTTTAAAATGCTACTGTTTTTAAAAATTTACAATTACTTATAAACATTTACTTAATTTATAATATCATACACTTTAATTTAACTTTTCACGTTTTTAAAAAGTTTCTGTAATGGAATTTAGTTATAAAAAAATTTCTTACTTTTTTTTCTTAGGGTAATTGATTTTAAAACGAGGCAAGGATGAAAAGATGTTTATATTACTCAAAATGCTGTACTCTCGATGAAGGGCATGATTCTAAACGGAAACTCGGATATTTTGTTATAAATATTTTTGTAAGACTAAATAATTCTTAGAATCAACTAGTGATACTGGAAATTAAGGTTTTAAACTTTTAAAAACATTTAACCAAAATGACAAACTTTTAAGGGCTCTTGATTTTTAAAATGAAAATAAAGCAGTTTTTAAGGACCGTGAGAACCCTGAAATATACTTCATTTAACAGACATTCTATTATTGTTTTTTAATTGTTTAAGTTGATGGATGGCCAGCTCCTTGATTTTGGTGAGCTAGATTTTCTTTCAGCTTCTTGCTAACTCAGTTGCCCCTCTTTTACCAATATAGCAGGCTCATAAAAGTGTTTGTGTATATTCTGGGGATTAACTCAGCAACAGAACATGTAAAGTCATCAATTTTGAGTTTAGGAAATATGGTCGTAATTAACTTCTTTATTAAAAAAAAAAATTTACTGGGGATTCAAATAACATGCAAGCAGTAGAAAAACACCCCTGTAAATAAGCACTTTAAAGTAAGGTTTTTGGTAGAAGAGAAACCTACCTGATTAAATTAATGAAACTATAATATTAATATATTGTATATAAATGACAAAACAGAAACTGAATATTTTGAATTTAACATAATATAAAATGCAGTAGTATTTAAAAAATTCCACTTTAATTATAACTACACAGTAGAATATTTTTATAATATAAACCTTGAAATGTGAGGATTTGTGACATAGAATTTTTATTTTTATATAGTTAATTTACATATCATCAAACTTAGCTACTAACCATGGTAATATATATGTGGAACCGATCATTATTATTTCTGTAAAATATTTTTTAAATCTAAGTGCTTTGAAACGAAAAAATATATGCTTGAGTATTTCTTATTTATTGTAAAGAATAAACTGAAATTATCAAGAACCTTAGCACTAATAATAAACAAATTTAACAATTTTGGATGGCTTTAGAGATAGTAATATCTTAGCAAAATTATTATGTTTATTTATTTATTATTTTTTTTGTTGCCTGTTGCTTAGTAATAAAAAATTTTTAACTACAATTTTTACCGTTTATTCCTACAATGTTAATACAGTTTATGGAGAACTGTGGTTTTTTTATTGTGTGTAATATAGATCTTTAACTGTTTTTAAAAATAAATTAATTCACTACTCTAATATGTTATTGATTAGTGTTCTATGTTAAAGAAAATGATGTATAAAATACTATTAGTTTCAGCAGTTGGTGTTTATCTTCATATTCTAAAATTTAAAAAGCATTTACATCTTCTTTTGATCCTAAAACTAACAATAGAGTCTAAAGCAGTGATTCTCAACCACTGTGCCGCGGCACTTTTGTGTGCCGCCAAATTCTTAAAATGTGCCGCCAAATATTAGAAATGATACAATAAAAATTATAATGCTTTTTTTATTATGAGTAAAGTTTAAATTAAAGAAAAATTTATATATATATATATATACATATATACTTTTTGTAATTTTTCCACGCTTTAACCATGTGAACATCCTTGTCGGCGATTCTCTTGTCTCTGACAATAATAAAATAAGATGGAAGTGTTTAAATTATATATGACACACAATTTTAAAAAATGTTATAAGAGCTAATCACTAAAGTAAGCTATGCAATTATTAAACAAATTAACAAAGGATAACTTAGAAAATTAAGCTAACAATTAATAATTAGCAAAAGAACTAGTTAACAAGAAATCAAAAAAAATAACAGTTAATGCAAAAAAACTAACAGTTAATTACTATAGAAAGTAAGCTAACAGTTAATAACTAGCAAAAAATAAATAACTGTTACTAACTAATAAAAAATTGGTTGAAAGAGATAATTAATCCCTTAATAAATTTGCTTTTGTAGTACATATTATTTTATTTAACATTCAAAATTATTATCACAAACTATTTAACACAGTATGAAATAGGTAATTAAACTACTTTAAATCTAATTTTTTTCATTGTGTGCCGTCAAATTTCGAAATCGTTAAAAGTGTGCCGCAACGAAAAAAAGGTTGAGAATCACTGGTCTAAAGAATAATGCGGAATCAAAACTCCAAATGCTTCGAAGAATGCTACTTATTACTACTACTTATTAATTTTTAGTAACAAAACATTTTATATTTTATTTTATTTTTTTATTCGATAACTAATTTTTAATAACATCTTTTATAAATAAAGAAATAAAACTTTCACATATTAAGGCTGCAAAAACAGGAACGGAAAACAAAATTTAAATAAGGTACCGCGAATCGTTTTAGCCTCCCCATTTCTGCTAAGATCAAGACTTGCTCGTATTATCCAATTAATTTATAAGGATCCTAAGCAAATTCAATGCTGTTCCAAAGACTTGTCGCCTACTTCAAAATTTTCCCCTCAAGTTTCAAATCAAAACAAAACCCAACAAAATCCTGGGTTAAACCCAAGAAAACCTTGGGTTTTGTTTTGATTTTAAATTGAAAACAAACACTAAAAAATGAGTTGTGGGTTAGTACCCTGGGCATCTGTTCTTTGTGAGTTAATGACTCCAGATCCTTGCTATTCTAAAGCAGTAGAGATGCAGAAATGTTTAAAAGGTGAATACGTCATATTCATGAATTCCGTTTATTTATTTGTTTACAGTGTGGATGTAATTTTACTTATCCAAATTGAATTCAATTTAAATATTAACTTTGCAAATACACAGCATTTTAATTCAGATTTATGTTTGTAAATCAAGTTGTTTTATTTCTTTTATTTTAAAAAATTGATATATTTTCTTCCAGTTCAGGAGAAAATGCATCAGATATATTTTCTCCTAATTCGGGAGAAAGCAAAAATAATCAGCGATCTCCTTCTTTGACTTAGAATAATTTTAAACGGAAATAGTTTTTTAAATAATTTTAATTATTCATTAAATTTAAATAATTTAATGAATAATTTTAAACGGAAATAGTTTTTTACTAGAAAAATTTGTTTTATAATATGTAATAGAATTTTATTGTCTTTTTAATATTAATTCTGACCAAATATCTCATGTCTACATTTGCGTCGCCAATAGCCCATTGTGCTCTAGTGCAACGTAAATATAGTACCTACCTACATGTCTACATTTGAATTTAATGTTGTAAGCATATTAGTAAAATGATTTCTGAATCAAAGATTTGCAGTTCAGAACCTGCGCCTAAATAATGGCCAAGTTTTGTCACAGGTAATAATCCAGAAATCATTTATTTAGAAGCTTAAAGCATCTCGGTAGAGGGCCAACTGGGGATATTTCCATATCGTGATCTGTTGGGCCAACTACAATCGCCAAGGTGTCAAATAGATTTTGAACTTGCAATTTTTTTAAAAAAAACATGTGGATGTTTTCTCAGGGGGTGTCTACGAGTTAAACATTTCAAGCTGGTCCCTTTCTGTGATATTTTTTTTAAAGTTTCTAGCAGGCAACTGCCGGGAAGCTGCCAAGACATGGCAGTTGTTCTGCCACAGATCAGGATATGGAAATCTTCCCGCCCAACTCAGAAGTTTAATTCATAACCACTGCTAGATAAACCACTACATATTTTTTAAAAAACTTTAGCATGTTCAAAAACCTTTGGCACCCCAGCAAATGTAATGAAGCAAAAGTTATTAAAATGCTCTCATTGTGAACGTGGTTCAGTGTCTTCTCTTCTCTTGACTGCCCTTTGTGTTTAGAAAGGTTCATTTTGAACTCTAATCATAATTTGTCGTGTTCCACCTTTTATGACAAGCATTTTACTGTGTACAGCGAGTGATGGAATTGCGGATAGATGGGGGGTGCCGCTTTTGAAAAAAATAATCATGTGTTCCCCTACTTCTATTTCGTCTAAAATTCACTCTCCCACTTCTTAGCTCCACTGAAATCCATACTCCTATTTCTAAAACTACTTATCTGCACTCACTGAAATGTAGTGTCGTACAACGTGTTCTAGTGTTGCAATTATGCTGCACTGCTCAAACACTTTTATAATGATTCATAAGACATATCTCAAAATTCAACCGAGAGAGCTAAATTTTCAAGATTAAAGCTAAACGACTTACTGAAACTGTTTTTTTCTAAGATTTTGAACTTTTTCTTAATCCCTTTACAGAATTGCAAATTTTTCTATTGATCTTAAAAAATATGATCTCAAAAGCATGACTACCTGAAGCACACAAATTAATTACTCGCCCAATATATGTTATGGAATCAATAACAGAGAAAGGAAGACATGGTCAATGAAGCATAAAACTCTACAAGAAATCTTAGTTTTAAAATCCCATGTTACAATATGGTGCTAAAACTAAAAAGATCAATCCTTTGAAATGGTCACAAGATGTAGACTCTAAATTTTATTTGGAGAGAAAGCCAACTTGCAAATGTGCAGAAGATTTAAAGTTCAAGAAAGTAAAATTTATGAGATTTCCAAAAGCATATTAAAGCATTCCTATCCGGAAAAAAAAAAGAGAATTTTCTTTATATTTTGAATACATTTGTGGTCTCTACTGCAGAAAGCATATGTGTATTCAGCTCTCTAAATGATATCCATACAGACATAAGAAAGAGTTTAAAAGTCAACAGAAAATCAGGCATTATTTTCATATAGTGTGTGGGTGTAAGAGTAGTTCAATTTAATCCATTACTAAGTGTTAAATCATGACTTAGTAGTGGGAGCTGTAATGCTGAATATGCTCACATACAACTTGGAAGGCAGCTGAAATTTGAATATGAATCTAGTGTGTTTTGTGGGATCTTGTTTAACTTTTATTGAGCTGGGGTAAGTATTCTTTCCGCCAAATCATTAATTTTTAAAATTGATGGGAAGCTGTTTTCCTACTTATGATCGGTGCAGCCATTTGTTGATAACTTCAGATTTTCGCTTTCATATCTGTTGATAACTTCAGGGCTTTGTTTACATTAATATGGGTAACAGTAAAGGTTCCATATGGCCAAGAAGAAAGGCTGACACTATTATGAAGCTCTTTTCTTTTAAGCATTCCTTCAGTTGGTTATTTCATGTTGAGTTTATTGTATTTAAGAAAAATTTATAAATTCAGTTATTTATAAGCAGAGGAGTTCAAGTTTATGGCCAATTCTTTGCAATAGTTTTTTTCTTTTTCTGATGGCTGAGGCTTCTATGTTCTTCCTTACAGAAGATGATGTAAGTGTTGCGCATTTAACATTATCCAATCGTGGAAGCAAGCAACATTACCCATGCCACAAATACCTGTTCATGGGATAAGTCACAAAAACTTATAACACAACAGAGGACGAACTCAGAGAGTGAGAGACAACCATGCCCTGAGGGATTTTGAACACACAACCATTGACTTTGTATCACGCTCTTTACAATGGGTTAAAATTTGCAAATTCCCAACAATTTCAGACCAAAAGAATGGTTTCAAAAATCAAATTATTTTTAGGTAGTAAGTAGAGTAAATTTCCTTTTATAAATCAAACTCAAAAATAATTTTACTTAACATCACTATAAAAAATTCTCCTATTAAGGGTTAAGGTGAAAAAGTGTCCACATTTTTAATAAAAATATATTTTAAAAAAATTATTCGGGTGAAGAAGAGATGCTCTTTCTACCAAGAGCCAGATACTATCCCCCACTTTTTGTTCACCCACTTCTACCATTGCATTATCTTTCCAACTACCATGTCATCTACCATCTTTTTTAATCAAGGATTTTGTGCTAAACTACAAGAGGAGGACTCTGGTGATTAATAAAGCACTCCTGCAATTGCCTGTTGTCTGCAAAGTTTTTATAATTTCAAGTTCTAACCAAAATGATGGTAATGTAGTCCTCATTCTACACTGATCACTTTCACTTCATAGATAGTTTGATACCTTTACATCGAAAGCTTGATGGACTTTAAACCAACTCTGGTGATAAAACGCTAGTCTTTTACAATAAACACTGTGTGTCATTGTTTTACTTAGTGCCTTAACCACTGTGTCGCATTTGGCACAAAATGGTTAAGTATGGTGTAATGATATAAGTACGGTGCTCAAATACTGAACTGCATTTGATTAAATTAATTAATTTGTCTCATTTCGAAAAATTTTATTATTCGTAGAAGGAAAGTAGGAAAGATTTATTTCGTCACCTTTATTTCTTGAAATCTTTAAAATATAGAATGTCATAATATTGTTTTTAATTAATTTAATCAGGTGGTAATTACGTAAACATTATGACTTAAATCAATTTTTTTTTCAATTGGATTCTTGTATTTTTTCACTTCTTCAGTCTAATTAAAAATATTTAATTTATAATAATGAGAATGAAACAAATTACCATTAAATATGTTCAAAAACTAAGTTGCATTTTTCAATACCCTTTTTAATTTAAATGACTGCGGGGTGGGTGGCTCCTTCATACCAGCTAGGGCCCAGGGGATAATTGCAATTTCTGGTCTGTGGCCAGTACAACTTTCCCTTTAGATGATAGGAAATGACAAAACATTTTGACCACAGGCAGCACTATTTAAAAGAATCCTTTTTTAAATCCATAATTATCGAATTCTCTTGCTAATTAAAATGATAAATACCGATAAACTCACACTGCCTCAGAACGGTTTTTAAACTAACAGGACTAGACAAAACTTGTTGCTAGTTTGTCTCAAATTGAGCTTGGAAAATTTTATTTTGAGAATATAACCTTAACTATGTTTACATTTATGTTAGCTTTTCAAACAAAATCATAATTGTTGAAAAACATTAAAAATCCTTCATGAAAAAAAAAGCAGATGCTATGTGCAAAATTCATTAAAATCTCTCTTTCTAAAAGAATAAAGATCAAATAAATTTACTTCCAAAAATTTTATCAGTTATGTCTTCACAAATATATTGACAACATAAATATTGAGCAAAATAAAGGAACGTTTAAACTTTAAGGCTCATTTACTCAAGTTGACTAAAATGTCACTTACCTACTTCTTCCACTGAGATCTTCAATAATAATTAGCAATCTAAACATAAATACATGGGAGGTTCAACCATAGGGTGGTTTGACCCACCCTATCTTCTCTATATTTAAGTATTTATTTAACTGATGAGTACAAGATGGCAGCATGATATGAAGTAGAATCACTTTTTGTTTCTATTTATTAGCCATTTGCAAGTAGAATCAAGAGCAAATCACATATCAAGGCTGATTGTGCTCCGGAAAAAATCCGGATTTCTGGATTTTTTTGCTAACAGTGATCCGGAAGTTTCCGGAGATCGAAGGTCCAGACGTTTCAAAAAATCATTGATCAAGGAAGTTTCCGGAAATCAAATTTTTAAAGGTGGAGCTTAAAAACACAGTTTATTTTATTTGTTTGTAAGGGAGAGCCAGAGAGATATTTTATAAGCTTATATTCATGATTAATATTCATTTTTTATCAGTAAATAGTTGTTATAATCATAAACTCAAGAATGAAAAACATATCTGAAAATTTTAATTACTTCTCCGGGTCATCATAGGTATGTCTAAATGGTATAGGTATGTGTAAAATTTTAAATATATTTTAAGTAAACTAAGAAATATTGAGAAAATGGGAGAAAAAAACTTGTTTAAATTTTTTTCAATTTAAACTTCTTTTCTTTTTTTTTTTATTCGAGAAATTTTCCGGAATTTTGACTTGGGCTCACAATCACCCCTGTATTATAGCATTTTCATTATGAAAAGTAACTTTTATTGCTGGAAGTTGTTCTCTCCTGTGCCATCTAAGATTAAAATAAGTAAAAGTAAGTTCAATTATTTGTGTACTTAGATTAATATACTAGAAACTAGTATACTCATTATTTAATATTATTTTCTGTTTTAATGTGTTTTTTTTTACATGAAATTTATTTTTTTCACTTTGCTACTACAATATTAAAATATTCAACCCATCTTTGAAATTTTCACTGTTTTTCTATTATTCTTCTGTTTTTGTTATTTTTATTCTCTAATTATTTAAATGCAACTATTTTTTGTATCTTTTTTTATTCTTTCTATATTTTTTCGATTAATTATTTGTCCAATTCCATATTCATATACTATTTGCATTTTTCTTATGGTTATTCAATAATGGGTTAACTTTTTCAGATCCTTTTTTTGCTGAAATCAGGAAATAAAAGGTGTCTCTAACCAGAATGAAATTTGCTGTTTTATTAGTCACTGATAATGATTAAAGTGTAAAAGTTGTAACTGCTGAGTAAATAATTGACAGAAAAACTTTAGGTAAATTGGACAAATATAAAATGTCATAAGTTGAGGACATTGAATTTAAGGCAAACCACATTTCTTTCCAAATATTTTCTCGTGAAGAAGAACATGTGCTCGAAGTTTATTTACTGTTTGCTTCAAAAATTAAATTACAGTTTAACTTCAATAGCAGCACGAGCTTTAGCATTCCAATATGCTTAAGTGAAAAGCAAAGTCATTTTTGAAAATTGCTCTGACAAAATTGCAAATTATGACTGGTTGAAGGGTTATTTACACAGGCAAGCAAATTTATTGTTGCAGAGACCTGAATTAACTAGTTTATCCAGAGCCACTGCTTTCAACAAAACAACTGTTGGTGAGTTTTTCAACAATTTAAGCTGCATCTTAGAAAGAAATTTTTTTTCTCACCAGAAGCAATTTTAATTGTTGATGAGACTGGCAGCATTACAACTGTGCACGAACCAGGAAAAATTATTGCTTTAAAAAATGAGAAACAGATATTGCAAATCACCTCAAATTCACAACCTAATCTAGTTTCCTGCTCTATATTAGTTGCATCATGAAAGTAAATGCAAATGTATGTAGCTTCAGTTTCATTTACCCTGAAAAAGAAGATGTTGCAACAGTATCCAAAGGAGATGTCATTAAGCTCCCTCATCCAATGATCAGTGAAGGCACTGAAAGAGTTGCTCTAAAAATGAAATTTGACTGATATTTTTAAATATCAAAACATTTACTGATACAAACTGATTTCGATTTAATTGAACAATTTTTGTTCAAACTTGTTATTTTTAACTACTAAATAAATATTTGGTATTTCTTTAGACTCATTTATTGGTTGTAATAACATAGCATTTACTTTTTTCTGTATAGGTTTAAAAACTTCAAATTTCTGTGGGTCAAACCACCCTGAAGGAAGGAGGTTTGACCCAGTTTATATACTCTTAAAAAATCATTGATAAAATCATAATTTATGAGAAAAATAATTACATAAACTGATGAAAAACAATATAATCTGTCAATTAATGTCAAGTTGGAAATTTCATTACAATTACACGAAAATATGTTTTTGTAAAAAGCTGGTCAAACCTCCATGTTTCCCCTAATTATTTTAAATGTCAAAAATAATGTGTAAAAATTTTCTATTTCTCTATTAATTTGACCCGCTATTTTTGTAGTAAACGTTCCCCAGTTAGTGTGAAAGTTTTGTCTTTGCTTACCATGGGCTTAAGCTGGGTGTTTGAGAGGACTGCTGTTTCTACCTTTATGTCGAAACCTGTCTGGTTTTGAATCCTCATGGCTTTTAAATGAACTAAATCCATGGGGTAGTTGCAAACCATCAGGCAGAGGTCAAGTACTAACTTTAACCATCTGCTTTCCAATCAAAATTTCGATATAGTGCTTTTGGGTGCAATTATTGTTTTCAGATTAACATTAAGGATGAATCCTAAATTGTAGCCAACAACCCATTAAAATTACATTATCTCCCTTACAACTCATATTATCTGCAAAAATTAAGCTAAGAATATTTTATGTTTATCATATTTCAAACAATGGCGAATTTCAGCATTTTTATTTGTGCAATAGCTGTATTTTCTAAATTGTGTGTGTACTATTATCTTACGCATCTTTTAATAAATTGCTTTTCGGGAATATTATGTTAACATTTTTATAAATGTATTTATCTATAAATATTGTTTTTCTAATTTAATTGCTAAATGATTTTAAACATTATAATTTGCTCTGTTAAAAATATTGTATACATATTAGTAAATAGATGTTAAATTCAAGAACCTTTTAAAATTAAGGTGAGATTTTATTTATTCATATTATTATTTTGCATAATGGTTTGCTCTGAATTTATTCACTTAATACTTTTTCTTTCATGTTATGAAAACATTATGTGTATAATTGATTTTTAGATTTTTTTTCAGCAAATCGTTATCGTGAAGGTGTCTGCTTTGAGGCAATTGCAGTATTGGAGAAGTGCTGCACAAGATGGAAAGATCGCTCATCATGTTGTGTGAAATATGAAAGATTGCGGCCACAAACATCTGTCCAACCTATGAATATAAATGTTAGCCTAGATCATTATATCCTTAGTGAACTTCTTCTTGGCCACTAATACTAGTTTTTTGAGTTTTGTTAACTGTGATAATATGAAAGGTATAAGCATTTTACCCACCTTTTTATTTGTTAGCTAATAACCAAATGCTCATTTTATATCTTAAGCTATATAGTTGCATTTGATTTTTAAAAAATCAACTGTATATTTTGAGGTGCCTTGTCTTTCAAATGATTGTAAAACATCTTTATTGATTCTGTTGAACATATTTATATATATTATAAATTTTGTTTGATGGTTGTCTTTATTTATTACAAAATGTATATATAGATGCCCCGTGCAGAATTATATTCTGCTTTTGGATTTACAGGTTTAAATCCCCTCTCCAAGCTTTTATGATTAAAATTAATATTATTTATAAAAAGTAAAGTTATCAATGGAAGTAAAATTTTTAAAAATTCTGATATAAAAATTGTTCACATTTCCTTTATAAATATAATATTAAGTAGTAATATCATCAATAATATAAAATAATAACAAATTAGCAATATCAACTGTATGTACCATATGTATTAAAATATGAATTTACTCTAAAATGAAATCCTGGTTTTATCCCTTGTTTAGTTAGATTAAAATGAGTCTTTATTTTTTCGAAATTTCAGAATTGAAAAGAATGATTGCTTTTAACAGGTTAAACACAGACTATTTAATGATAACAAAATAATGTGAGCAATATTACGGAGTAAAAGTTCAAAGCTGCTGTGAGGTGGAGAGATTTCTCAGGGCCCCTTATTTTTTGGACTCTAGGGAGTTTTGCAAAATTATTTGAAATATTTTTTTATAAATCAAAGTTGATTTTTTTTAAAAAAAAATTTAGTTTTAGCATTGAAAATTAAGAAACTTAATTTTCTCTTTCAATCATAAAGATGTTCATCGAGAATTATGGCTTCTGATAAAGGTATTGGTCTCCGCATTATTTGGGACCGAACTCGCGAGAAAACTATTCATGGAAATCACAATCATTAAATTTGAAAATGATATGTATTTAAGCATTTTTAGATGATTATCGAAATGGGCCCTTTATTGAAAAATTCCATACTTCTAAGGGCCCGGCACCTTATATATTAATAATAAAAATTGAAAATGTATACAAAATTTGAAAATATAATATTAATGGATGAAAAATGTTAAGCCTTTATTTCTTAGGAAAAATCATATATCTTTCAATTGCTCATCCAAGGACCTAATGAGGCTTCAAATTATCAGTAAAACCATACTAAGGCGGAAAAAAAGTTTCGTAATTGCAAATAAAAAATTCAAAATTTTTGACACTGAATCATAGAATAAAAAATATATATTTTAATATATCTTTATGATTAATCAGCTGATACCCTTAAACGGAGAATTCTTTATCATAAAGTCTCACATCCGTTATATCAGTTATAATAATTAAATTAAAATTTTTAAATTTAGAAAAATCATTAAAGAAAGTTTCTAAGTAAGCTGCTTGTTTTAAGGAATAAAATTTGAAAAAAATCGTAAATCTTTTTTAAAAATTTAAATAAAAATTATCAGTTTTCTAAATGATAAATTTTCTCAGGTGCCCGGAGCCAAAAAGAGAGATTATAGCAATAAAAAATTATTGTCTCAGTGAAATATTATATGCACTTAAAAAGATGTATTTAAAAATCCCAAACACAGATTACTAGGGGTTCACAGTGATTTGAGATTCAATGATGATTTCTCATGTTCATAATGATTTCTGAGATTCAATGTATTAGTATAAGTATACTAGTCAACACGTTTTGTATAATATAATTTATGACATTTTCCAAATTTAATTTTATGTCAAGTGTGTGGTAATCATTTGAAAATTTGATGCATTTTAATTAGACCAAAACATCCAATCCCTCTGTTTTTAACAAAATATTATAAATTAAATTAAGTATGAAGCAACTATGAAAATGTATTAAACATTTTTAAATTTTTAATGAATATTAAATTTCTTTCATTTTAATTGATTTTGCCCAGTTCTAATTAAAGAAATATTTGTGAATGCAAGCAAACACAAAATTTAATCGCTTTTTTTTTAGAAAAGGAACATCTAAAACGCACCAGAAAAATATTTGTAAATAAACAAAAAAATATGTATCTTATTAGAGATAGAACCTAATGCCTGCTAGAATCTGGAGAAATCCAAAATGATATGTTCTTCATTTGAAAATGTTATTCTCAAATAATATATACATAGATTATCCTTTCATTACTTTAAGATGACATACCACACAATAAAATTTTAATATTGTAAGATCGTGTTATGAATTTTAATAGTTTATAAGCAACGAGCTTATGTAACTTAAAAATAGAATAGCTGAATTCTAGTTGAAATTAAGCAGTCAAAATGAAAAAATACTCGCCAAGAAACGATAAAAATGCATTAATAATCAACACAAATTATGCTATTTCAAGTAATTTAGATTATTCTTTATTGCTGTTTTCCGTATTATATAGATGCAGAAATATATATTACTGTTCTATAAAGAAGAACGTCCGGTGGCTGAGTGGTAGCTCTTTGTGCTCCCGTACCACAGGTACTGGGTTCGATCCTCCCTCCGGGCAAGGTCGACTCAGCCTTTCATCCCTTCAATGGGTCGTTAAATGAGTACCGAGCATGCTTGGGAACTAAACAATGGGGGTTTTCACGTTCGGCTGACCACCTAACCAGAACATCTGCTCCTGCACCCCAGAGCCCAAGGTCAAGAAAACTGAGATGGGCACAGTAGGCCTTAGCCCTCTATGGGCTGTCACGTTTAGTTTAGTTTAAAGAAGAATATTCTATAACTATTACAGTTCTGCACGTTCTGAAATCACATTTATTCATTAGAATGAAGTAAGCAATATGGAATTTAATAACTTCCCTTTAATTTATAATGAATTGTAGACAAACCAAATGTATTTTACTTTAATACGCACATCTTTAACATTGGGAAATTGTTCTTCAAATGTTGGTAGCGTTCTGTTTCTGAATGATTTACCAATGTTCTGGGTCATTTTTTCAAGTTCTGCTGTTTCCTTAGTGAAATTTTGTTACTAAAAAGAAACCTTTTCCTAAACCAATGATTCTGATAGAACTAAATCGAAACTTGATAAATAAAAGCCTGAAAATATCTTCCCGCTAGAGGGCGTATTCAAGCGTTGCAATCGCGAATTACATTTTATAATATATATTATACTTGTTTGAATGATTATACAACCATTGTTTAACTGAAGAAGAACATTGTTTGTTAGCAGACAGTTATATGCTGCTTAATTTGATGTTTTCATGCATCTTGAAAAATAAGAAGTGGTAGCAAAATAAAATTATACAGAGAAAAATTATAACTTAGCTTTGATTGCCTTTAAGAAATAAAGTGTTATTTAGAAGAAGAAATTATCCACCTATTGTAAGTTTGCTACCATTTTATTTTTTTATCTTATTGCTTTATTGCAGTCTAACAATAAAGTTCTAAAAGGGCCTGCAGAAACTGGCAAAAGCTCTATAAATATTTGTTTGAAAATTATCAGAGATAGAGCTATGTGAGAGAATTTTTCAAGAGAGTGTCTTAAGAATGGCATTTATTAGCATACAAAAAAGGGGAGAACACCCTCTACTGTAAGCTATTAACATAAATATAACTATGTAGTTAGAGCTGAATGGAATATTTTCACTTGTTTTAAAAATTTCATAAGGCTGGTTCTTATACAATCATCTCAATTTAGTTAAAATTAATTTAAAGAATATAGAATATTGCATTGTTAAAAAAGTCATAAAATGAATTATAATTGAGATGCCTCTAAAACATTCAATAACTTATTAAATTCTGTTGAAACTATTTTTTTAAACTTTAAAAAAAATATGATTTCTTTAGGATAATTTTATTTTACAATCAAATCAAGTGTTTGAGAATTTAATTAGAATTTTTTCTCTATAAATTATCTTTATAATATTTTGTTATAAGAAGTACCCCAATTTAACTTATCTTTTAAATGCTTTTTATATTCAGTTTTATATAGAAAGAGCTATTAGAGAAATTGTGTAAAACAGCACTGTTCCTCCTAACTCCAACGCTATCTGTTCTTCACAGTGCATGTATAAAAATGTCAATAATAATAGCAATATTGCTAAGGTGTAGAAGATAAGGTTGATGTTAAGGTCAACATAAGAATAACGCTATTCAAAATCTTCCAATCGTTACTTCAGTAATACTGTGCAGATAATCAAAAAGGTACTTTATTAATTCATGTAGTAATATGAATACAACCATGTAGCTTTAGTATCTTAATTTCTTTAAAAGAAATTAGAATCTTATACAACATATTATTCAAAATTATTTTAAGGAATAAGGAAAATGTCATAATTAAGATTATATTTGTTTTTGGATACCAATATTCAAAGACAAATATATAAAAACAAATATATATATTAAAAAAACAATACAGCATAAAAAAGTATTGCTGAAATATTTGTAAAATCTTCAGCTGTTTATGAAATTTTATTGTAAAAAAATTTTAATTAATAAATTGAAGAAAATAAACATGATTTCTGAAACAATTATTGTATGTTAATAGCAAACAGAGCATTCCAATATTTACATTCAATTTCAAGCCTCTCAATAATTTTCATTTCTTATAATGTACTGCCGAAGCAAGTATATTTATATAGTAATTTCCTTTTTATATTAAATTTATAAATAATAAAGTTATTGTAACCTCAACTAAACTCATTTTTCATATTGCTTGTAAAATTGTGTAATCCTGAATGAATTTTTTGTAACATATCAATATGTTCTATTGAAATAAACTCTTCAAACATAAAATTGAGTTAATATTATTCTAATTTTTAAAAAAAAACTATCCCACTTCTTATAGGTGTTATTTCTTCTCTAAATGGATCAAGTATTGAAAGATTTGATGAACAGTGAATTTAAAAGAAAGATATTACCCTAAATAACTTTTGTTCTGATGATCGGATTTCCACAAACAAGGATACAATTTAATGGATTGACGTCAAATATGCCAATCAATTAATGCTAACAATTACTATGTTTTGGTATTAGACATTAAAGTGTACCCATCCTTTTTTCCATGAGTTTGGATTCTTGACCCTCAAAATATAGTTGCAATTTGAAAAATATGGTCCCGACAGTTAGGCTAGAATTATTGCGATTTTGGACCTTAATTTTATTTACACTCTGTGTATTCATCTATAGCTAGAAAACTTATTAAGATAGGCAAAAAATATTTGCTAACATATATAAATTTTGTTTATTCAGACTAGACTGTTTTTAGCGAACCCTGAGTTTGTCCTTATTTTACGGTCTTATTGTAATAATTACAGTCAGCCTCTTTTAAAGCAATACCATTGGTTCCAGCCAACTGTATTGAAATAAGCAGGTTATTCAATTATAAAAGGAAAGCATTAGTCACTCATAAATGCTAATTTTTTTTTCTTTTTTTATAATTTTTTCTTTGAAATGGGAAGTAATACTTCCTATAATGTTTTTAAGAAATAAACTCATTTTAATGATTATTAAATAATTCTAATACGAGTTGTTAGTTTTTCATACCACACAGATTTAAATTTATATGAAAATAAATAAATTTTAAGAAAAAGTATAATATACATGTAAAAGTATAATAAATCAGTAAAAGATTGTTTTAACACACATTTAAATGTAAATTATTCTACTTCTTACTTCAGAAAGGTAAAAATCCCTCAGTTACTATTTGGTCTTCTGCAAAGTTTGTACCATTTTCAATAGGCACAGCTCTGAAAGGTCGGCCTAAAGTATTCATACAATAGCAAACTAATCATCTAAGAAGTTTTCCTAATTTTGCAGTCACAGCCACTTCAATTTAGATAATATTCATCTCGCATATATCGGAAACAAAAAAATATTTTACAGCATAAAATTTGCTCTCATTTGAATATTTTTGGGAGCTCCACCTATCAAAAATCGGCAAGAACTTTCTGGATGACCCAGTATATAACTGCTATAACGATTTGATTTAATCTTGAATCATTCCAACATCCTGTTTGGAATAGGAAATGAATAAGAAGTCCCTAATGAAGTCACCATGTCTTCTCCTTTTTTAACTGAAAAATGAAAATTCCAGCTGATGAAACATTTCTTATAAAATTTAATTTTAGTATTATTAATTTTACCATTTAATTTTATTTGTATAAGCGGGTTTTTCGGATATGCAATTAAGTGTAACTAAAAAAATGTAATTAAAAAAATTCTGAAGCGTTTTAAAAAGTTATTGTATTACAACAAAAATATAAAACTAACTTAAATTTTATTAACATATGATGAAATTTTATTATTTTTATTGAAGAATTTAGACTAACAACTTTTCTTTAGAGTGGTAGAGTCTTTATCTGTAAAATCGATTTTCAACTAGATATCATCTTAAATGCTGAGAATTTTTGCTTTAAATCTTAATAAAATATAGTTTTAAAAGCATTTAATTTTGTTTAGACCTTACATTTTTTGAACTTTTTCATACAACATTGCCTTCTTGCATCTACATTTTTATTGAATTTATCTAATTTTTCCCATTTGATTTAAAACACCATAGAAAACAATTCTATTTGGCAGGTTTTTTTATTTAAAGATTCTAAACTTACTTAAAAACAAATTACTTCATAACACACACACTGGTGAAGCATTTTATTTGTTTGAAAATTATGTATTTTTAATTACATGGAAATTTTGTCTGCCATTCCTTTTAACTTGTTATATAAAATTGAATATTATCACACAAAACATTGTGTCTTTCAGCTTACCTTTCTTGAACTCCTAAAATCTTTTTTTAAAAATATTGTAAATGTTTTTGTCATTTTGAAAAAAAAAAAAAAATTTCATTGTTTTTTAAATCAAAGTGAAATTTTTCATTTTAAGTAAAGGAAAAACTAAGCTTTTATATAAAAATAATAATAATTTGAATTTTCAGTAATATCCTCAAGTATTTGGAATTTTTTACAACTAACTAACAAATGTATAAACTTGTGATATTTTAAAGCAAAAATGTCAAGGTCTCTTATTTTTAATTCACTATTTGAAACAACAAAAAAGAAAAATTCACATTGAAATTTTTATTTAAGAAATAAATATTTACATTAAATTTTATCAAAAAATTACTCTTTAAATGAGTATTTTTAATAAAAGTTTTTACTACTATTCAACATTATTTAAGAATTTTGAAAGCTAATTTACAGGCTTCTAACTTTATAAAGTATTAATGTATTTAAATATTTTTTTCAAAACGAAGTACTACTAATTTTGAATTATGAAATTAAAATAGTTTTGGAAATATTTTATTAACCTAGATGATTAAGAAATACACAAATGAATAATAGCCGCGATATTTTGCAAAGTAAAAGAAGCATTGACATCAAAATTTTAACATCTGGTAAGCAAATAATCGTAACTGAAAATTTCGAAACTGAATAATACTAAGAATTAAACTTTTTCTTTTAGCTGGGAAAAGAGAGGCCTACTAACTTCTTCAAAATTTCTCTAAGAGCTTGAGAAAATTTAAAAATCAACAGAAATTTTTTTTTCCCCACCAAAATAATGTAAAGATATAAAAGTTTCTAGAAATTAAAATTTATGCTAAAAAATTCTGAGACTTTATTTTACATGATAATTCTAAGTCCAAAAAAAAAAATATTAAAAAAGAGATAAAATTAACATAACACTTTTTTTTCTTACTAGAACCACTGAACTAAATGCTAATTAAAAAAGTAATTTTGTAAGAGGAAGGGTGGAAAAGTATTTTGATAATAATGAAAAATTATTCCTTTCTGTGAATTATTCTGTATATAACATAAAAAACAGGCTAATTAGGCAGGTTACGAAGTTTAAAATGTTCGATTTTACTGAAACTATTGGAAAGTTGGATATTTTTTTCGTTTAAAAGGTATCGATTACTGTTGGAATTAGGTGGTGAAAAATTAGTGAATCAATAAATATAACTCATGTCTAGCAAATAAAATGCTAAATGTTAGCAAAATAAATTCTTTAATAAAAAAATTTACCATAGATGAAAAATTTTATTGTGAAACTAACCTGTGCCTTATTAAACTAATTAAGATTATGAAAGGTTCATTATATTTTAAGTGCAAAAGTAAATTAGAAAACTTTAGTAATGAGCAAATAAAAATTTTTTTTTTAAAGAATTAACAGTTCGTCACCTTAAATAAAAAAAATTAAATCAAAATTTTTAGGATGAAAATATTTACTAGTAAATTAAACGTACATTTTTAATTCTAATTGTATATTTCTGCTCCAACAATTACCAAGCATACTAATTACAAATAGTTTTAATTTGATACAATCTGCATAGCAAGTAATTCTAATTTGTAACAACATCCATTTTCAACCAATTGAATCTTCAAATTTTCTGATAGAAATATTGGAAAATATCATGTGATAAATTTGCATAAATAAAATTTGGAAGAATGTGTTGTTTCGAAAAAGACTTGGACAATCCAAGCTCACCAGCTTTGATAAGATAACCCCTCAAGGTGCATCTTGCATAGATGGCAGCACCACTCATTCGTTTTACCACTTTTTAAATTTAGACATAGATTTGAAGGGGAAGGAACATTTTCTTCAGAGCCCTGTACCCATGGTAAGGCTCAGCAACAGAACAAAAGACTTTCGATTCCACAGATTTTACTAAAACTTATGTTACTTGCTTTTGGTGGGTCGAGTGGACTCAAAGACTGGATCCTGTCCTCTCTGGACCCGAGTCCGACTTATTCACGAAGCATAAATTACTATTAAGAAATGAAATTGACGATATATAATGTTGTTGTTGTAGTTCATTTACGCTGCACTAGAGCTGCACAATGGGCTATTAGCGACGGTCTGGGAAACATCCCTGAGGATGATCCGAAGACATGCCATCACAATTTTGATCCTCTGCAGAGGGGATGGCACCCCCGCTTCGATAGCCTGACGACCTGTACGCGATGTCAAGCACTTTACGGTAGAACAGTTTAACGAGGACCAATACCGCACACCCTCGTTCCCTACACAGGCTGATCCAAGTGGTCACCCACCCGCACACTGACCGCAGCCAGTGATGCTTGACTTCGGTGATCTGCTGGGAACCGTGTCTTAACGATCAGTCCACTGCGGGTCCGATATATAATGCAATTCAATGCTAAAGAAAACAAAGCCAAGAAAATAGCACAAGGAAACACCGTAAGATGCTATGAGTACATTTGTAAAAAAACGCATTCATTCTAAAAATCACAATTTCGTGTTATCGTATTCGTATCGTATCGTTACAATTTCGTGTTATCGTTATTAAATGTTTTTAATCAAGAAATACTTTCATCAATAAGACCCGATTTGGTTAAGTATCCACGATGTTGAGATTCAAATCAGATTGGTAAAACTCGCCAATCAGGTTTTGCTCGCATCTCCAAATTCACATTCTATTTGTATGCAGTGAGAATATCCCTTATTTTAATTTAGTTTTAAACTTTTATTTCTTTTACGTCTCATAGTAACAGAAATGGATAGCTATAAGCGCCAGTTGTTAAGTAAATTAAACTAAGTAAACAAAAACAATTCTTGCTGTCGTTAGTATAATTTAATTTCTTCGAATTATTTATTTTTGCAATTTTTTCACAATTTTATTATAATAGATAATTGCTTATGAAGAGATACAGAAAGTTACTATAAACTATGCTTTTAATTAACGAAGTTTAGCTTCGATTATAAAAATCAGTATGCTCTTTATAAATTAGAATTCAATATGTTTTTAGTAGTATCTATGCTTAATATGTGATTTGTTAATTTAGTGGTATCAATAAAATTTGATTATGTTACTTTAATAATTCTTTATATAATTATTCAATTAAATTTTACTTTATTATAAAAAAAAATATTTAAAAGCTAGTTATTTAAATTTTTTGAAAAAGAGAGGAAAAAAAATTCCAGAAATTTTTTCTGCTTTTTAGTTTTTACTTATTTAAAAATGATACATTAAATAGCTTTAAAATTAATACTACAATTTAAACTAGATTGCAATTATATTCTGTTAAAAAAACGGTTTAGATATTTCATATTTCTTTTTAAAAAGAAGTTTCTTCCATTTGGATTGGATGGAACCTATTTATTCAGGGCAATTTAATGGTTTTTTTCAGCAGTTTTTTCAACTGTAGAAGAAAATATTCATCCCTAATTGTTAGATAACGTGAGCAAATTAGGTCATAATTTCTCTTAAAAATGTTTAAAATAAAAAAAATAACCCATGTTCTGTAGTTTTTTAAATTAGATAATGTTATTATTGAAAGAGTTCAAGTTCCTCAAAGCTTATTTTTATCTACTTGTTAAGTATGCTATGTTTACTACAGTGAAAAGTATAAATGGGAATGAGATGTTTTACTAAATTTATTGTTTTCTGTTTAATTTCTGTCACCAGTGTTTATTGTGTGTGTGCAGTGTTATTATATTATTATATATATTCAATAAATTATTGTCGTGTATGTTTAGTGCGATTATATTCTTCATTGTAATTTCCAAATTGCGTTTTCTTATTGTATGAAGAAAGAAAAAAAAAAGAAATTAAAGGAAAATCTTAAATTAATTTAAAATATTTTTAAAGTATTTTTTCTTATTTATTTAATGCTGCAATACATCTTAAGAATATAGTTAAATTTAAGGCTTCATCATGTTAAAATAAATGACAAAAAAGTAATTTATTCTTTATTTTTCAAACAATATTATAAAACATACATTAACAATTTGAGCAAATTTATAGTTATGTAGTCCAGTTGTCTTTTTCATTTCTTTTCATCCTATGAATTTGAAATGTTTTTTAAATGAAAATTAATAAATATGAATATCTCACGCCCATTTATGTTAAAATCTGTTTTGATTCAATAAATAAAAACATGGAATGTGTATTTTAACACAATTATTCCTACAAATTATATATTGCTAAATAATGTCATTATTGTAAATATTGAATTACGACATTTTTATGTATATTAATAATCAAGGAGGTAAAATAACTTTTACATACATGCACTACAAAAAAATTATTTAGATATTAAATGTTAATTTGCCTAAGTTAAGTTGTAATAAATAAGCATATTGAAGATCTTTGTTATACTTTTTTACTATGTTAACATATTTATGATCAAAGATGAAATTTTTTTAGGTAGTCTTTATCAAAATATTAATCAATAATTAAAAATATTTCTGTGAAACACTTTTTAATGGTTTAATTACTTTTAGTCTATGGCTTAGCGTGTTATTCAACCTTTTGTTATAAATAAACCAAAAAAAGAAAACATTTTTTTCCAACCCTAATTTTAACCAAGATTTAAATCAGGCAGTTTTATTAAAAAAGTGAATCCTATTTTTTTTTTAAAATAATACTTTAATTTTTTATTTATTCAAAAGAAAAAACTTTAAATATTCCTTTAATTTTTTTTCCATGTTGTGTTTAATTTTTAAAATTACTACAATATACAAAGCTTGAGTAAAATCAATTGAATAGTTCCTGAGAAATTGAATTTTAAAGAAATCGTATATTTAAAATTCAATTTCTCAAGATTCAACTAATTTCACTCAAGTTTTGTATTTTGTCATGCGAAACTATATTCTTCAAAATGATGTAAGGAATAGTATACCTTACATTTCAAAATTGTTACGACTATTATTTAATACAATAATAAATATTTATTGAAACTTAATTTTTGCATGAAATTATCTTTGGATAAAAAAATTTTATAATGATATGCAAATTTTTTTTAATTTGCTTGAAAATTTTATGGGCTATGGTGAAATACGCAAAAAGTGAATTTAACATTAAGGGATCCAAACTTTTGATTGCTCTCCTGACCAAACTATGGGGACATTATTTCCCAGATTGTGGCTACCTCATATATTTTGGATGTCAGAAATCTGAATTCGTGGAAGAAAAAGATATGCTTATTCAGAGAAAATACGTTTTTGTGTCTGATTTAGTAACTTAAAACATTCATTGGAAAAAAAAGATATGTTTATTCAGAGAAAGTACATTTTTGTGTCTGATTTAGTAACTTAAAACATTGTATGCACCAATTAATTAGCATATTTGAGGTCACCCCCTTAAACCATTAAGAATGAGTCCTAGAGCGTGAGGATCCGATCATTAGATCAAAAGTTATTCAGGGTGGTTCTTTTTTTGGCTCTCTGTACGTACAAATGTGCAAAACCCAATGATGAACGTGAATACAATATGTGTATGTATTTATGTACTTGCAGTGTATTTATACGCACATGTTTGTTGGTAATTCTATTTTTAAAATCCTTCATTTAATAAAATTAATAACAATAAAAAAAAAAAAACAATTCATGCATTGTTATAAAAGCAATCCATTACCAACAATTCCAATTACAATGTGATCAACTCCACTTGAAATTATAATTATATGTAATTGTGCTGTAATCATAGATATTACAATTACTAGTATTTAAGATTGTGTGTAATTGTTACATTATGATTTCTTGTAATGTTACCTTATGATTACAAGAAGTCATGATGACTTGCAATCCCAGGGTTTGATTATATGTAATCCTGATTATCTGTAATCACTTTTTATTATGGTTATAAATTGGGATTATAGTAACATGATTACTTGTAATCATAACTACAGAAAGTTGATTACTAAGTTGTCCTTATCTGTTAATAATTACATTTGTAATCAATTACTGTAATTGACATGCAAGTTGCAATGAAAAAATTCTGGTTATTCAAAATTTTATTCTAAAAAATTAGTCATGACTATTGAATTTATTCATCAATCATAATTCAAAAATTTACATGATGAATAACTAAATTTGCATATGAATAATCTTTCATAATAAATTTATTCTGTCGGAATTTAGTCATGAATAATATTTCTGCAAATGATGCCGATTAAAAGCTCATTAAGCTGAATAATGGAATAAATGAGAGGTAGAAAGCTTGCAGAAGAGTTTTTTCCTACACTGTTTACTTGACTTATCTTTAAAAATTTTTGATGTACAAATCTGTTAATCTGTAGATGACTAATTATCTCCAAAACTCTATTTGATAATATTATCAACAATTATCAAAAAATGTAAGTACAGTGGAAAGTCGCATATCCGGAATCGGCGGGACTTTCCGAAGTCCGTATATTTGATTTTTCCGTATAATTGACTTCCAAGGTAAACAAAGCTTAAAATGATCTGAATCTAAGAAGCAGAAAATAAATAAACATTATTTTTCGGGCAATAATGTTTTAGTATTAGAATGATATCTAATCAATCATAAACAAAATATTAGAAAAAAAATAATTATTGCTATTCTAAAAATAAATATAGAAAACGAAAAAAATTCCCAGTTATGAAAATATTAATTGCTCTCTCCACCATTTTGAACTAGAACGATTCAAGCAAGAAGGGGAAATTCCCGTCATTCAATAAGGTGGGTAGGTGGAGAAGAAAAATTCATTTCCTCCTTACTTGTCATTCAAGTTGAGGGCGGGGTAGTGACAAATTCTTATTTTCTCTCCCATCATTGGCTATCAATCAAGCATAAAGGCGTGGCATGCTAATTGGGTTCTCTTTATTTTTTCTTGTGTGACTAAAGGGGATTCCCCCTCCACTTTAACATTCAAAAAGGTTCCAGGAAATGCCTCTTTTACTAGCCAGCTGCATAGAAAGAAGGGGGAGGGAGGGGACTCAGTTGTGCTCTTTTGAAAACAACCCCCCCCCCTTTCCTGCATTCCAGAGGAGGAGCGTCATGGTCTTAGTAGATCTTCTGTTCTCTTTTCTGTTGATTTATGGGTTCAATGCATAGATCTCTAGAAGCTGAGAAGGGGAAAAACCTGTCAAAAGACTTCGTTTTTTTTTTTTTTTTTAAAAGGAGAGGGGAAGATGAAGAAATGTTTGTTTATTTTGATTGTTAAAAAGTGTCCGGGAAATCGACCCTTCCGGAAAAGGGACGTCCGGATATGGGACGTTACACTGTATAATTGTTTAACCAGGCAATGTAAAAAATATTTTTTTTAACGGCTCATTTTAAACTCTCATTCTTCACCTTAGAAGATACCAGAAGTGTTGCTCATTTATCGTTACCCAGAGGGCACCTGTGAACCAAAGTTATGGAGGCGAGCAATGTTACCCATGTCACACTGCCACAGATACCCGTTCATAGGGTGGGCCATATTCAGAGATCACTGAACAGACAAAACACGCAGAGAGAAACATCCATGCCTTGAGCGGGATTCGAACCCACAACCATTGGCTTCGCAGTCAGGCATGTTAACCACTCCGCCGCCTGGCCCCTATTGTTGAAAAATATAATAAAAGAGTTATTTTAGTATTTTAACAAATATCTGCATATTCTTATTTTGAAATATATAGGATATTTAACTGAAAATACAGTGATAGCCAAAACTGACTGTTTTTTATTAGACAAGATTTTTTTAAAAAAAAATAGGCCCCAAAAATTAAACCTGGATCAACGCCTGGTTTTGCTGTATTTCAATTCTTTTTCATAAACGTTTTTATAAATGTGTTTTAATCTTCTTACCCCTAGTTGTTTTCCTGCTGATAATATTGTTTTCTGGCTGTGGCTTTTCTAAACTGTTTCTTTATTGGTTTTAAAACAGTTTTTTTGATAACATTCTTTATTATTTTGAAAAAGACAATAAAAAATATACTATAGGAATGTAACTAAAATAAAAGTAAATTAGTTTTTGGAAATTGGGAAGTGTATATCATATTTTCTTAATTTTTTATGACCTATATTATTTAAAATTTGTATCTAATTTTTCAAGAATTTACTGTGCCAGCATTTTCTTTTGTTATTTTTTTTCAAAGATTTTTATTGTATAATTCTATAATTCTACTACTTTTTTAGGGAATATGATGAATTGAAAATTGACTGAAATGCTGTGGAATAGAAAAATATTTTACTATACCTCTGCTCTTGCTGGGTAATAAAATTTATTATTGTTTTACTAATAATTTAACATCATGAATCATTGTTGGCCAACACAAACCAAAATTCATGTATCTTAGTTACTTAATGAACATAATTAAACAGTATTAAAGTAAATATACTCATTCTCTCAAAGTAATCATGAAGCATAGTGCTCCTCTGGCCAAAACCATGTAATAAATATCAGAAGCCTTGAATTAAAGTTCCTATAAAGGTGTATCAATTAAAAATATTGGGTTTAAGTTCCAAACAAAAAATTTTTGAAAAGTTTTCAATAAAGGTGAAAAGTTGAAAATTAAATGTATTTAATAGGTGCTGTATATTTTAAAAATTTTCATGTTTGTAAAAAATCTTCAGAATATGATTATTGACTTGTGAAATTCATATTCCTGTTGTAGATAAGTGAAACATTAAAAAAAAAAGGCAATTAAAAGATATTGAAATTTTTTTTAATAAAATAGTATGTGATATTATTATTATGAAGAGTATTAGAGATGTCTTATTCAGTGCCGTTCCTGGCGGGTATGCAGCGAATGCCCCGCACGCAGGCGCCCAATTTAAGGGGCGCCAAATTCAACTATTCGAAAAAAATCAAATTATAGCAAATTATTAAAAATCAAATTATTAAAAATCAAATTATAGCAAAGCTGTAAACTTTGATTACAGGAAGAAACAGTAAACTAATATAAGAAGTAACTTCTACACTTTGCTTCTACACTGGAATTTATGACCTCTATATTGTACGTTAATAGTCTATTTTATTTGATGTCGAAAATAAATTTTTTGTCATATTTTTTCGTTGTTTTATTTTATTACGCCCATTTTCATAATCAAACACTTACACTAAAGTGACTTTAGTCTATAAGGAAACTATTCAGTTTAAACCTCAAACTAAAAATGATTATGAAAATTGGCCTTATCATCAAAATTTAAGCATAGTATATAGGGGCGCACAAAATTATTCTTGCACGCAGGCGTTCGCCACCCCAGGAACGGCACTGGTCTTATTTGTTATTATTTATTTATAAAAGATGTATTACAAATAAATTTGTATCTAACTGATTTATGGTTTTGATTTTGTTTATATAATATGCAATATTAGAATTCCATAAGAATTATCTATAAGTGAGAATTAAGGATTAGATTGAATTGTTAAATAGTTAATTAAAATTGGATAAGTAAAATCTTGTATTGAAATTAAACTAAATTATTATCTGAAATTATTAAAATATTAACTAAATTATTTAACTGACATATTTTTTATAATGACTTAGCCTTCATTTTTTAGTAGTTTTAATAAAAATGATTTTATATCAGCATAGGCATAAACTTTTCCTGTTGTATCAGCAATAAATATGTTCAAAAATGTAGACCTCTGCCAACTTAAATTTTTTTTTTTCTGTTAAGAATTAAAAAGATATCGTTGAATTTTCTTGTGCCCTGCTGACCAAAAATAAAAATTTCAATTTTTTTTTTTGGTTTTTAATTTTTTTCATAGTTATTGCAACCATAAAATATTTCTAATTTTTTCTTAAAAATTATAAGAAGTTGAAATTTTTTTGCACCCATCTAACCGAGAAGTACCCAAACTGATATCAATAAAAAAGTTTTGCAATACTTTTGTTCAGAGAATATGCTAATTTCTCTTTATTTTTTTAAAAGAAAATAAGGTACACAGGGCTGATTGTGCTCCGGAAAAATCTGGATTTCGGGATTTTTCATTAACAGTGATCCGGAAGTTTCCGGAGATCGAAGGTCCAGACGTTTAAAAAAATCATTAATCACAGAAGTTTCCGGAAATCAAATTTTCAAAGATGGAACTTAAAAACACAGTTTATTTTATTTGTTAGTAAGGGAGAGCTAGAGAGATACTTCATAAGCTTATATTCATGATTAATATTTATTCTTTATCAGTAAATAGTTATTATAATCACAAACTCAAGAAAGAAAGACATATTTGTAAATTTTAATTACTTCTCCAGGTCATCATAGGTATATGTAAATGGTATAGGTATGTGTAAAATTTTAAATATATTTTTAAGTAAACTAAGAAATATTGAGAAAAAGGAAAACAACCTTGTTTAAATTTTTTTCTCAATTTTTAAATTTAAACCGTTTTTTTTTGTTTTTTTTAACTCAAGAAATTTTCCGGAATTTTGACTTGGACTCACATTCATCCCTGGGTACACAGCTTTTCAAATTATTAACTAAGCTACAGGCATTGCTGTCAACAGTGTATTACTTGCTCTTTAATTGTGTAACCGTATACTTATATGTTAATTATTAAATCATATTGTACACTTCATATTATGTTTCTAAAAATTTTCTGTGATTAAATATATTTTTTTTCCTATTTTGTATAGTGGATGTTATTCACTGAGGTGCTTACATAAAGCTCTAAAAGTCCAATGTGAAATTCCAACTTGTGATGAAGTAACAGCAGAAGAGGAAACTTCATTTATCTCTATACCAGAGATATCAGGTATGATTATTAAACTGGAAGCAATGTGAAATGATAGGTGCCAATACCTTTACATGCGTTTTTGGAGCCAGTGTTGGAAATTTGTCAAAAGCCAATGCATCACATCGTTGCTTTTTCTATTATTTGTCAATGTTCTTTGAAACCGATCAATAAATTTTGAGATAAATGATTTTTAAAAAATTTTATTGTGATGCATTTTAGTTTACTTAAAGAAATGGGAATATCAGAAAAAATCAAGGAAGACAAGATTGGATATAAAATGTCACGGAAAAACATAGTTTTACCCCAAAACCTGGAATTGTCTGATAACTCTTCACCTTATCTAATTTCAGGGCTTCATGCTTTTCTTTGCAGTTATGCGAAGTAATATTAAAAAATAATAAAATTAAAGGTTAAATTGACAGTCATTTGGTAGATTATTGAGATTCTTTTTTTGTTATGCTTCAGCATTTCTGCCAATAAAAAAAAAGCAATTGGATACGTAGAATTTGGAAAACTTTTGTCTTCTCATTCCCAAAAACAATGTTTTAAAAGCAGTGGTAGAGCTCAATGAATTGAAGGTGTACAGACTTTTCTGCCTTTTCAATGGGCTTGTGATTTCTGATTGCATCTCTTTACCACAGTGTTTGAGCCGAGGAACTTCCAAACAAATTTAAAATTGCTTTTCTTTTCTACAAAAAAATTTGTTTTCATGTTGTGATTTTTTCTGCTCTGATAAAGCAATTCCATTTTCGATGCGTCTCTATAAAAATGATAGTGTTAGTGCACTGTTTGATTTGTTGATCAGTTCTGAAATGCCTGAACGTATGGATTGTTCACTGATCAAGTTTTTCATCTGGGTTTAAGACAGTCAACAACAGAGCCTCATCACTTTGTAATTTTCTTCTCTCCTTTTGATTAAATAAATATAAAATTTCATAAAATTTTAAATTTGTGAAGCTAGCACTGAGGAATCGTTCACTTATTGCAGAAGGTATTTAAAGTATTTATTTCAGTAATTAGATATTTTAAATAGGCAATAGCAAATCGTATATGGTTTAAATTTATCATTTTCAAAACATTAATTAATCCCTTTATCATTCTTGTTAAAAATAATTGATATTAAGAATTAAATGATCACGGAATTATTAAAATAGTTATTAGAACAGAGGAACCATTTACTTCTGGCACAAATGTTTAGCTACTCAAAAAATGTGCTTTTTTTTCAAAATTATTAAAATTCTTTTTTTAATGATTTACTTAATGAAATATTGACCCCAATGGCTAATTTTAATAAAATATTGAATTTTTAAAATAGAGTGACATTTTGATCCAATTTTTTTTTCTAAACATAATAAATTACCCCTTTTTTTAATTTTTACATATTCAACCCTAAATAACAGTTTAAATAATTAAGTTGAATAGACAATTTAATTATTGAAAATTTATTTGAGAGCCATTCACTAATTTACTTACATAATGTGATTTTATGTATGTGCTCCTTTTCTGCTTATTCATGACGCCTGTTTATCGTAAGTAAATGTTAAGGTAATATGGAAAACAGAGATTTTTGGTTATAAAGAAGAGTCAACAGTTAAAAACGATTTTTGATTTTTTTCAGGTACTTTCCTGCATTTCTTTTCTCAATAAAATTTCAGTTTTTTATTATCTATTTGTCTTTAAAGATTTTAAATATAAATCCCTATGCATACCTGCCAACTCTTCCAGATTTTCCGGAAGATTTTATTTTCATATTTAAAGTGGTAGTAAGAATATACTATTTTTTCTTTTAAAAATTTAATTTTTAGATGATTTTGATGACCACTATTCTTTCAAAAATTAAACACATATATTAATATGCGTTACTATCATGATTGTCAGCTTAAGTTTTCTCAAATGCAACGTATTTGTTTGCTTAAAATTGAAGTTTTAATTCCATTTTAATACCACTGGGAAAAATGATAATGGGAGGGATTAAAAGTTGGCAGGTATGCCTATGGCAGAATCATTTCCAACGTTTTTTTAAATTTTTGGCAATTATTACTACTAATTTCCACTTGCTTTTTAAAAATTTTGGTATTTCTTAGTTGATATTATTTTGAGACCTAAAATTCTAATCACGCTTTTAAAGTAAATAATCACTTTTTGACGCACTCAATTTACACTGATAGTATTGTAAGTCCATGTAGTGTTTCAATTGTTTTTATCCAAAAGTTATTGATATTAGTTTTTACTTGGTGTTTTAAGATTCTGATTCATTTCAAACAATATGATATGGGAAATTCAAATTGTGCATTAAAATATTTATTTTGACATTATGATTCTATTGCTTTTCATAATAATTCTTTGGCAGCTATTGTTATTGGCTTCCACATAGTTTTTAAAATCCACTATTTTTAATACAATATTACAGGCAAATCTCGAAATGAAACATATAGTTGAGTAACCCTTTTTTAGCTTTTTTTTTTTACCCTTTTTAATTAGCATGATCTCTTTGTTGATCTTTTTTTGGTAGTTACTTAGGAATTTCTTTAAATAATCTATTCTTGCATTGTAATTTATTTATTATCGTTTAGCGGTATTTTTTTTAAAGCATGACTATTAGATCAAAAGATATAAAGATTGTAATGTTTATTAATTTTTTTGGTGCACTGTGTGTTGGTTGTAGTATAGAAACTTCAGTTTTCCTTAACTTTATTTTATTTGTTGTTTGTTTAATTTTATTATATCTTTATTTGTTTATTTAATGTAGAATACTACTTTGACGATGAAGATGTATCACAGAAGTTTTTTCCTCATCATAACACTTCTCAATTTTGGATGTTACTAATGCTGACTAAGTCTAAAAATCGTTCTGTACGTCACAAAGCTGTCAAACTTTTGTCTAATTTAAACAATTTGGAAAGTAAGATAAATCTATATATGAGTATTTGTTTCTGAATTTGCTTATTATTCTAATTTGTTCTTTAAATATATCTAGAATTGATGAAAAGTATGACTTTCATGTCACAAGCCAGAAAAACATAAGATTACAAATTAATAGCACTATAATAGTTCTTATATTTAGTTTAGAATTAAATTTTTTCAAAGCTTAATTGTGAAATTTTAAAATTAAAATTTGTTAATCTTATTATTTTATATAGTGTAATCATATTTTCTCAGAGCCTAGGGAATAAATTCGGGAAAATTACCTACATTTACTATCATATACTCATTTTTTAAAAATTCCTTATAGGTGCAAAACTGGATCCGGAAATCGGAAAACCGGAACGAAATTCAATAAAATTTCCCACCATTTTTTGAAAAAAAAAGTTTTTTTCCTCATAAGATTTTAGGATTTTTCTTTCTATTTTGAGAGGTATTTACCTTACCATCATTTTGGAAATAATCATTAGTGTATTACTTCATCGTTTTTCTTCTTTCCTAAAATTCATGCAGTTGTTAAGGATTCAAAAATAAATATTGCTTNCAATAAAAAAACGGCTTTTTGTAGCGATTCAGAAAACCGGAAAAATCAGTTATCCGGAATAGCAATGGTCCCGATAGTTCCGGATAATCGGTTCTCTACTGTAGAAGGTATTTACATAATTTAGACTTTTTTTCCCTGTATACTTTTACTATCTTGTTTTTCTCTTAATTATATTTATGTCTCATTTATTTTTTATTTTATAACTGAGAGAAAAATAAGTTGCCCCTTTTTTAACATCTTGTTCTAGTTTTATGTTCTTACCTAATTTATCATTTAATATATTTCCTGCGGGCGAAAATTAAATATAACAAGGCTTACTTTTTGTATCATTGAAAATTTTACTTTTGATTGGGTTTAATTCCTATTAATTTTATCATTAATTTTATATTTTAATAAAAAATTTTAGAATTCTGGTACTCTTGTTTTTTTTCATGTTTTTAAAGACATAATTTTCTAATAAATTTTTAATGTTTTTCTCTCTGTGTTATGATTTTTTCATCGTAATAAGGGGTTGGATGTTTTCTTTTCTTTATAACAAATTTAATTAAATTTTTTAATCAATATAAAATAGTGGAAAAAAGGTTAAAATGTTATTCATAACTAAGAGGACAATCCTGAACATTTGTCATATTTTGCATATTTTATTTTTTGGGATATTATTTTATTTAGCTGATAATAAGTAAGCTGATAATAAAGAAAGATTTTAATTACTATTGAATTCAAAATGTCTGGATAATTTAGTATTTTAAAAAATATTTTTTTATGAATTAGTGTCTGTAATACATAGTATATGTGTATAGCAGAGATAATAAATTTATTAATAATTAAATGTAAGCATTTATTATTATTATCAAATTTGGGCAAAAAACTCAGATTAATTAGGTTTATTTTTATATTTAATTTGCATTACACATTAATGTTATTAGCAAGTTTATCTTCATTAATAATAATGAATTAATGATTCATTATTAACTGAAATTGTGTTTTAGGATATCTTCTCTTCATTATTTTTAAATATATGTATAAAAATAGCATTTTATTTTAATTTACACAAAAACTTGAGATACACGCTTTTTTTTTCTTTAAAAATGTCACTTTCGTTCATTTTTGCATCATGCAGGAGCAATGTTTAAAATTAAATTAAGCACGGATATAAAATTAAACATTAAATGAGAAAAGAATGTGCAACAGGAAAATTTCATAACTACTTTGCCTAAGAGCTCAATGCTTATAAGGATTAAAGAAATTATATTTGAATTAAAAATTATATTAAATTGCATTTGTTGCTTTTAATTGCCATAAATTATAATTCTTGAGAACTAACTTATATTTTAAATTTAAGAGTGGGAATATGTGATGATTTCTCAAGCTTGTGAACCATCCACTGCTATTGGTCTTGCTCGATCCCTGAAGATACACAGATCTTTTTTTATATCCCCCCAAAAGAGAACCAGTAAAATGGTAAGAAATTTATTAGCTTAAAAGCTATAATTGTATTTAAATTTTTTTTGACATTTATTAAAAATTGTGTTTGTTATTATTGTTATCCTTTGTTCACATATAGTTCTACAGTGAAACCTGTAAGTTGACTATATCTGTAATTTAACCCTCTATTTAAGTTGATCGTGATTATTAGAAACTGAATTTATCAGATTTAATATAAGGAAACACATTACTTCATAACCTAATCACCTGTCTATCTTGTATTTTGATCACTGAAATCAGTAAAATTTGTCTAGGAGTGTTATAGAATGCTATTAGTGGCTGGGACAATCTCTTCCTCCCACTGTTGCTACTCATTCTCAATCACACACCATTGGAGCTTGTACACACTAGACTGCTAATATCAACACAGGAGCAACTTAAGTCCGGTGAACTTAATATAGCTCTCCTGGTCTTTTGCAATATGCAGTGAATCAACTAGTGATATCTATTCATCAAATTCTATCTCAAATAAAATTCTTGTGGAGGAGTAATGTAGTGTAACTATCACTACAATAATACAATTCCAATTCACTAGTATGTAGGATGTGTTAACTGGAATCTATCTTGGAGTACATTTTGATAGATGGTTGACATCGTCAACATTCAAACTAATAATCAAACATTTACTTTATTTTAAATTTTAGTTCTGATAGTTAGTCTACTCATAATCTGTTTCACAAAGGTATTATCATTTAATTTTTGAAGGAAGTTTGCTACCTCTTCCTTTTTGAGACTTAAACACATACATCTTTTTTTAAAAACATCATCCAACAAAGTAAAAGAGTTTATTTTTACCCTTTGGGAGGACATAAGCAAATTAAAGTATAAAAAATACTACCCGTAATATTTGGAAACATAAAAAAAGTTAAATGAAATACCCATTTTGGTAGATATAAAAAGAACTTTTATGGAAATTTTTTTTAAATAATAGCATGCAGTAATATCACATAAAAACATGATTTGTATAGCAAATTTTCAAAATATTTTTAAAATGCAATTTAAGTACAGTTTGGAACATGTGAATTTTATTGAGTTAATAATTTCCAACATTTTTTTATACTTAGTGTATCTTTTAAAATGAAAATGGTAATTATGTGGTAGCACTTTGCACTCTTGTGTGACAGGTCTGGGGCTCTATCCACGAACCAGGCAAGGTTAACTTAGTCATTCATTCCTTCTGTAGGTCAATAAAATGTGTACCAAGCATGCTTTGGAACTAAACATTGGGGGTTCCATGTTCTCTAACCACCTAACCTGAATAACTGCTCCCCAAAGCCAATTTTCAAGAAAACTGGGATGGTCACTGTAGACCTTGGCCCTCTGTGGGCTGTGGCACTACTGAGTTCAAAATTCTCAATTTGAGTTATGTACCTAAGGAATTAATCTGTGTTTTTAATCACTAGTAGGTTACTCAAGTTCAATTAAATATGTATGTTACCCATATCTGATACTTTTAAGTTAGCATTAAAAACTGAATTTGATTTTTTTACAACTAAAATTAAAACTTTGTTTTTTTTTAAAAAATTAATTCAAATCAGTGATTTGTTTTAAGAAAATTATTTGATTTAAATCACTACAGTTCCGGCTGTGTAACAAGTAAATTACTCTTTCTCAGTTAGTAGTCAGAGGTAAAAGTTGTAAAATTTCTCAAGACTCATATTTTTGAGATGTGCCCCATATTTTTAAATGTAAAAAAAGATCTTTATAATACCAATTATTTTTCTGTTTAATAAATACTGAAAAAAAGAAAACAGTTTTTCTACAAAACTTGGACATTAAAATCTGGTAAAAAATTTAATTAATTTACCAAATGCTTATAGTATTTATACAGAAAAAATAAAAATTTTAACAAATAATTTCACTTTAATTTAAAGTTACAGTCTACACTCTTTATTACGACCCCCCATTAGTGCGACCCTTCCTCTATGTTAATCTCTACAAGAAGCCAGTTTGTTTTTCCAAAGACCCAATATTACTTAAATTTCAATTAAAACATCCAAATTGATATGTTTATTCCAATATAGCGACCAAAATTTTGTGTCATTTTTTTTAATTTCCAGAAAATTATGTTTTTTTTTTTAAATTCCCAGCCTTATATAACAAAAATATCATTCTCCAGTTTTTCAAAAATGTCACTTTCCTGGCATTATTTGAGTCAGAAGATTGACTTAACAGCTAGATTCATTAAAGTGAGTTCTCTTTATTCTTCTCTTGTTAAGTATCTTATAAAGAGTAGGTATGAGTTTTTTTTAAAAAAGTTTTTAGCGCATTTTTAGTTTTAAGAATTTCGGATTTGAAAATTTCAAGTTTTTGGAACATCACCCAATTGCATTTGGTGGGAAAATTTTATATTATTTTAGAATATCAATTATTTTGGAATTTATATTATTTTAAATTGCAGAGTGACACATGCCAATCATTACTTGACCTCATTACTTCATTGCCTACAGATGAAGTTGATTCTTCTGTGCAATTATTGTTAGATAGAGCCAAGAAAATTGGTTATCAAATGTTACAAAAGGTATGGTTATTTTTCTTTATTTAAATAAAAACTTTTTAACTTCAGTGTATTAAAATATTCTAGTAGCAATTTAGTAGCAGTCAAGCTCATTTGTTTCATTATTTTGGTAAACTTAAGAATAATCTACTGAGTGTTATTTAGGTAATATTTGTGATCTATTTAATTTTTCCATTTCTTGAAACCATAGCTTTGAACTTTTTTGTTAACCTTTCTTATACATTTTACATAAAATAGTTTGGTTGTATATATTATTTTTAAGTGCAAAAGTAAGTTTTTTAAATGGAGAAAAATAGCAAATGTCTAGTAGCAAATATTGAAAGGAAAATTTTCAGATACCCTATTGTCACTGCACTGAGAGTAGTTAAACCGATTAGTATTTTCATGTCTATAATTTGCCTCAAAAATCATTAAATTTTGCATATGTTGTAAAATATTTTTTTTTTACCATTTATTACACAACTTATATTAAACAAAGAAAATGAAATGTTTTGCTTATCCATTATATATGTTATCAAAAATTAAGATTGTTTGTGGATTGTAAAATACATTAAAAACATGAAAAAGTTTATTTATTTCAATCTTCTTAAAAAATATTAATGTTATAATCTGAAAACAACTATTGTAACACACATTCCTTTATGCGATAATTTGATTTATGAATCATTTGAAATGTACCAAAGTAAAAAATCTTGTTCTTATAGTTTTACAGAATTTTCTGAAATATTTTTGTAAAATTGTACATAATGAAAAGAGACTAAAATAATTAGTTCAATTTTTTTTTAAATAAAACTATGGTAAAGCCATTTTAAAATCTGACTCAATTTTAAAATCCGACCTATGTTTCTAATCATTGTAGTTATTTTATTTATAAATCAGTTTTAACCTCTAGTAGCACAAAATATTGATAAATATAGAAAATAATGATCCACTCTAAAGTTCTGGATAATTGCAACATCGTTTGTCATTGCAAAAAATTTGTCGTTCTGTATTTTAGAAACGCTGAGGAACTTTGATCATTATCTTCACCATACTGGTCGTTAAAAATGTTTCATGCCATTTACAATGCTCATAGATTACCATGTGATATTTTTTAAATGTTTGTTTCAAAATATATTTAATAGCATTTGTGAACAACATTGAATGCCAATCAATATTTTCGCAGTGATATTCTTAAAAGTAATTTATTGTAGACCTTGATCTATATCCTTTTAATACAGTGCAGGTTCAATTTTGATCTCTTTTGTGCAAATTTTATTTAAAAACTTATTTACGGGATGANTTTGATAAAACATCGATTAACGACACTTTTTTGTCGATCCAGGAAACCGGGAAATTAAGACATCCGGGATAGCGATGGTCCCGAGCATCCCGGATAATTGGTTCTTTATTGTACAGACATTAGTATTGAATTGGTTTTTTAAAATAAAATACTTATTCAATTTGTTTATTTTTTAAAAGTTTTTGTGTATTTTTATTACAGTGTCGGGTTTTTGAATAATGTTTTATTAAGGAAATGGTATTTATTTAAAGAGTATCTACCTAATATAGTTTTGTGTTGCTAAATCTGTGTTTAATTATTTTATTTCCATTTAATATTTTTAAACAATTATTGCTCTATTAGTGTGTAAAATTTCTTGCATTCTTATATTTAATAAATTTTTTACTTAAAATTCCTTAGAAGTGCCAAATGTTGCATACCATGCACCTTTTTTTACCCCTCCTGAAATCTCCTGAATTCTTGTTAGGGAAACTCCTGAATGTTAATTTTGCTAGGTTGGCACGTCTGGGATGATTTTCAAAAAATTTGTAATTATTGAAAAATGTATTATAACTTATTGCTTATTATTCGACTTTTATGGATAAAACCTCAATTTAACTTCTGTACTTATTTCTGCTTTTTCCATTTTTTTTCTTCAGATCTTAGGGAATCTGTTCTGCATTTACTCAATTTTTAATACTTACAGAGTTCGCCATTGTTATGTAAAAATTAATTAAGGTGTTGATTTTAATTATACTCTAAATATTTTTTGTTCAAATTGAAAACAATCAATATCATTTAGTTATGGAGACTGAAATTTGAGGTTATTTAAAATATAGATTTTTTTCAAAAAATTTAGTTTTATTGTATGTTTTATATCATCTCTAAATCAATTCCCCTGTTAAATGACTCAATTGCGTATAATATTTTCTATTAAAAATATATATACTATTTCAAGTTACCTCATTCCTTTGGAACTTGAAGTTATAACAAAAAGCGTTGTGAAATACTCATTTTTAAGCCTGTGTTACAAGGCAATAGCAAGACTTTCTTGTAACACTATTGGAAGATTTGAAAATTTTAAAGATTTTAAAAACAAGCAGTTGTTGCATTTTTATTACAAATGTTATTATTATTAAGAGTAATTTTATTTTAGTTTGTAATGTTTGAAATATAGAAATTGCTCACAGTATTAATTTCTCCCATTTTCTTTTCAAAGCAAAAATACTCTCTTCTGTTAAATAGTTCAGAAACTCTGAACAAAAATCATTTGAACTGACCAATGTTTTTACCTTTTTAATTAAAATTAATTTTTTGGGGAAATTTCAAATTTATGAGTTGATACCTAAAATTTTGTTACTATTAAGACTTAAAAGATAGACAGTGTTCACATAAGTATCTTAAATTTTCTTGAATGATTTTTTTTGTTGAGTTTTTTCTTTTTGGAATTATCTTATAAATAGTGGGTTGACTAGATGCAACTCAAAGTGAATTTTTGATTGGAACATGTTTATTTTTTCATATATTTATTCAGAATTATTGTAAATTATATTTCTGCATTTAAAATAGAATTTATTTGTAATAGCAGTTATTCTTATTACTCATATTTAGAAATTATAACATATTTTATTAGTTTTTTTCATAAATTAAATGATTGGGTGAAAAGCAAATTTACTTGTATTTGTCATTTTACCCTTCCACTTGATTTAATGGCAATTAAAGTTCATTCTTATGTAAACTAGCTTCCTTTCTGTTTCACTATTTCAATAATTTTCTATGAAATTATTCTTTTGGCTTAAAACTTTTGATAAATTTTGTCTTTGTTCAGTTAAAATATTATTTTAACTCCAAAAAGATTCAAAGATGCATGGATCTTTTTTAGCATTTTTTGCTACAATCATAAAATTTTAATTTTATGCAAATTTTGATAAAATAATGTTTTCAGTATTCTCATTCAAATCTTGATATTGTAGAGTTTTTTTTCCAATAAACTAATATTTTAATTTTCTAATATTGTATGATATTGTCTTGCATAAATATCATTTTCTAAATTTCTTTTTGTGTTTACTGAATACTTTTTTTCAATTTTAATTGTAGTTCAATAATATATTATTATAGAATAGTTCAGACATGGATACAGAACCAGAAACTTTCATGGATTTTTATCATTCTGAAAGGAAAAAGAAGGACCTTTTAATATTCAGCCAACTTTGTTTAGAAGTTGTTTTCAATTATTCTACCATTAAGTCTCATAAACTCATGTTGGTTAAAGGTGGTATTTTGAAGCTCTTTTGGGATATTTTAGAATGTACTAAGCAACAAGCTGTTATCCAAAGTCTTGTGGCACGCACACTGGCTAATTTTGCATTGGAGATAGAGTTAAAAAATCATTTGTACTGTACAGGTAAAGTGCATTTAATCTTCTATTTTTATGTTTAAAACATGATATATCCTAATTAACAATATACAGGGTTACCACAGACAGAGAAAACCAGGAATAGTGGGAATTATCAAAAAATTTTATGAATCTGGAGACATCAGAGAATTGTGGACAATATTAGGAAAAATCATTATATATTTTGCATACATCAATTCATCTTTGCTTTGTTCAATATTCTTATAATTTTCAACTAGTGGTTGTAGTTAAATTTATTTTTAAAAAATGTCCCGTTTTTCTTATTATTTTTAAATGTAACATATAATTTTTTTAAAATATTTTAATCAAAAAAGAAAAACCATAATGTTTAGGTATTAGGGAAAAAAAGTTTGTCTCTGACTTAGAAAACTAAGCATTTTAAATATCGAGTGAAAAGAGACACATCATTTAATGTCTAAGAGTCCATTAAGCAATTGACGCAAGTAAAATGTTTTGTTTCAGTTAATACTTTATCTCAATAGTATGCATGATTTGGCTGATTTGTTAACATTGAGAGCCTTTGGTTGTTTAGAATAATTCCTTCTTGAAGATGGTAATGCCAAGCCACATCTTTCACAGCTAGTGAGAATTTTTATAATGGATTGGCCAGCATGGTTCTAATCATTTGTATCTTTATGTAATAATCAATTTGTTATCTGTGTAGTGTATTAAAATTTGAAGAATATCGTAAAATTCAATATAATTCTAAGGATGACCCCTTAAATCTGATGTATATATTGATGTCTCGATGATATCTGATGTCTCGAGGGTTTCCATGTACTGTAAACCCTAGCTACATCCCTGCATATAAATCAAGTTTTTTCTTTCTAAATTGCAAGGTATGGTTGTTTCATTAAGAGGATACCCGTACAACACAAAAAACACTTCAATTAATGCCTGAGTCATTTCCTGTTTGCGTGCTTTCTTGTTTTGATTATTAGAATTAGCAACTCAAATCGTGTGATTTAACACCTTTGAGCTTTTGTTAAGATTTTTTTCAAGTCTAAGTTTTATGTCAACAAATCTACAATCACAAAAACTTAAAAGAAGAAACTGAGCACTAGATTAAATTTTAACTATATATACAAAAGAGAGTGTATGTGTCAGCTGCGTTATAGAAGACAATAGGTATCATTACTAGGAAGTGTTATTTCACACTCAGCTCTATTCTGTATACTTTATAAATCAATGAATAATACATAATCTTTCATTTAAAACCTATGTTGTTCTGTCTTTAAATTACTTTTTGCCTGAATTTTGCGCCACCCTGTATATTGTTATATGAAGTAGTTGTTACAATGTATATTTCATATGCATATACTTTTTACCTAAAGGGGAAAGTTATTATTTTTAACTTTATGATATTTAAACTCTGTTAATCTCTCTAGGCTGGATTGGAGTTCTTGCTGCTTGGTCCAGATCTCCCCATATTGATGTAAGTTTGCCATCTGTGAAAGCTCTTGCAAACTTAGATGATGATGATTTTAACTACTGTGTGTATGACTCAGATGTATATTTATTGCACCCAATGTTCAGACTCGGGTAAAAATATTTTTTTATTCACTGATTTAATAGTTTGGTTGCTAATGAATAATTTGAATACAGTATATACTATATTTTTTGCATAAAATAAAAAAAAAACTTTAACAGAATATTAGTGAATCACTATATTATGTTTATATATAAATTCTGTGATGTCAGTTGCCACCTGACAATTTGTCTACCACTTCATATTTAAAAAACATTTCAATATAAATTGCTTACCTATTATTTTATAAAATTTTCTTATGAAACTGATCTATTTTAAATGATTTTTTAAAGATTTTGTTAAGCTATGCATGTCTATTATCATAGCTAGATGTTTATTTTCATTTTTGTTTAAAAAAAATTTTAAACATATTTTACTTAAATAAACGAAAAATTTCACATTAAGTATAATTATTCTCACAATGTTATTTTTAATGAATTGAATTAGTTTATATGAAGTCTTTAAACTTTTTATTTAAGCAATTAAAAACAATTATTAAATAAAAAGATTTTAATCAAAATGTTTGCTGTTTTATGTGGAGTTTTGCTGTTTTCTTATTTGCTATATTTTCTTCCAAACTGTACATTATTCATTTTTGTTTAAAATGTAGTTTTTCTTTTACACTTATCTGTAATAAGACTTAAGAAGCCCTTCCTTTCCCAACCGAACTCAACTATCAAATGGGGAGGAAAAATTTGAAATATGCTTTTGTTCCTTTTTATTTGATTTTCACAAATAAAATGATGTTAGATATTTACTCTATTTGACTGAATCTTTGAATACATATGAAATACAAGACTGCCAATTAAAATTTGATATGTAAAGCATACGGTATTTCATATTCTCTATTTAATTTTTCTGGCACAATTATGTGGATACAGATCTGAAATTAACAGTTTTTGATAGGTAATTTAATACTTCACAGTAGCCTACTTTTAGATTTTAATAAGTATTTTTGTTTTTTTACAATTAACGTTAAAAGAATTTTTTAGCATCATCCAAATCAGTTTTCATCAGTTTAAACTGTTATAAAATTAAATTTTAAAAAATCTTCTAATTAATAATCTTAATAATCATACAGAGCTATTTCTCTTAATCTAATGAAGCAATTTCTTTATTTTCTACTTTTTTTGAAGGGTATTGTGCTGTCTAATAATACTGTATCATTAAAAGTTTGTTAAGTAAATTAAAACGTCAGGAAAACACAAATAAAACATTTAACCTAAAATCCAAGATGATGAAGGTAGAGGCCTCTTCATATTTAACTCATACTGTAGAAAACTGTTAACTGCTACTGTAGAAAAAGGATTCTACAAATGCAAGCTTTTCAGTTTCAGAATGTTTTTAACAGATGTGAGTCTTAATTTTACTCATAAAAACCTCTGTTATTTTTTCAATTCAAATGTGATCTTACAGTTTTTTTTCCTTAAAAAATATTAAATGTGGATTTTTTTTTTTTTTTTTTTTTGCACATGCTTTAATTCTGAATACCATTTTTCCTTTTTGCATTTTTGTTGGCACTATAAACAATAAGTTTTTATTCTACCTCTTTTTTTTTGGAAATGAAATTAGGTCTAATTTTGGTAAATCGGAAGAAAAACAGTCAACTAAAGTTTGACCTTATACTATCAAGTATTTTTTTCAATTGCAGATCGGGTTTGGAGCCCCTAGATCAGAGGTCAGCAATCTACTGCCCCTGGATCTCAGAGTAACATGCACAAACATTTGCACTGACCCACCATAGAATTAAATTCAAGTAAGATTTGGACTCATTAGTTAGAAATCTAGTTTAAAGAAAATAAATTGCAGTTTGTTGTAGCAAATGAAGAAAAAAAAAGATCTAAAAAAAGAATCGTGTCTGTTACTGAAATGTTGAGTTAACTGATTTATAATTGTTATCTGACAAGCAGTGATTTATAGGTAATTTGACAGGTCTGTCCAAAGTTTGACTGCTAAAGTATGTTTCTATCCATTAAAAATATTTTTTGTGCATATTTTTTGAATAAAATTTGCTTACTAATTCCCATTTTCATTTTAAATATTAAATTAAATTTAAATATTATTTACAAAACTACTGTATTAAATAATAGAACTAAAATATAATAAGCTTCAAATATGAATGATGAAAAATAAACAAAAAGAATTGCTAATAGTCATTTAAATTTTATACATTCCATTTTATTTATCTAATTCTTGCAAATCTAATTGCTAAAAAATTGGATATTTTAGCTGTATATGAAAATATTTAGGAAATTTTTTATTAGCCTGTTTCTATCCATATTCAACATAGGTCGCAAGTTCTAAAGACCAATATTATTCTTGTTTGGTCTGTATCATGTTTTAGTGATCTCTCAAACCAGAATATCACTTATGATTTCTAATGCTACCATATACAGTTCATGTTATGTGAAATATCACCACTGAGTTGGACACAGTTAACAGTATTATGTATTTTTAGTGGGAATTTCCCTAATAAATTTCCTGTTAGTTGATTTAACCTTTTGATTTTTTTCCTAAAGTAGATTATGCTGACCTCTGTACCTCAAATCAAACTAGCTCTTCTAGTTATTTAAATTTTCCCTTTAATTTACTGCTGAAAAGCTGTTGTATTTAAAAAAAAAAATCTCATAGGGCCCAATGCAAAGAAGACTCATCATCAGAGCATGTCAGCCATCCTTTTCCTCATCCTTAGATTTCCAGCAGTTCCTTTGGATGATAATGTTCCAATGAACCTTGGTAGATTTCAAATTCCTTTAAATTGCATCTATCAATCACAATTTGGATTGTCTTTTTGTTGTTTCCGCATGAAGGACATTTTGCTGTCCCCACATTTTACAAGTTTTAAATCATTAAATCTGAAAACATGAGTAGCTTAGTTTAGTCAATTGATCTTGATAAACTTTATAATATCTGGGTCCTTAAAGCATTTATGAAAATTTTTATTGTATTGCCTTCTCAATTAATCATTTTCTTTTACTCCTCCTAGAACAGCTCTTAAATTCTTTTTTCAAATATACCTAAATAGGACTTATCAAATCTTGACAATGTCTGTGTCTCAGCTGTATCAAAATAGGTTTCAAGGATTTTATGTAACAAGAATTTAGTTTTTCTGCAAATTAACTACATCTTTAAAGAGATTCCTTAGGCTGTAAAAAGTTTTATTAATAGACATAATTCAATTTTTTATTTCAGGTGAAATATTATTCAACAATTAATTTCTGATCCTAAATATTTAAAAACTAAGAATAGATTTGAAGGTGTAAGTGTCAAATAAATAACTTTGAGCTTGTGGAAAATATTTCCTGTTAAGTTTACAGTTGCGCCTTTCAATACTTTTTCTAAAACAATATTAAGAAAGTAGGACTGAAAGTTAATCATCCTGGCAATTTCCTTCTTTGGTGGATAATTGATCAAATATTTTTTCTGAATTTGAATTCTTTCTTCTTCTTTTTTTTTTTTTGAATTTGCAACAGTAGCTTTAACTGATAAGATAAGTTTAGTTGGATTACCAAGTGCATTCATTGCTTCTAACAACTTTTCTAAGTTAATGCTATCAAGAGCAGCACAAAAATCAAGCAATAAATAATGAATATCAATACCAAATTATTATAAATCAATGTAAAAAATATATCAATGGTTGATTTGAAAACCACATTGAGTATTGAGTAGCCACATCCTCACTTAGGAGCCAATATAGTCTTTCAAAAGAAAATATGGAAGTCTTTCAAAAAAATATATGAGGTGTTTTATATGTTATACAAAAGATACTAATTCTTTGATAGTTTGAGCAAATTTAGGGATCTCTTTCTTGAAATAGCATTTGTGTTCCAATTATATAATATGTGCTCATTATTTTAAATATTAACTACCAACTCATGAATTTTTTTTTAACAACTTACCATATTATAGTGGAAATCAAACAAAAATCGGGAACTTGGTGAAAATTATAAAGAAACGAAAAAGTAAGGGATTCTCATGCATGCTAGTATACTTTCATACCAATTTTTATGTTATGGTTTACTAGCTTTTCCAAAAACTGTATCTGTTGCTTTCACTATATTATTCGTAATATTTGTCTATTTTACTTTAAGATCATTATCAGTTGAATTTTCCACTAAAAGATTATCAAGTGCTTTACTGTATTCGATTTTAGTCTTTCCATCCTTCAGTTTTAGATAATCAAAGAGTTTTACTTTCTCACCTTGACTTTTTCTCACATGAAATTTTTCCACGCAGTCTAGCAATGTAAGAGCACATGGTCTTACCCCTTGAGTGGGGTAAAACTGGGTACACAAATTAATGCTATGCAAAATTTAGAAATACTAAAATTTTAGTGAAAAAATAGCAGGCTTTTCTGTTTCATATGATAATTTAAGAAAATTATGCATGTAATTTACATGTGATTTAATCAGTGTTGTACTCAAGGAAGAGAGATATATAGAGAGAATTGTCCAGGGTTCTTAACTGCTGACAGTCATACCAAAATTCCTTATAAAAAATATAATGCTTATTAATTTGTTTATCTGTAAAAAAAAATTGCAGAGAATTTCGTTGTTTGGATATAAGAACAATGTTTTTATATAAAGGGTCTTCAAAATTTTTACAAAATATGGAAATAAAACTTCTTGTGTTCTGGAAAAGGAGTCTGTTAGAACATTTGTTCAGCCTTGTATTTATCTTCACCCTTGTAGTTATCCTCTTCCTCTGCTGCACTGCAGCATTTGTGAGCCCAGCCTAGGGTGGTGCCCTGAGAGCAGAGGTTATCGAGAGAAAACAGCACAGTGCTTCTATTAGACAAAATTCTTATTGTTTGTTAGGGTATGAAATTTTAATAAACGTAAACTAAGCTAGACTAGAAATAATCTTTATAACACTAATAACCAATAAACAAGGATTGTCTAAAAACAGGAGAATATTTGAAAGTTGATATAGGGAAACAGACTTATTAACACAGATGCTGTGAATTATTCAACAACACATCAATATGGTAAGTCCTTTTTGACTAGTATAGTGTAATTCAGAGTTTGTCCACTGCAAAACAGAACTAATTTAGACACAATCAATGTTCATGATTTTACACCACTATTCCATATATATTCTTTCTTTGAAAGCATGTGCTTCCAACAATCATACAATAAGCTGCAGCAAAATCATCAAATCTACTGCTATTGTCATTACTTACATCATGCAAACTAAAATTTCCAAAAAATGGTTCAAACTATATTGCTTTTCTCAATTTTGCATTCATATTTCCAATAATCAATATTGAAAGAATTTTTTTAGATCTAAAATTAAGCCTTTCTTACTATTTAGTTAAAAACTTTTTTTCTTCCTCATAAATGTTTACTATCTAATTGTTCTCCAAATGATTGTATACATTTTCTGAAACAACACTCATTTTTAAAGAATTTTTTGCACTTTAGAAGATAATTTAGCCGGGAAAAGTCAACCATGGTACTTTATTTTTTCACATGGTGCACCGTGCTTCAGTTGAGATGATCTATTGTATCTCAAACAGGCTATAGGTGACAAAATGTGTTATAATATTTTAATTGATATAGATATATAAGTTAATCATATTTTTCGTGTAAATAAATGTCTATTTTTTAAGAAATATGAAGCATGAAAAGTCTGAAATTTTTTTTTCTTCTTTTCTCTGTGCAACTGGAAACAGCAAAAATCCAAAAAAATGGATTGATTTTGCATAATTTTGTATCTTAGCGTGATATACAATGCCTTTATTAATTCTTAAAAAGTATATTGTGCCATATATATATGAACTTAAAAAACAGAAAATAAATACTTTTTAAACCGTATTCCACTGTGTACTTAACTTCTCAATATATTTCATATTTACTGTTTTAATTTTTTCTTTAATCAATCTTTATTAAATAATTTTTGGCCTTTCCCTTTTCATTTTATAATTAACTATAATTTAAATTAAAGCTTGTATGTAATTTAACAATCATATAAGAATTAATAATGATCTAAACTAAATCTTGTCTGTGATGTACTTAATTTACAAATTAATCTGGCAATCATATGTAAATTTGTAATAATCTAAAATAAGCTTGTCTGTTTATTTAATAAGGATTTTTTTCTTCATTTTTGCATTATATCCCTCACTATATTTTACTGCTTCCAGTTAAGTGAGAAATCTTATTTAATGTACCTGGCAAATTGTTAAATTTTCAGATAGAGTAAAATATAGGGATGCAATTTTAAATATTTTGTTAATATTGAAAAGGGACACATATTTCTGTTTTCTATTTATGTTAAATGTATGATATAAGTACAAAATAAATGTGGACATGTTTGGGAAAGTTATGGATACATCTTGAATGAATTTTTTATGTTTTATTGAAAGTTCATTTTTTGGGATTCTGTCATTTAGAAGAAAAAAATCTCATTAAACGAAAGATAAAAAAACCCTTATAGAATATTGCTTATTCTCTATGTTGCTTTTAATATATGCTGTCAATATATCTTTTTTTTTGTCAATAGACCTTGTTTTTTCTGAGCGAAAAATTTTAATCCATTGCATTTACAATGGTGTGTTTGAAATTTGTTTTGTGTATCTTTTTGTTCTTTTAGTACTGCTCACAGTCATAGTTTTCTGCTTAAGCAATCATAGTTTGTGCTAAATCCATCTTTAGTACCTTTTCTTCTAAAAACTGGTTTAGCTTTTTACGAAACAGTAGTTAATTCTACATAAATAGGCAAAAAATTAAATCTCTCCAGATTTAAAAAAGTTACTGTCTTAGAATATAAAAAATTGTGAATCACTAAAGTACACAAAAACAAATATGACGTTCCTCATATGTCTTACCACGAAACAAATAATTTTAGTAGGTAACAGAACATGTCACAATGTAATCCATGCAATATATTCTGGATCATGCGCTGATCATGTGCCTGCTTGCATGTTCCTCACAAAATGTTTGTAAAATGCAGAGTCTGATATTGTTATCCTTGTTTTAATATGTAGAAATGCAGAGAAATTGCAACCTTTTCTGGAATTAATAAGTTTTAGTAACTGTGTATTTCAAGCCCTGTGTAGTACTTTAAAGGATTGCAGAGGTACAATCAGAAAAATAAACTCAAACATTCCAATCAGTCTAAAAAAAATTTTTTTTTTAAAGTTGGCTGTTTTTAAACTTTTTCTTGATTGTTTACGCAGCACATTATAATTTTTACTTCTCATAATTTCTGCTGACTCAGGCTTTACAAGTACCCTGATTTAATGAGAAAACTGTCTTGGTCCCTATATTCTAATAAAAATATTCTCAATATCTATTCTATATTCTTGTAAAAATAAGATATTTTAACCTGTATTATTTAAACAGTTGAAATACATTTATGTTGAGTTTCACAGGTGATGTTTTCAAGCATTTAACTTTTCTTCTTTAAATTATTTAAAAATTGATTTTACACTTTTTTTAAGAAATTAATGTAATATGGCTTTAAACTAGAACAAGATAAAAAATAATGTATATATTATTTTTAGTGACAGAAAGTTGGATGCTGATGTCATATTTATTCACGGTATAAATGGTGCTACATTTTGGACATGGAGACAAAGTGATAATATGAAAAAATACATTAGAGATTATAATCCAGTTGATTCTAATATTTTAGATTTCTCGAGCTTAGTTAGTCACTATCTTCATTCTTATACATTTTGCTGGCCAAAGGTAAATTTCTTTGCACTTTTTATTATTTTTTCCGTTTGATCTAAAATAATTTATATTTTTCTTTCTTGCTTTCATGAAACCGAAAAATTCTTATAATTCGAACAGATATTTATTACTCATTACTATATTTTAAGCTACTATAACTTCTGCTGCATTATCCATGGATAATCTGTTAAGGAAGTGATAATTTGAGTGATACTGATAATGTGACGGAATATTTTTTTCCTTGACAGCTTTTTTTACTTAAATTTTTCTAACATTAGATGGCTCTGCAAATGAAACCGTATTTCAAGAAATTTAAGTTTATTAATGTAACCACATTTTGAAAACAAAGTTTTCCCTTAAAATGCCAATCGCCCAAAAATTGTCCTTTTTCATTTTGCTCAAATGCAAATAAACAATGAACACAAAAAACTTCCTTTCTTTTGTCATTAAACAATGGCTATGTAAGCTTAACATACTTTATTTTCTTATTTTACCTACCTGAAAGTGAAATGAACTAGAAACCGGATGTTTCTTTTTAAGCTTTCAATGATAGAAAAAGTAATAACATGTTCCATTGTTTCTCGATCTTGGGACTAACCACCAGCATTCTTCCTTTGTCTACATTAAAGAAATACAGAGTTTTTCTTCTTGAATGTAGTCTCTTAGTAACTATTTATCAACATATTTTTCCAGAATTTCTAAGAAACTTAAATACGTGTATTGTTATTGTTTTAGTTTGTACCTCATATGAAAAAATATTATATTACATAAATATTTTAAAATACTTCATGACCTGGTTGAGGAATTATTTCAGTATATTTTTTACCTAGCTTTTCTAAGTTAAAAAGAAGACTAAAGCATTTTGAGTGTGCAAATAGTACTTCGAACTGTAAATAATATAACAATTGTGAAATAAATCAACTTTGTAAAATTGAAATTATCTATAAATTGAAATTACTTTATATTTTAAAATATAGTATGGGACCCCTAATCCGGCATCCTGAAATCTGGCAGGACCTAAAATTCAGCTCTTAATCCGATCTAATATTTTTTTAAAGAAATTTTTATTGATAAGAGAAAAAAAAATCCGTTATATTCTCCTTTTATTTGGAATTTATTTATTCTCTTTTTGTTTAATCTCTGCTTATCTCTTCTTATTTAAAGTAAGTAACTTTATTTTATCTTTTAAAAATAAAAAAAGCATGAAAAAAAGCAATAAATTTGTGTCAAACAAAACATCTGCTCCTAAAGCAGTTTAAAATAAAGTGAAAGTGAAAAGTAAAAACACCTGCATTTCCAATGAACAAATTATAGAAATGTAAGTTAGGAGAAACTGATCAATCAATATTGGCATGTGCTCTACTAGTTTGTCCCTACATTTCCTTCTCCTGTTTGACCATAAATTGGCCACACCCAGTTGACATTGAAACTAACATGTGGGGTACAAAATGAATTCTATCTGGTCTTTGAGTCTCCTAGTCATTGCTATAGTGTCCTTACTCTTGTGCAGTTCTCATATCGTTTTCTTTCTCTCGCATCGCTTGTTTTTTTTTTATTAGTTATTAACTTAATTTGTATTTTTTTGTTAATTGTTAGCTTGTTTTTTTATCCTTATTAGTTGTTAGCTTGTTTTTTGTTGTTATTCATTGTTAGTTTCTTAGCATTAATTGTTACTTTTTTTGTAGTTCCTTGTTAGCTTATTATTATTTTTATGAGGTGAGCATCTTTTGTTAAAACAAAATGTTATCTAAAAGAAAAACCAGAACAATGATCTCGCTCCGAAGAAGAAATGATTATTTCGTAGTTCGTCGCAGAAAGTGGAATTTCTAAAACAGTTAGACAGTAGAACACCTGTAAAAATGCTTTTCGAGGAATATGGTGTTGAAGGCTCAATGATTTACGACTTGAAGAAACAAAAGGCTGCAATTTTGGATTTTTATCCCGAAAGTGATTCTCCCAAACTAATGAAAGACCGAAAAACTTTTCATGGTTCCAAAAATAAAGATTTGGATAAGTGTTGATGGAATGGATAAGGCAAAGTTGTGCCGAAAGGATTCCTTTGAATCGGACAACTATAATGGAACAAGCAAAAGAGTTTCATAAACTCCTAGAATCGGAAACTGGTTGTGATTATTCTTCAGGATGGTTTAACAAATTTAGGAATTGACACGGAATAAAAATTTTAAGCATTTCAGGTGATAAAGCTTCGACAGATATTGAAAACGTCGAATTGTTTCTAGAGGAATTTACAAACATTATGTCTGAAGAAAGGTACTCTCCAGATTTAGTCTACAATGCGGATGAAACTGGGTTGTTCTGGAAATACATTTCTAGAAAAACGTATGTTGCACCAGAAGAAAGTGCCCCTTCTGGAGTGAAAGATTGCAAAGAAAGAATTGCTATTCATGGATGTAGCAATGTGAAAGATACACATAAGTGAAAATTACTAGTTATGGGCAAAAGTGGTAACCCTGAAAACCCTAGAGTTCTAAAAAACACCAAGATATTGCCCATTATTTATAAGATCAATAAACATGCCTGGATAACGCAGGAAATTTTTATGAACTTGTTTAAGGGTCACTTTCTCCCTGAAGCCAAATTGATTCAGATGATGAATTCAGATGATTCCAAAATATTTCTAGTGTTAGACAGTTGTTCAACTCATCCAAGCGCTGAGATTCTTGAAAAGGATTACGCATGGATCATATTTTTACCTCCTAACTGCACATCTTTAATGCATCCCATGGATCAAGGTATTTTGAATTCATTAAAATGTTTCTATAAAAGGGATTTCATCCGAAACTGCCTTAACAACTGCATTTCTGATGGCACCATCCAAACTTTTCAAAAAAGTTTCTACCTAAAAGATGCTTTATTGAGCATTGCAAATGCATGGTAATCAGTCATGCAAGAAACCCTTATCAATTGTGGCCCTCTTCCATTTTCATCGAGGGCAAAAGCGAAGTACAAGAATTTTTCAGATTTCTCCAGAAAATGAAATGATTCAAGAACTTTTAGATTACGCTACTTCAAGCAAAATAAAAAATGTTCTCGACAAAAACATGATTGAAGACTGCCTATCAATTGAAGAAAATTCGCCATTTACCCTGCAATTGACAGATAAAAAAATCATTAACGTGGATCTCGACAAAGAAAATAGCATTTTATCTGTGTATAAAATTCAAGAAATTTTGTTAAAAGAACAGTAAGCAATTAAAGGTGATATGTTTATATCCAGTAATAAAAATAATAGCATTTAAAAAACGAGTATTTATTTCTTTTGTTCTTTTAAATTTACATTATTAATCATAAACTTCCATCTACTGCATCGAAATAGTGAATATTTGAAAGTCGTTTAGTATATTTAAAAAATATATATCGTTATTTCTATTATATAGATTATTATTTTAATTAATAAAATTTCTTAAAATGGGACAGTTTTCACCCCATCATAATCTGCAATCAAAACTTAACTAAATTTATTGGTTTTTCTGAAATTAACAGTATAATTGAATTATCGTAATATTTTGCCACCGCACTGGAATTTCCGAAATTCGGCAAATTCCGGAATACGAAATTTCGTCGGTCCCGCGAGTGCCGGATTTGGGATACTATACTGTACTTCATGGCCTGTTTGATGAATATTTATATTTCAGTACGTTTTTTACCAAACTTTTCTAATTAAAAAAAAAACTAAAGCAGTTGAGTGTGCAATTAGTACTTGGAACTGTAAACAAAATAACAATTGTGAAATAAATCAACTTTGCAAAATTGAAATTATCTTCGTTATAAAATTATTTAAAAAAATAGGATTATCGTATAATGTTATAATAAGGAGAGCAAGAATGGGATTAAATGAGTCAGTATCCTTAATTGAGAATAAATGATAAAATTATGAATTAAAGTAGTTTATTAAACTAAACTAAACTCAGTGGCACAACAGCCCATAGAGGGCCAAGGCCTACTGTGCCCATCTCAGTTTTCTTGACCTTGGGCTATGGGTTGCAGGAGCAGATGTTTCGGTTAGGTGGTCAGCCAAAAGCGAAACCCCCAGTGTTAAGTTCCCAAGCATACTTGGTACTCATTTATTGACCCACTGAAGGGATGAAAGGCTGAGTCAACCTTGTTTGACCCGAGGATTGAACCCAGGACCTGGGGCATGAAGCACTACCTCTCAGCCACCAGGCATCTTAGTTAATTAAAGTTCGTTTTAATCGTTTTGCAAGTATCTCGTACAGGGCTATTGGTAACTCATCTGGAATGCTGAAAGTAAACTTTCAAATTTTATTTTTGTTAAATAGGTATTCATGCACCGATATTAATGTACAAAGTAGCTTGGAGGCATCTTTGTCTAAGTGGTAGAAAATTCTTCTTAAGATGAGTACTATTATGTTATCTGCATATAGTATTATTCTTGCTGGTGAGTCGTTTGTAACTGTCATGATCCCATTTATTAACAGAATCTACAGTATTGGTCCTAAATTGGATCCCTGTGGGACTCCAATATTATATGACTTAGTGACATTCACATTGCTATCCATGAAGGTTACAGTTATATCTCTTAGAAAGCTTTTAAATAGAGAGTATATATCCGCATGGCAATTTGTCTTTCTTCCTGCCTCTAGAACCACTGTCCATCTTGTGTTATTGAAGGCTCCTTTTACATCTAATGCAATAGCCATATTATGTCTCTGTTCAACCTTGTTCTGGTTTATGAAATCTATTAGATTTTGAAGTGCAGCAAAAGTAGATCTATTTCTTCCGAACCCAAATTGAAATATATGCATAACATTTAAATATATAAACTACTTAAACTTGCTTGGATTTGTAAGCCAATTCTTTTTTTCGTGGTTTAAAAATTTATATTTTAATGTTTAATTTGTATTTGTAATTCAGTAAATTTCATTGAGTAATTTTTCTCTCAATGGCATAATAATATTTTAAACAAAGGTATAAAATGCCTCTTGATTCTACTTCTCTCATGGTGAGACTTTTAAAAATGTTGGCAAAATCAAACAGCATTCTGCAAGCTTTAGTTTTTTATTTTTAGCCACTTTATAAATTCTTTTTACAGAAAAAGGGGCATCCCTAGTGAGAATTAAAATAGTTTATTTTGGTAATTATCTGATACCTGTTCAAATTCATGTTGAATTATTTATTTTAAAGAATTATAATTCTTAACTTTTACAAAGTGAGTGTTTTAAATTTTTGTGTTTGTTCCGCTAAATATTATTGTATCCTCTTCATAAAAGTTTATTACTTCTAAAAATATTTGTAAATGTTTGTCTTGAAAATACGGTATATAAGAAAGTGAAATTATTCATTTAGATACTTTGATTATTGAATTGCACTATAGATGTTTAAATCTGTGTTCAACATTTTCACTCTCAAGTATTGACAATTTCTACAGATCATAAGCAAAATTTTCAGAAGTTTTAATGGTTTGTCATTGTGTGTGTAAAGTCTCTTAACTTTATTGAAAAATATTTTAGCTGCAGCTTACTCAGTTTTTAACTATACAGAGTTTTGTATTAAAAATGCGCATATTGGCATAAAAATAATATTTTTTCCAAAATTGAATTGTTTTAAAGTGAAAATTTTTTTTTTTTATTCACCTCTACATTATGATACATACTTTATTAATTTAATCCTTATTTTTTAGGATTGGTTAGCAGTGGATTTTCCCAATGTACGTATTTTATCGATTGACTATCACACTGAGCTTAACAAGAAAAAATCAATCAAGTCTGAACAAAAAGGAAAGTAAGAACTGATTTTTTTTATAATTAATTTTATCAAGCCTTTGAAGTTTTATTTTTAAACTGCGCCCAAACTTACTTTTTGCTGTCTTTTATTTATCTATCTTTATTGTATTTTTGTAAGCAGCAATGCTGATAAAATTGGTTTTTTTTTATTGGCGCTTTTAATATAACCTGGTCATTATATGAAACACTGAAAAATTCGGGATTTAACAAACTAAAACTTTTTATTCAGTAGTATAAAACAAAATAGAAGAATGTAAGGTTCTTATCACTGTTCCAACCAAAATTGTGATGGCATGTCTTCGGATCATCCTCCGGGATGTTTCCCAGACCGTCGCCAATAGCCCATTGTGCAGCTCTAGTGCGACGTAAATTAACAACAACAACAACAACAAATTAAAAATTATTTTACAATATTCAACTTAAAAAAATATATATCTTATATTGACTGCAAATTATTAGAGTAAAAAGTAATATAAGGATTAAAAAATCTTGCTTTTTTTCCTAATTTGTTATTTTTTGTTTAATTATAAAAATAAATATTTTAAATATAACAAAAATGTATTAAGTAGTGAGAAAGGAAATAAAACTATTGTAAGAAAACCCAAATACAAATTGAAATGCTTAGCATTATATAGTTCTTTTTAGAAGGGATAATCCTATGCCTCATTCAACACCACTTAACCAAACAGTGGATTGAGTAGCTTAACCAGCACCACTTAATCAAACAAATAAGTAAATTGGATTGTGTAGCTATACCAAATTCATAAGCCTAATTACAAATTTTAGATGAAGAGAAGATATAAACACTATCACACCAGGTACAAGAACTTTTCAGTAGGAAAAAAATGTTCTAAATAGAACCATTAAATTGGATGTTTATTAGTAAGTTTGAATCTGATTTAAAAAATTTTATATCAATTTTCTTTTTCAAAGATAATACTGTGTAAAAACGAAATATGTATCAGATTTTGTAGTTGTTAAATTCTCATTTATTAAATTATAATTCTGATAATAAAATATTGCATTTTATCATTTTATTAATAGAAATTTAACACCATATTTTATGTTATTTTCATATTCCTTACGTCGCCATATTGTTTTAAATAAATATTCTAAGGCTGATACTGACTAATCTAAATGAATTAGGTGCAAATTTTATGTAGAAAAAAAAACAGAATTTAGAATTAGTTACATTTTATTTTTTTTAATAGAGAAATCTTCTGTTCCAAGACTAAACTGTTATTGTCTTCACTTTTAAAAGCAAATGTTGGTGAAAAACCTATAATATGGGTAACACATTCCATGGGAGGTAAGTATCTAGTAATGATTTTGTTTTAGTGTAAATTTCATTTCCTGTGTAATATTTTGTTTTCAATTTCAATTTTCATTTATTATTTTGTATTAAATTATTTACAAATAGACTTTTGACATAAAAAAGTTGTGAACATAGTATTATCATATAAAAGTATGGTAATTTTTTTTTTATTCTTTGCTTATTTTACAATTCATAATTAAATTTTACAATTCATAAATGCTTTTTTAAACATTATTTTGGTGTGTCATCAAGGTAAAACAGAAAAAGTATTGAAAGTTTTTTTAATGTTTGTAATTTAATAATAATATAAAGTTAAAATGAGCAATTAAAACTAGTGTTATAAAAGAAGTAATTAAAAAAGATATTGGAGTTCTTATATCATTCAGAGTTTATCTTCATTTTCATTTAAAAAACAGTCTAAAATATCAATGATCCAAAATTAAGAGATTTCACAGTGCAAATTTCTAAAATAATCTTATTTAATTTTAAATTTCAACAGGATAAGGTTACATCTAAAAACATTACATCAAAATCCTAAGTTTATTCCTCATTTAAAGAAAAAACACTTTCGTTGAAATTATGTTTGTCTAAAAAATATAAAAAGGGATTTAATAGTGCAATTCTGTTAAAGTAATTTTTAATATGTCCCTTGTAATATTATAAGTATGAGATGTGTTTTTATCAAAAAATAAATGTAGTTTCTACTGCCATTTCTGGAAAAAATTATAACTCAAATCCTATGCAGTTGGCTCCAGTTTAATGATTTTGTGGGATAAATTTCTAAAGTGCCCCTTGAAATTTTCAACCTCTCCCTCTCCTCTAAAAAAGGAAAGAAACTTTCAATATTTGAGCACTACTTCTGAGGAAATTTACAGCTCGAATGTTAAGCTTATGGTTTCATTCTGAAAAATCACACTTGTAGAAATTTTTATGTTCAGAAAATATGTTTCATGTTGCCGAACTGTAAAAAAAAGAAAATTTTTTTTAACTTTAACATTTCATTTTTGTTAAAAAAATCTGTAGGTTAGACTTTTCTTCCTAGAAAAAATTACAATCTTAAATGTATTAAAGCATTTTAATGAATGAGAATCATCATTCAAAATACTTACATTCAAACAACATTGGGGCAAATTTAAAAAATTAGTTTCTAAAACGGTTTTTAGAAATTAATTTTTAATGGTTTTCTTCATGAAAATCTTATTTTAATAAAAGCACTTAATGTTTTACTGTTGTTTCTAAAATGCATTTCTGCAAATCAGCCTTCAATTGCTAAGTGTGTGACTCAACTGTACGAAATGTTATTAATAGAAAATTTTTTTGAAAAATTATAGGGTTTTGCCATAATATTCATGAAAATAATTTCTAAAATATCACTTGTTATGTTTAATTTTCATAAAGAAACCTCAAAACTCAAATTCCATTTATGGAACTATTTTTAACTATTGTTGTAGAAAATATAGAGTAATAATATATCAAAATCTATAAGTTTTGCTAAAGCAAATTTGTGAAATTAACTTACAAAATATCATACTTATTTTTGAAAATTATCCAAATTTGACTTTCATATCTGGTAAAAATTCTTTTTAAATTTAAACTGTTGCACTATTGTTTAAAAAATGAGTTGCATGAAAAATATTTCTGTCTAAAATATTATAAATTTTTCGAAGTGAAATTTTTTATATATCTCTTGTACCTTGATGAACCTTTTTTTCACAGAATGCTATTTTTAAAAACATTGCTGCTCAAAATACAAATTAAATGTCACCATTTTAAGGAATGACTCTCATGCAAAAAATATTGTAGACTTGTAAAAAGATTTAGAATTATAGGGGAAATTAGTGAATTTTTTTCAATAACCATTTTAAATTTTATGAATTTTCTATTTACTACAGCATTTTAGTAATTAAATAAAAAATTGTCTACAAAGCTTCTGAAATTTAAAGGCAATTCTCTGAAGAGTATTTTTTTTCTTTTTACCTCATCACCTGATAGCAATTTTACGGAAGAACTTTAGTGTTAAAGAAATTCTTATCAAAAAGTTATGTTTAACTATTTTAAACTGTAGAATGATATACCACTTTTTTTTACCAAGTTTTCAATTTATTTTTATTAATGCTACAGGTCTTCTACTGAAACAACTTCTTATTGAAGCTTCTGAAAGCCAAGATGACAAAGCTAATTTAATCACTAAGAATACTACTGGGATAATATTTTTCAGTGTACCTCATAAAGGAAGTGAACTTGCCAGCTTTATGCAGTCAGTTTCTTACATTTTTAAACCATCTGTTGACGTTTCTCAGCTACAAAGAGGTTATAATTGCAGATTTAATTTTTTGTATTTAGTAATGTTATATTTTGGATATTTACATTTGTTTACTTATCTTTATTGACTCTCAAAATGCTGTTTTACACAAATATATTAAATTTCATTAAAGAAAAAAAACATATTTCAAAGTGGAAAGAATGATCAATTTCAATGAAAATATTTTGCACATAAAATGATGAAACATTTGTATAGGCCGAAAGAAAATTAGCAGGCATGAGATCCTTCTTTGGATCCCTGATTTTCCATTTTTTTTATCTTTGACACTTTGATATTTTATTATATTTTTGAATATACAAAAAATAGCTATACAGTTGATCATACACATTTCAAAACATATTAAAAATAATAAAACTTTTAATCTTTGAATGGATAAAGATTGAGGTAAAGTACTGACAATAAAGATTTTGTAATGTTTTTTTAATAAGGATTTATTCACTTTTAAATTCTATTAATTCATTAAATTAAGCAGGGATTTCTATGGTCAAATTCGCTCACATTCTTTCATATTTGTATCAGTTGTATTATTTGCATATAGTAGTGAAATTTATTTAATTAGGACTTTTATAAACATTCTATTATTGCAAGGTAATCTGAACATTTTTTAAAAACTTTTAGCTTGTTAGTGATATTATCTATTAATTCTTATTAGAATTTTTAAAAAATTGCTGTAAATTATGTAGTATTAAATTTGATATTTTTCTCACACCCAGTGACTCAACATTCAACAAAAATATTGATAATTAATGCCTTTTCCACACACAGAATAGTCTTTTTTGTTATTTTAAGATTTCATTATTTTGTGTATTATTCCTCTTTCTTTTTAGGAATACTGTGCTTGAATTATTCTAGGCTGCTACCTGTATTGTTTTCAATTCTTATTATTAAAAAAGTCACATTTTGTTTTACGCTATCTTTCTTACATATTGACTAGTACAATTAAACTAAAAATTGTGTCACAAAAAATATCTTTATGTATTTAATTTTAAATGCCTTATTTTGTTGTTTTAAAAAAAAACAGTTAATCTTCATAGTTTTAAACATTTTGGAAGATTTTGCTTTGCATAATTTTTAACTAACAACTTAAAAATATTTTAAATAAATAAAAAGGAAGAGTGTATATTAATTTTAATTTCATTTTTATTTACCCTTCACTGCTTATTATGTTTGCATGAAATAAGAGCAGGAAGATTGAAAAATTTTTACTTTTAATTTCTATATCAGAATTATTTATTTATTCTATATATATTATTCTATATTTATTTCTATATCAAAATTATTAATTTATTTTCATATATCAAAATTAAAGAAATATCAAAATTAAAGAAATGCTTTAAATTTATTAAATTATAATTTAATGTTAATTTTTTAATAATTATCCCTAACATAAACTATTTCTTTAATGTATGTAATCTTATTTAAATAATTTGTTGTATAAGTAATAATTAATAACAAAGCATTAGTCACAATTGTACTGTGATAGTTAATAACCAAAGGTAGTGAAATATCTTTCTCTGAACTAGCAGGAAATTATTTAACATTAAATTATTGAATATATTAAATCATCTGTATCTAAACTCTTTTAATAATTTTCTTAAAAGAATTCTTTTTATACTTGTAAGATTGTATTTTAACAGCAATATAATCTGTTCTGATTATGAATAAATCTAAATTGAGAGAAGTATCAGCACTGAAAGGATACTATTACTCAGTCAAAAGTATCAGATAATTTTAAAATTTGTAGAATGATGATAAAGACATATTGTCAATGTCCAAATCTGTCAGTACTTGAATTTAACTACATGGACATATTTTGAAAAATGTATACTTTGTGGTAGTAAACAGTTTAAGTTTATTTCAATATTAATTTTGGCAATATGATTTGTTCATTCTGGTGTTATTAAATTGTTCTGAAGAAATCTGATGTCATTACTACTCTGACTAAAGTATCAGATAACTTATAAAGCAATGTGAAGAAGAAGACATTTATTTTCAAATCAGCATACAACTTAAAATGTACTTCATTGATATATCTTAAAAAAGATCAATATTTTGTGAGGAACAAGAAAATGGAGAAGCACACTTGTCCTTATATAATCATTCTAAAAATATTTTTAAATCAACACTCTATCTTGTTTCCCTTACCCCCAAAATATAATAGAAATTGCTTATTCTGAAACAGCAGTAATGCATGAAAAATTGTAAGAATAGAAAATGTTTTGCAAATTTATGGTTAAAGGCTCAAATTGGATTGTTGCTGTTTTGTTATTTCAGTTTTAAATAAATCATTCATTGAAAATTCAATTAGTAAATCAGAATACTTCTCTGTAAAACTTTTTGTATCTTTACTTCTCATAAATATGATAAATGTAAAAAAGGCTCCTTCACAAATTTTTTCTGTGATTATAAAACATTGCATTTTTAAATTGAGAACTTTTTAAGAGATTTTTGTATACATTACTGCACTTGAATAAATAGCACTCCCCTTTTAGGATGCTTATGTTTTCTATTGAAATCATACCTTATCACAATTTAATCCCATAATTAGACACCGGTTTCTAAGCATCAGATGCAAGATATAAATGACTCATAAAAATGAATACCCCCTCCTTTTTGTTTATATTTAAAATGTTTTCAGATTTTCTGGACCGGGATTTAATTAATAGGCTAGTTACTGTCTCTTCGTTCAACCAAAATCTTTCTCGTATCAAAAATAATAAGTAAAAATTAATTTGATTTTTCCAAGAGCTTAATGCTTTAACTTATTTTTATTTTAGATGCCCAGCAATTAATAACAAGTTATTTTTTCCTTGAAAAATAAGAATGATTAAAATTTTAACATTTTCCACTGTATTTAACACGTTCACGCCAGGGTGACCCAATAAATTTCATTTTTTAGTTTTTTTCTGGGAATAATGAAAATCCTTAACTACCAATTGTTTTTAACGGATGCAATTTTTATATAGAATTGCTTCTTCACCGTGATAAATTTCCTTACAGGGAATGTTATTGTTGAGAATAGATTAACTCCTCCCAAATATTATCTAATATTGAAATAGTTCTTCTACCAGTATTTTCTCTTTTCCCGTACCAGTATTTTCACTTTTCCCGGCGTGAACGTGTTAATGAATAATAAAAAAAAATTTCTCATGTTTTTTTCCTGGTGTATGGTAACTATGAAAGTTAAATCGATAATCAAAGTTTGTTTTTGTTTTAAATCTATAAATACTTCAGTGACAAATTACTATGCGCTTCATAAACTAATCCAGTAGTTTTAATATGTTAATATATCAATCATACTTTGAAGGCAAAAAGAAAAACATTTATAAAATTTGACTTATCTGGATGTGGTTAGCCTAAGGTTAAAAGTCATAAATTTTAAAATCATTTTAACAGGTTACGAACCAAGTGAAATTACACAAAACTAATTATGACAAATTTCAAAAAATATCTGCAGCGCCTTTAGTAATAAATTTGATATCTACAAAGTTTTGTAATGAGATAAACAAAAATATCTATGCCTGTTTAAATTGCTGTAGACTTAGTAAGGTATCCTCCAAAAATTATTAGGCGAATTTCAGCAATACCATTAGTTTCTTATCTGTAATTGATTGGCTATGTCGAACCTACAAACAAATACTAATCGTTATCATTCTAAATATTATACATATAAAATTATTAAGTGATTAAACTAAGGAGAATAATTGAGCCAACAAAAGAAATTAATAGAAAAAGATAAAATATGTTTGAAAGTTAATTAAAAAATTCCTTTGTTTAACTGTTGTTTACATTAATTATGCTATTTCATTCTGATAAGCCTAAAATTCTATGTAACAAATTGATATGACAAAGACTTTTCATTGAATAATATTTTGTTCTTTTAATTGTTTCTAGAAATTACTACTAAATGAAAATTTTATAATTTAGAATTGTTTAAAACATAGATATTGGTTTAAATTTAAAACTTAATATTTCTAAATTGCATATTTTTTTTTAGGTCGGTGGAATTCTATGAGAAAGCTATTAAAAAACTAAATATTTTTACGCTCAAAATTAGAAATAAGTATAATTAGCTTCTTGTAAATCATGTATTATTTTTTAATTAGTTCTTAAGGCATAGAAATATTTTTAATTAATATTTAATAATGATTCTTATATGTTTTTAAAAATGAAAATGCACACAGGATTTGAACCAATCGTCTCTGCATTACGGATCAACTGCGCTTCCCACTACACTAATTTCGCTCTGTTATTTTTTAGGAAGTTAATAATAAACCACAAATTATTGTAATGTGATAAGAAATATATTATGTGTTTATTTTAGTAATTAATATGATTTGTCATCGCTTAGATCTAAGTTCATATCAAAAGAATACAAATCATTTAAAATGCATTTTATTTTGTCTCATTTGTCTTATTAAACCGATTTAGAATTCTCGTTTCTGCTGTTAATTGAGGAGAATTTCTGCTGTTAATTGAGTTTTCCATGTGTATACCACTTGCTTTTAACCAATATTTTAAGTATTATTTTGAATAATTATTTAATTTTTCAATAAAAATATAAAATTTGCTAAAAGAACAGTAAATTAATCAACACCTCTCTTCATTGATTACTATGAAGTTGAAAGACTGATTTCTAAAATTACTCTCACAAACCCGTTAATTTAATAAAATAACTCATCAGATCAGTGCTCAATATCATAGGAGATCACAATCCCACCAAAGCCTTGTAAAATTATATTTAAACTATTCAGGCAGATATAATGGTAAATAAATAGTCTTCTTTTGACATTGCATAGTTTTCTACCTAAGAAATATTGGAAATGTGTTAAAATTTATAATCTACTTAGGACTCTCCTTGCTCAGATAGCCATATTGGATTTTAAATACCTTTCAATGGTCAAGGTGGGAAAACCAAATGACGCATAAATTTCATGAGTCATGATAGAAACTTTTAAAAAAAGTTCTGTGAAAATTATTCTTTCTGAGTCATCCTCAAAGATTATTGCTTCGTTGATTGACAGGAGTTCCCAATCGTGGTGCATTTATATAATTCATGTGACTATATCTTACATCCAATGCATAGAAATTGGTGTCTCTAATGCAAGGTATAAAATGACTCAATATTAGTGTTAACACATATATAAAATTTAGATCATAAATTATGATAATTTTTCAGATTCCCCATTATTACTTTCTTTGCACAATGATTTTATGAAGATCGTTAAGAACAACAACATTGGAGTTTTAAGTTTTGCTGAAACAAAGAAATCTAAATGGTTACTGAATTGGGAATTGGTTTCTAAGGAATCAGCATGTAAGTCAGTTATGTAATATTTTTAAAGATTTTGCGTTTATGCATTGCAGTTAAGTATCTAATAATTATTAGCAGATATTTAATATGAGAATAAATTTCTTCTACAGGGTATCTGCATACCCAGAAGTCATTGAAAGTGATGGATTTAGATCTTGATCAAAATTTATCATGGAAAGTCATGATTTTCAGTGATAAATACTAAATTTCCTTGAAACTCTCAGTTTATCATGGATTTTTGCTATTGGAGTCCTTAATAATGTTGCACAATTTGATAATGATCACAATTTCTCTTCACATGATCTAAAAATCACACGTCATGATCTGTATTCACATTATTTAAAGATTTCCCATTGAGATTTGTATTTACACCGTTTAAAAATCACATGTCTTGATCCGCTTTCATGAGATTTAAGAAATCCCACAACATGATCCATATTTGTACCATCTAAAAATTACTACTTGCGAGACACATTTGTACGATTTTAAAAATTGCACATTGTGATCCATATTAGTGTGTTTTAAAAATCATTGTGCAATCTCTATTTGGGCTATCTAAAAATCTTATAACCCAATTTGTATTCACGCAATTTAAAAAGTACATATCGTAATCCGTATTTGTGCGATTTAAAATAAACCATCGCAGTTTGTATTAACATGATTTAAAAATCACATGCCATGATCCGCATTTGTGCAGTTTAATAAAATCACACAACGTGATCCAAATTCATACAATTTAAAAATCACAGATCTATATATTTTATATTATTTAAAAAATTCCATGTGGTGATTTATATTTGCATGATTTAAATAACAAACATCGGGATTCGCATTTGTACGAATTAAGAAATCACTGCATATTGCAATGTAATTTAAAAATCATACATTGTAATTTGTATACACATGATTTAAAACTCGCACATCACGATTTATTACATAAATAATTCATTATATTCAGTATTTTAAAGTGAAATGTTTTAAAACAATAAAAAATTTCCTACAAGTACTTTTTGACAATGCCGGTTTTAAAGCTTTAAGTTAATATTTTTTTCTGTTTATGATTTGAAATTTATTTTTTTAAATTTAATTTGTATTTTCTTTATATATTGAATATATAATTAAAATAAGGCTTAAAATATTATTTTCCTATTTATACTCTATTTGATATGAGCGTCTCTTTTTTTATGATACATATATATTTTTTTAAGATTTCATATTTATATCAAATATTTAGAAATTTTTTATAATAGAAATATATTGTTTAAAAAGAAAGCACACAAAATAAAGATTAGATAGTTTAAATTTTTTTGTGTTTAGTTGCAAGAGTGTTCTTGCTCTTAATGCAATATAATTTAATAATCATATAATTAATATATTTTATTTTTATAAAATTACATTCCTTGAAATGATATAAAACTTTGTATACCTTAAAATGCAGAACCTTCTCTACTATTCTTAATTTAAATAATTAATGATGAATAATTATAAATAATTATTAAAAATTATTTTTTTGCATTGAATTAACGTTGAATAAACACATTTAATAAAATTATGTGCAAAAAGTTTTCAAATCGCTTCAAAAGTTCTTGAAATGGTGAAATACACAAAAAGTTAATTTAACATTAAAGAGTCCAAACTTTCAACCTGTTTTTTATCACAAGATGCCAAAAAAAAAAGGCACCACAAAATGAACTCATCCATAATATTTTTATCTTTAATTTCTGCTGTTATTATATTTATTTAATGTAGTAATTTCTATGAATTTGATATCATTTCAGAAAAAAAGGTTCATTTGAAATCTTCAGGAATATAATATTTTTCATTGTCTGACAGTGTGTGGCATAGTTATTTGTCGTATTTATTTTAACTTATTAACGATTTAAATACCTAATAAAATCATGAAAACTTAGGCACAAATAAGATTTTTAAAAATAGGCCTTGCAAACAATATTTTTACTGGTGTATCAATTTTCATTCTTCTCATAATTTATCTAAGTATTTTCTAAAATCTTATTTAAAATTCATATGGCATAAAAAAATCCAAAGTTTTTTCCTGTCTGTGTTTTTTAAATTCAATATACAATCCAAAATCATGTCCCACCCTCTTAAAGAAGGCTTTTAGGTGGAATACATATCTTTTGAGGACTGTAAAGTCCTACTATATGGTATCGTTGTAGGCTGTGATATTCAGTAATTTTGAACGTTTTTTTTTCTTGCTATATTCGACCTTTTTTGCTATTCAACCTTTTTTAACTTGACATTGCTATTAAAGCAGATTAACAAAATAAAGCGATTCCATTTTTTTTCTTCTAATTATATTGCAGAGAAATATATTCTAATTATATTACTCAAATATTGCAGAATAAAACCTAAGAAATGCACTAAGCTAAAACATGTTTTTCCACTTGAATCGTGCACGAAGTTGCATTTTGATGAATAATGGTGTGAGTAATGGGTAGATGATAGCTGTATGAATCCTGCTCAACACAGCCTCATTTACATTTGTTTTAATTCAAAATAGTTTATCTCCCACCCACATAGTGGAATCTTTTTTTGAAAAATAAAAGGGTTCAAAGAAAAGAAAAAACCTATCGAACTGTTCTAATGTATTCTGTTCAAAGATTCTTTACTCAATAAGAAAGAATATTTAACTTTCTTTCTCAAATATAAGATTTAAGATCATTTTTTCTATATAAATAAATTTCAGAAAATCAAATAATGATTTAAAAAAAACATTTCTTGCAACTGCTAGAGGAAACCCTATCCTGGGTGCGCCAAACTATAAACATACATAAAGCTCTGAGTGCAGCATTTACTTTCACTAAACTAAAATTTGATCTTTTATCTTTTTAGTCACCTTTAAAATATTCAAATTGTACCCCATAGAGTCTGCTGTCACTCTACATTTTGAGCTGTTGTATTATGCTGCTCAATTTGTTTTAGATAAAATGTAAAAATTAAGCTTGTGTAACAGTTTTTGCTACTGTAACATTTTTAAGCTAAAAACAAATTCAGTGAATTTTATTATACTTACACAAGTGAAGAGATAACTATTTTTAAGTTATTTCCACTTTTTTGCTTACAAAAAACGAGTCTGATATTCCAATGGCACAGATAAGGTATTTGTCCTTTTTGTTCACACAGGAGCACTTCTGTTGTGTATAATGTAGGAAAAAAATTTCTATTGCGAGCAAATTTCACTAATTCTTAACTTACTATGATTGATCTGTTTAGGATCAAAATGAAATTTAAATATTAGTTAGAAAGTATTATTTTATTAAGTTATTTGATGTATTTACTTGCAAAATCTAAGATTTTTCAAGTAAAAATCTGTTTTGACTGAATATTCAATTACATTATTTGCTGCCATATTTGTAAAAAACTTAAATTTTTCACCAAATTTAGTAGAAAATTTTAGTTAAAAATTTAGTCTTAAATGATTTTTAAAAAAATGATGTTTTTGAAGTAAATCTAGTTATATACTAAGCATCATTAGTTACTGAAACTTCATTTTGAACATATTTTTCCGTAAAAGATGAAATATACAAGTCAGGACTTGTACAGCTTTTAGTTTCTCTTATTACCACTCCTGTTAATCTCACCACTCTTTTTCTGATTAATGAAATATTAGTGTATGGAATGTGGCTATTGATAATAATGGCAGTTTAATAAAAGAAAATGAGTGTCATTGTCTGGTTTACCTTATGCTGATGTTTTTTGTTAAGGTTAAGTGCCATTGCGTGGTATACATGCATACTTTAACAAACTTCAATTAATTACATTGACTATAACATCTAAACAATGATATTTCATCCTTTTATTAAAATAGTTCAGGTATTTGATAAAAGCCATTTTATGGAAATCACCCCACATAATTATTTTAACAGCAAGCTGAGGGATATGGTCAAATCTCCATTTTTGTAGTTTCGCTGTGACATATGTAATAGACAACATAAAATTTTAGGTTAACATCTCTGCTTATTATATAAAGCTATTTTACTATAAAGGTATTTTACAATAGTATTATGGCTCGTAATTGAATTAATGTACAAAACAGTTCTGCAATAGTGATTGATAGTTGTCAATTAACAGGAAATTAATTATTTAACAGATTAGTATAACTACTTTTGTTTATTTTTACTCAAGAAAACTCAATTTCATCATTTGTTTGCTACAATGTTTCAGTTCTATTTTTTACTCTTTGTGCTGAAAACATTTTTTTCTCCATAACTCTCTCTTAGTTTCTGTAAAATATGTCATCATTTATCTCTGTATGTTCTTTATATGTGCTATTAACAATATTTAATTCTATTTTTCTCTTATATTAGTTCATACAGACTCACTCTGGTGTGCAATTTTTTATTCAAGTTTATAATTTTTATAAAGCATAGGAACTAAAGAAATATTATCTTTTGCAGATCCTGGATTTGGAGAATTCAATCTTCTTCCTGTTGATCATTTAAGTACATGTAAACCAGAGTCCCGAGATTCAACTGTTTATCTTAAAATTAAAGGATTTTTACAGCAACATATTCCTATCAGAAAAAGTGCCTCTAAATCGTATTTAGAAACTGAACTAAAAACTTATATATGTTTAATACCATAAAATTGAAATAAATATGTCATAAAGTGCATTTTCTTTTCTTTGCGTTTTGGAACTTACTACAAAATAATTTGAACTGGTAGATCTGCCAACATGTCCCCAATATTTAAGTGGTAGCATAATTTAAATTTGAACATTTGAATTAAAATTATTTTGATCACTTTAATATTTAAATAATTTAAAGATTTTCATTGTTCTCCATAGTAACATATTTTTCTTTTAAAATCATGTCCTTCAAAAGAAGTGTCTCTTAAAAACAGTTTCTGATATCTCTTAATTCTTCTAATTTTTGAAATTGTTTCCAAAAGAGAGAAGTTATATTCCATGTTAACCTCTTAATAGTTCTCTAAAACATTAACTACTAGCTATTTGCTATAGTGAAATTTCAAGTTATGGATAATGCCCTGGTTTATAAGGGGCAGCCCAAAAGTCTTATTTGGGGGCATAAAAACAATCAGTGGCATACATAGACTTAGGTGCCCCCCCCCGCAAGATTTAAAAGTGCACCCTATTGTAGACTTAAAATTTTTTTAAAAATTATAATATGAAACGAACACAATGAAGATACAGGCATTTATAATCATTCATTTAATTTAAATTTTTATATTTTAATAGTGATTAATAAAGAATGAATTGTGATTTGAGGCAGAATTTAGAAAAAGTACTAAATTGGAACATTGTATAAACTTATCAACTTACCACACTAAAATGAAATTGATCTCAAAAATACAAGAAAATAACTCACTATCTTACAATATTTTGAAAAACGGTGGAATTTAAATGACTAAGTACATATATAACTTAATAAAAGCAATTTGGGATCACGAAATAATTCCTGAGGAATGAAAAATAAGTGTGACCTGCGTAATATACAAGAAAGGCGATTTACTTGAATGCTCTAACTATAGAGGTATTAGCTTGCTTTGTACAAGCTATAAGATATTTTCAAATATTTTATAAAACAGACACTCTCCAATTTGTGGAAAAACTGGTTGGAGACTATCAAGGTGGATTTAGGAAAGGAAGATCCACCACTGAGCAAATATTTAACATTCGGCAGATTCTGGAGATGACTGAAGAATTTGGAATAGATACACACCATCTTTTCATTGATTTCAAAGCTGCCTACGGTAGCATCAATAGAAAAGCCCTCATTGCAGCCTTGAGCGAGTTTTAAGTACCTAAAAAGTTATCTAGACTGATATGCCTGACACTAAATGAAACCAAAACTAGGGTCAAAATACAGAATAATCTATCAAGCCCAATGGTAATAAATAATGGTGTGCGGTAGGGGGATGCATTGGCATGCCTACTCTTCAAGTTAGTTTTAGAAAAAGTAATAAGAGATTCCAACAACATCAACGGAAATATTTTTAATAAATCTGTTCAACTGTTGACTTTTGCTGATGACATAGACATTATTGCTAGAACACCTATAGCACTAAGACAGGCTTTTATTTCTTTATAGAAAGCGGCTCTCAAGATGAGCCTGAGAATAAACGAGAGTAAAACTAAATATTTGCCCTGTACTAATATAAACTTCAATAACACCCATTTAAAAATTGAAGAATATAAATTTGAGGTTGTTGACAATTTCATTTACTTCGGTTCTGTAATCAACAATAGGAATAATACCACAATGGAAATATAAAGAAGAATTACTATAGCCAATAACTGTTTTAACGGAATTCGAAAATACGTAAAATCTAATGTAATTCATAGAAAAACAAAAGTTTTATTATATAAATCTCTTATAAGATCAATCTTAACACATGCTTGTGAAACTTGAACCATATCTTGTATGGATGAGGCTATGTTGGGTACCTTTGAGAGAAAGGTCTTGAGAAGTATTTTTGGAGGAATTCAAAAAAATGGTGTGTGGCTTAGTAGATCAAATCTAGAGCTTTATCCCTCATATAGTGAACCTGACATTATTAACCTTATTAAACGACAAAGATTAAAATGGGCTGGCCACGTTATCAGAATGGACAAAGACCGTACCACAAAAAGAGCTTTCAATGCCAGACCAGTTGGGAAGCGAAAAAGAGGCAGGTCGAATTCGAGATGGATAGATGACCTAGAGAAAGACCTTTTGGTCTTAAAAACTAACAATTGGAAAACACTCGCAAAAAAAAGGTTAGTCTGAAAAAAACTTCTTGAGAAGGCCAAGGCCCACCCTGGGCTGTCAAGCCATTGATTATGATGATGATATTACAATATTTATACTTAAAGTTTAGTTTAGAGATATATTTATTTAAAAAGTTAATTGAAAAATATCTTATAAAAGAAAAAAAAAATTTATTGTAATTCATATAGTAGGGTTGAATGCTTAAGTAATTAAACATGTTGACGACAAATTCGATAATTTTTATTAAAACAGTGCATGAAATTAAATTCTTTTAAATATGTATAATTCTTTTTTATTACCTTAATTCTTTTAATTATTTCTTTTTTTATTAGTCAACGTGGTAATATATTTGCATGTAACACAAAAATTCATTTAAAAAAAATTAATTGAAATGTGCTTCAATTAAAGTAAAAAAATAAATATTTTATAGAGTGACATAAATGTCAACTAAATATTTTAATTCAAGAAATAAAGGTTTTAAGATTTTTTTAAAAAGAACAATAGGATTATAGCTCAAAATAACATAACATTCAATTGGGATACAGTTCAGTATTTTACATTTATCTTTCGTGCATTATAAGAAATTTTATGAATATTAAATCTTTAAAAACAGTTTTTTAAACAACAAAAAAGTAGAAACAAAAGTTCAAAAACAGTAAGCAGTTTAAAAGGAGACATTCAAATTTCACGTTTTGTAATTCAAAATTGAAAAGGGAAAAAAAATTGAGAAATAACTGTGTGACAATGAATCGCGAATCGTATTATAGCACCGTATTAAAAATATCAGGATTTTTGAAACCACGTAGAAAAGTGTAGTAATAACTATTGAAAGAATGATAAAGAAAAATAAAACAATAATTTAAATTTGCGATGAAATCGGCTCAAATAAAGTGCCCACCGGAAATGCACGATTTGAGTGTGGTATTAATGCATATTAAAAATATCGGGATTTTCAAAACCGTGTGAAAATGTATATAACCGCAGAAACGACGGGAAAATAGATTGGCACAAAATTGACACAAATAAAGCACGTCGAAATTACTATTTTCACGATTCGTTATAATATCGTATTAAAAAGATAGGGATTTTATTTGAGAAAAGCGCATAAATCCGACAAAACAGCCTTCCAGCTCGATTGAAAAGTCACTTGGATTAACTATAAAATAATGGACATAAAGATCTACAAAAAAGATTAATAAAATTCGATATTCACGCATCATAATTTTGCCGTATTTAAAATATTGGGATTTTTAAAACTGGAAATTCGTAGTGTTAACCACCGAAAAAAACTATCGAGAAACTACATTGATTTAGATTTGGCGCGTCACAGACTTAAATCCAAAGAATTTCCCATAGTTTTTTTATTTTTTATTTTCCAAAACAAATTATAATAGGTTTTTTTTTTATTATTACGTTCAGGAGCTGCCATGGGCAGCACATCAAGAGTTTTCGGGAAAAGTTCATTTTTGTAAATTTCAAATAAATTCTTTTATCTGAATCAGTTTTATAAATAATATCAAATTACATTCATATAGCTATTACATTAAATTTCCGTTCAATTTCGGGTAACGAAAGAAGCTTCTTTTTCATTTATTTATTTTTTGTGTGGTTTTTCCGTGCTTTTTTTATTGTAAGTTTACCTGTGAAAATACTAATTCTGAAAAATACTTTCACAGACTGTTTTTTTTTTTCCTTCTTTTTTTACATGTCTACTTTTAATCGAAATTCCTCTCCATTGGTACAAAATTAATCTATACAAAACCTTAATCAGACCAATTATTCTATACGGTAGCGAGACCTGGGCAATTAATAAAATAGAGGAAAATAGACTACTCATTTTTGAAAGAAAATCATTCCGTCAATTTTTAGAGCAGTTAAGGAAAATAATATTTGGAGAAGTTTATATAATCATGAGATATACATTAAATATATCCCCTCTGCAGAGGATCAAAATTGTGATGGCATGTCTTCGGATCATCCTGAGGGATGTTTCCCAGACCGTCGCCAATAGCCCATTGTGCAGCTCTAGTGCGGCGTAAATGAACTACAACAACATTAAATATAGGTTACCTAATATTTTGAGGGTTATTAAGGCCTACAGGATCAGATGGCTGGGGCACGTTTTTCGGCGTAAAGATTTGGAGCTAGTCAAAAAACTTACTTTTTCGAAAATTGAAAGAACAAGAAGAAGAGGGAGACCAGCTACAAGATGGTTGGACAGTGTTGAGAAGGACTTAAAATTGTTGGGAATAAACAGGTTGAAAAATCTATCTCAAAGTCGCCCTGCCTGGAGGCAGCTAATTGAGAAAGCCTTGGCCTGCACAAGGCTGTAGTGCTGACGAAGAAGAAGTCCACATTTGCTTAATGTCTTTTCCGAGGAACAACAAGTAATAGTGTTGTTAACAGTTGATCTTCCTACAAATTTGGGACAGTTAGAGAATTGGTTAGTTTTATAAAATTTTGTAAATTCGTAGGTATTTTTCCCCTCATTTATTATCTTTGGGAAAATCCTTTTAGTCTGCATTTGGTTACAGAGCCTCAGCTTTTACGCCTTCTTGCAATATGGCGCAGGTCATGAAAGGAGGCTTTTTGGGACCATTATAAATTTGATATTGTTTTTGTTAATAAATTTTTGTTAAAAAAATTAATAAATTTTTGTTAAAAAAATTAATAAATTTTTCGATATTTAAAGAAAAAAGATTAAATTAAAAAATTTATAAAGTGAATAAAACATTAAAATATGAATATATAAGTAAGTTATTATGAAATTTTTCTAACTTTTTGAGCAGCAAAATTGTCTATTAAACAAAAAAAATCCAAAGAAGTTGATAGATATCACTCAATAGAAATGAGTGCCAAAGATGAAAGGCGGCCATTAGTCATCATTGATTTATGTTTTTT